CATCAGAAGTAACTTCAAATAAAACAACTGTTGAAACCAAACCTCTCTGCTCTTCTGTTATTCCACCTCTGCCTGCTTCATCTTCTCCGAAATCCTCACCTTCCTTGCACCATCCTCTCAAAATGTCGGTATCCATCGATATTTCGGGTCGTATAGTAAAAACACATGCCATGATCGATTCGGGTGCCATGGAGAATTTTGTCGATGAATCCTTCGCACGCCATCATAACTTGCCGTCCATCAAAAGTAATAACCCACTCTTGGTCCGCACAGTCGACGGTCGAGCTCTTCGTTCCGGTATTATCACTGACGAATGTCCAGTCGATCTGTTCGTTGGCCAACACCATGAACGAATTTTGCTGTATCCAACGTCCTTGGGACAATACAGCATCATTCTTGGTATGCCCTGGTTGATCAAGCATAATCCATCTATCAATTGGCGCACCGGCCACATCGACCTGACTTCCACCACCTGCACCACAGATTGCTTGCCAGCACCTTGCAGCAGCAATTCACATCCTTCACCACCTACTGCTAAGCATCCACCGGATATCCGACTGGTTAGTGCACTTACTATCAAGTCACTTATCCAAAAGGGCGCCCAAGCGTTTTCAGTTCATGTCGACCCCTTAGGGTCCCTGTCATCCATCGCTTCCGTCACGATTGAAGGATCCACTGCTAATTCCTCGCTGCCATCCAAATATCGCGCTTTTGCTGATGTGTTCATAAGGACCAAGCTGATGCCCTTCCCCCTTCTCGTCCAGGCATCGATCATGCTATCCCGATTGCTGAGGATACTCAAGTTCCATATGGGCCGATCTATTCCTTATCACAAGAAGAACTCGGCGTCCTACGTGAATATATAAAGACCAACCTGGATAACGGTTTCATCAGTCGTTCGACTAGTCTTGCTGGAGCCCCCATCTTGTTTGTCAAGAAAAAGGACGGTTCCCTACGCCTTTGCGTTGATTACCGTGGGCTTAACAAGATCACCATCAAGAATCGTTACCCATTGCCTCTGATCAACGAAATGCTCGACCGTCTTTCATCTGCCACCGTCTTTACCAAGCTTGATATCCGCAATGCTTATCATCGTATCCGTATAGCCAAGGGTGATGAATGGAAAACCGCCTTCCGCACAAGATACGGTCATTTTCAGTATAATGTTATGAGCTTCGGTTTGACCAATGCGCCGGGTTCCTTCCAAGCACTTATTAATAATGCCCTGCACGAGTATCTTGACCAGTTCGTTATCGTGTACTTGGATGACATCTTGATCTTCAGCGACAATCAAGCAGAGCACGATGAACATGTCAAGCTAGTCTTGCAAAAACTTCGTGAGTCAGCCCTTTATGCCAAAGCTGACAAGTGTAATTTCGACGTCGATGAGGTTGATTTCCTTGGTTTCCGCGTGGGTCGCTCGGGTGTCAGCATGGATCCAACCAAGGTAACCTGCATCTTGGATTGGCCTACCCCCAAAAACACTCATGACATTCAGGTTTTCCTTGGGTTCGCCAATTTCTATCGCCGTTTCATCCACCATTACTCTCGCATCACTGCCCCCCTTACCTCGCTGCTGAAGAAGGATGTTCCGTTCGATTGGACTACTACACAAGATACCGCGTTCTCAGCACTCAAGCAGAGCTTCACTACTGCGCCAGTTCTGCAGCATTTCGTGCCTTCTCAACCGATCTTTGTTGAAACTGATGCATCCGACTTTGCCATTGCTGCGGTGCTTAGCCAGCCCGACTCTACTGGTGTGCATCATCCTGTAGCCTTCCATAGTCGCAAGTTGAATCCTGCCGAGGTCAATTATGACATCTATGACAAAGAGATGCTTGCCATTGTTGACAGTTTCCGTGTATGGCGCCATTATCTCCAAGGCTCCCAGCACCAAGTTACTGTCCTAACTGACCACAAGAACCTCGAGTATTTCATGTCATCCAGTGCCCGCACCCTTAGTCGTCGTCATGCCCGCTGGGCTATTAAGCTGTCCGAAGTTGAAAACTTCACGATCACGTACCGTCCAGGCACCAAGAACCCCAAGGCCGATGCCCTCTCCCGTCGCTCGGACATGGCCTTCCGGAAGGGGGACGATAGCGATAAACAGCCAATAAAATCCATATTTCGTGAGGATCAAGTCGTTCTTGGGGCTGTCTCTAGTTGCCCTGTTGATGACGACCTGATATCAGCAATACGCGATAAATACGATGACGATGCTAAGACCGCAAGAATCTTGAATCTCGTACAACACCCTTCCAGCATACCCAGGCAGCTTCACGTCAAGATGAGCCGGTATCGCTTCGACGATAATTCAGGATTGTTGTTCCTCGATGACCGCATCTATGTACCTGATGTTGATGCGTTGAAGTTAGAATTGTTGCGGCTACACCACGATCACCCAGTCTCAGGCCACTTCGGTATCGCTAAGACTTGCGAACTGTTGGCTCGGCGTTTCTTCTGGCCGGGACTACGTCAATTCGTCAAACGTTACGTCTCCAATTGTCGCACCTGCAAACGCTCGAAGCACTCCCGTCAAGCCCCTCTCGGTGAGCTCAAGCCCTTACAAGTACCTCCTCGTCCCTGGTCTTCCATCAGCATGGACTTCATTGTTGGTTTGCCATCCTCGTCAGGTCACAATGCAATTTGGGTTGTTGTTGATCGATTGACAAAAATGGCGCACTTCGTCCCATGCAAGGACACCATTACGGCCAGCGAATTAGCCCACCTTTTTGTCACGGAAGTTTTCCGTTTGCATGGTCTACCCAATGATATTGTCTCGGATCGTGGCGCACTGTTCACGTCGCGTTTCTGGCGTTCATTACTCGAGTTGCTCCAGATCAAGTCAAATATGTCAACAGCTTTCAGGCCCGAAACCGACGGACAAACTGAGGTAGTAAATTCAATATTGGAGCAGTATCTTCGCGCGTATATCAATTACCAGCAGGACGACTGGTCTTCCTTGTTACCTGTTGCCGAATTCAGCTACAACAATTCTGTCCAGTCAAGCACGCGCCATACTCCATTTGAGGCCACCTACGGTTACCACCCACGTTTTTCTTTGTTGCCAACGCCCCAGGGTTCAGGTCTCTCTGGTGCTACCGAAGATTTTTGTAAGGAGTTGAAAGAACTTCATGAATCGTTGAAAAGTGAAATTCGCCTCGCCCAGCAACAGCAAGCCGTGTTCTACAACGCGCACCATCGACCCACACCAGTCTTCAATATAGGCGACTTCGTTTATGTCTCTAGCAAAAATATCAAGACTGTTAGGCCATCTTCGAAGCTTGACCATACTCGCTTGGGCCCATTCAAAATCATTGCGAGTGTTGGCTCCCATGCCTACAAGTTGAACTTGCCTGTTGCACTACGGGTTCACCCAGTGTTCCACGTTGCCCTGTTAACGCCTCGCGATAACCCGGCGACTCCGGACATTCAAGACCGTGTACCTGCGCCATTGCCTCCTGTAGAAGTTCAGGGCGAAGAGCATTTCGAAGTCGACAGTATACTTGACAGTCGCCGTCGTCGGGGTCAATTGCAATATCTAGTTGCGTGGAAGGGATACATAGATCCCTCAGAAAACTTTTTTTTTTTTTTTTTTTTTTTTTTAAGATTAACCAGCGCACTAGTCAATTTATTGGCGGCCTCCGAAACGATATTTGTTTGGTAGGCTGTGAAGACATGATGACAAGACAGATAGGGCAGAGTAGACAAATGATTGTTGACAAACAGATAGACTATTTAAAAGACTTGAGGACATTTGCTAGGCTAAAAACGGACTTGGACGGACTCGAACTGGTGGCCTGTTGGCAGTGGCTCTCGAGAGGCTGGCGCTCTCCCTGAAATGCCAGGGGCACGTGGCCCTCCCTCAGAAAACACCTGGGAACCAGCTTCAAATCTTTGGAACGCCGCTGACGTAGTTCGTGACTTTCATATGCAGCATCCGACCAAGCCTGCTCCACCACCATCACCTCGGCGTTCGACCCGCTCTCGTGTTACTCGAGCCTAAGAGGGGAGGTAATGTTATGAACATTCCTCGACCTCTACTAAGTGATCACCCTCAACCTCGATGATCACTTATTACATCCCCAAGTAACAATATCATCCATCATCATCGTCCGAATTAACAACCCTAATACCAATCTTTCCGTTTATTCGCATTATTAAATTCCATAGTAAAAGATATATAAACACCATAGTCTTTGAATAATAAAACATCAGTCAGATATCTTGTTTCCATCATATATCTTGTTCCTTATATCTCTCTCATCATCTGCTCTCCTACCTCCAGCTTTCCTTCTTGTCTTGTCCTGTTCTTGCTGAAAGCACCTAGCACATTCTCGTCCGGTCTTTCTGTCCTTGTCTTGTCTTGTTCCTGTCCGCACCTTACAGAAAGTAAGCCTTGAGTAGACAGCAACTAAATGGATTGATTCATATAAATCATGTGCATGGCTTCTTGGTACCACCAAAAAGAGCAACGATAAAGCCGAGTTTAACATAGTGGAACTAATCTGGTTATAAAAAGTTAAGAAGATTATTAGGAAAACTTTTCTCCCCATATACTATAGATAAACAATTTTTGAAGCTTTATTATGTACAGCACTACTGATAATTCCTAGTTATTGGCCTTTTGAAAAGAAGTACATATCGTGTCACTGGAATAAATCAAAAAATATATGATATATTAGCAGATAGCGAGCATTGAATTGAAATTCTTGAAAATTACCTTGGAAAGGAAAGGAATAATTTTAGTTCTTTAAACACGTTTTCGAAATCCTACATAATAGATCAGAGAATGTAGTGATAACAATAAAATAAATGAAAAAATGCGCGACGTGAGTTAACGACGGTCACTCGGGCGAGCGTGAATAGCGTCACCCTGAAAGAAAGTGAACAACGGCCACTCGAGGAAGCTAAGTGCAACAGCAATCCCAAAAAAGAAAATGCGCGACGTGAGTTAACGACGGCCACTCGGGCGAGCGTGAATAGCGTCACCCTGAAAGAAAGTGAACAACGGCCACTCGAGGAAGCTAAGTGCAACAGCAATCCCAAAAAAGAAAATGCGCGACGTGAGTTAACGACGGCCACTCGGGCGAGCGTGAATAGCGTCACCCTGAAAGAAAGTGAACAACGGCCACTCGAGCAAATTGAAAAAGTAACATCGTCTAAGAAACGTGAGTTAACAACGTCCACTCGAGCAGCTAAGACGATAGTTTCACTCTAATAAAAAAAAATTCATTGAGAAACTATGAGTAATAATATATAGTAAAGATTGACAATTAAGTTAGCAATATAATAATTAAATTGATGAACAAAACCAACAGTTGTTATTATAGTTTATGTGAAAGGATGGAAGAAAAAAATATTTACCTGTTTCTATGAGTTGACTGAGCAATAATTGGTTGCTGAGCAACAAAAAAAAAGCAGAAGTTAAGAAACGCGTTCCGCAGCTTCCAATCGCCACCTTCTTCCGAAGCAACACGTTTGTTAAGTTTCAGTTGCCATGGAATTACATCGCAAAGGTACGTTGCTAAGCAAGACATAACGGGATATAAATTTTTGTTTGTATGTAACTAACATAGCAACAAATTAACCATGGTAGCTATTTCTGACTACCTCAAGGTTGCTAGGCGACCAAGTCTCGCTAACTTTGTGGATTCAAACGTGGAATTCATTGCAAACAATCTTCCTGATGATATTAAAACACTAGATCAGTATTGGTCATACCTGTTCGAAGAAGTAACTGAAAATGATGGCGTCCGTGCTGTAAGAATCAATAGATATATGGGTAATAAGAAAGGTTCTATATTAATATCTTTGATTATTAGATCAAGGTTAGAAAACCACCTAATTGGAATGCCATTTTAGTGCATGCGGTTCAGCTTACAAAAGGTTGGTTTCAGTTTGAGGATCACTTACTGTTATTTGATACTAATTTTTCGATAGTTCCAAAATCAAAGTCAACTTCCCGAGGCACGAAAAGAAGCAGTAAATCAGATTCGTCTGGATTGGAACCCGAGGAGAAACAGCCTATTATTGATTTGTTGAGAAGAATGGACGACAACAAAAATTGATATTTAGACCTGAAGAACAAAATAGGAAATGTTATTATGCTAGAATCTTCTCGAACCTTTATTTCATAGCGAATTCAAAGATATATAAAGGCAATAATCCCAATTGATATCCATTAATCGAATTGAAGCTCGGTCAAAAGAATAATAATAATAAGAAGGGAGGGAAAATTGTCAATAAAATAAAGTAAAGAAAGAAAGAAAATGAAGGGTGGGGATAATAACATTTCCTATTTTGTTCTTCAGGTCTAAATATCAATTCTAGGTCGAAAGAAATTTCTCGTAAGAATTTCTTGAGACCGTCAGAACAAAATAGGAAATGTTATTATGCTAATCCAGAGAAAAAGACTCGACAGCATCATGAAATTCGTCGTCGTTTGAGAGCACCGTTGAGGTAAAGTCCACGCGTGCCATTTGATTCCGTTGGTAGTGACGCACAAATGTATCGGCAGAAGCCCAGTTTCCAAGAGCCACAATGTTTTCCTGAGAAACACCTAGATCCAGAGCACGAGAGGCAGCCAAAGAACGGATAGAGACATTTGCTTCAGTTGTACATAACGAAATATATTCCCGATGAAGCCAAGTAGAAATCGTGGAGGCAGAGAGAGCCTGGTGTATGTTGTTAGACTTGACGAAGAGCATGCTAGAGGCGGAGCGAGCTTGTAAGGTGGGATGATCCCGGAGAACGGCGAAGCAGTGAACAGGGCACAATTCAATATCATCTGCGTGCGGATGGATACTGAAAGGCTTGATAATCCGACGCTTACCCCTGGTCTCTTTCGGGGCTACCACCTGAAAATGAAGACAACCGTTCGAGATGGAGCAAGAGGAGAAGGGAATGCGGGCCAAATCAGAGGGACGAAGGAATGCTGCCATAGCCAAAAGGAAAACCAACTTTTGTTGTAACGCCTTGATGGAGGAAGACGGTCTTGATGCAATTGAACGTGCACGTTCCAAAGCAGGTGCCACATCGATTTGAGGTCGGTGAATGGGGACGGGGGGAGCCTGTCCGAGCAAAGAGTTCAAGTACGAAGTGACGATGTTGTCTTCGCCAATACGTTTACCATCAGTGTGTAAATGAGTCACCGCTGCGCGCATTGTCTTGAGGGTTGAAGCTTGTAAATTATGTTCTTGTCGCATATCCGCCAAGAAGTTCACCAGATCGACAGACGTGAAAGATGTATGGGAGACTTGCTTGCGGTTAGCCCAAGCCAAGAACCGAAGTTGTGATTTGCGATAGAGCCTGTTGGTGTTGGAGTTGGCTAACCGTTGAGCTAAGAGATCCTCCACCGCTTGTGCATTGAGAGTCTTGTTTACTAAATTTTGGCGGACAATTGCCACACGGAGAGCATCCAGTTCTGCGGTAGTAACGGGTGTGGTGTCCATGGGGAGGTCGTCTGGATGGAATGTGGGGACAGTAGCCAAGGAAGACCTAGAGCCATTTGACGGACCATCGGGAACCAGATGGCGCTCGGCCAGTATGGGACCACCAGCGTTACCAGAGGAAGTTGCTCTTGAAGAATTTTGTTGATGACTCGAGATATGAGATTCCAGGGAGGATTTACGAAAGGATGATGGAATTTCTGCCACGGGATGGAGAACGCATCCGTGTGGAGAGCATCCGGATCCGGCATCCAAGAGACGTACTTTTGCAATAATTTGGTCGTCCTGTCGGCAAAGAGATCGATCGTGAAAGGGCCCCAAGTCTGGTAAATTTGTTGGAAGATCTCCGGCTTGATTCTCCATTGATTCTTGAAATACTGTCGACGAGATTCGAAATCGGCTATGGTGTTCTGTACTCCTTGTATATGTTGGGCTTGAATCATGATCTTGTTCTCCAGACACCACGTCCATACTTCCGTTGCCAGTTCCATGAGAGGGAGGGAGCGAGTTCCACCTTGCTTGTTGATGTAGGCCATGCTGGTCGTATTGTCGGTCCTGATCATCACCGTCTAGGTCTCCGGTAGGTGGAAAGTTTTCAAAGCTAGGTGAGCTGCCTTGAGCTCCCGCCAATTGATGGATTGGGCAGCTTCTTCCTCTGTCCAATAACCATGAGCTCGAAGATGGTTCCAACTGCAACCCCACCCGGTGTTGCTGGCATCGACAAACATTGTTTGTGAGGGTGTCGAAGGGAGCAGTGAGCGTCCATTCCATTTGCGGATGTTCGTGTACCACCATTGAAGTTCCTCCAGACTCGCTTGATCGAGAGGGCGAGGAAGATCCCAATCCGCATCTGACTTCACTGTTAAATTCTTGTAGTATAATAGGTGTCGAGTGTAAAGACGTGCCGGAAAGATCGCAAAAGTCGCCGACTGAATACGCATCGTTAAGCTGTGAATGGTCCTGGGGGATTGACGATGTGGTTTGTCCAGTACTTGCTTGATCGATCGACGAATGTCCCGAAGCTTGGCTGGTGGCAGGAGAGCTGTCATCGAGCGGGTATTCAATACAAAGCCGAGATGCTCCAATTGTTGAGTTGCGGTGAGAACTGACTTCTTGTAATTGACTAGCCAACCTAGATGTTGTAAAAGAGAGACAACCTGATAAGCCTGTTCCATCGCCAAATGCTTGGACTCCGCGATGAGAAGCCAATCGTCCAAGTATGCTGAGATCCTGATTCCTAGAGAGCGCAAGTGTTCTAATATGGGCCTGCAAACTTTGGTGAAGACAAAGGGACTTGTGGACAAGCCGAAGGCGGTCGTACAATATTGGTAAACTTGGCCTTTCCAAGTTAGACGTAAGAACCTTCTCGAAGCTGGGTGAAGACCTATGTGCAGAAATGCGTCGGACAAGTCGATAGAAACTAGATAATCGTTGGGTTTGATCATTAGAGCCACTTCCCGAATAGTTTCCATCTTGAAATGAGGGGCATCCAGATATTGATTCAGCCGTTTGAGGTTGAAGACTGGTCGAACGCCGCCATCCTTCTTCGGGATGACAAACATTGAGCTGTAAAAGCCTGGTGTTTGACGGACTTCTGTGTTGGAAACGGGTTCGATTGCTTGCTTGGACAATAAGTCTTGGATTGCCTGATCTATCAATGGAGTCTGTTCCGGGCCAAAAGGCTGGATGGGCGTTGGTGTTGTTGTCGTTGGTGGTTGTGTGTGGAATTGAATTTTGTAGCCGTGTGCGATTGTGGTGTCGACGAATGAGTTGATTGAAATTTGAGTCCAATGTGTATAAAACTTGCTGAGCCGACCTCCGACTGGGTCGGATGTTGCTGTTGTACGAGCCGTTGTTGAGATTACTGACGAAAAGGGTTGGTGTGCTTCTTGTTGTTGTAGCTGCTGTTGTTGGCACGAAAGGTGTTGTTGTTGTTGTTGTTGTTGTTGTTGTTGTTGCGGCCGCTGTGGTTGCTGTTGTTGGTGTTGTTGTTGGTGTTGTTGCTGTTGTTGTTGAAACCACCCTGCTGAGAGGGTGGACCTGATCGAAAAAACTGCTGGTCGGGAAAATTCGAGAAAGAACCAGAAGATTGAGAGTAGTCATTGGGAGCCCGACGACGTTGACGTTTATTGATAGTCGCTTCTCGAGTAGCCTTGCGTGCTGTAGTTTGTTGAATCAATGTGTGTTGGAACTCGTCAAGAGGGAGCGTGTAATTGACCTCGTTACCAGCTTTCAACGAAAAGGAAGGATTGATGGCACGAAGAGCGATATTGTTACGAGCGTGAGTCATAGAGGCACCGACATGCAATAAGAGCTTGCGGATATCACGAAGCATTGTACAATAGCGTTCCAAATTAGGGTTGTCCGCTTCAGAGGTGACCAATTCATGACTGAGAATGTCAAGAGGGCGGTAAACAGCTGACAATTGATATTGCAGTTGCTTCAAGGAGTTGTCCTCATAGCGCTGACCTTTGTTCATTGCACGTTCCGCTGTGGGGATAGTAGCCGGAGCCTTGTAGTCCACGTGCGCCATGGGAGGGTAGGACTCGATGATGGTTTTACGTTCTGAGTCAGAGAGTAGCGACGAAGTGTGCAATGGAACATCCAAATTCATCAATTCAGTAAGACCTTCAGAAGGAGACCAATCGTAATGGGGTCGAGTACCCATGGAGTGTAAGGGAAGGGTAGCAGTGTCATCCGCTGACTGCATAGGAGTAGTAGTAGCACCGTGGAGTTGTTCCTGTAGAGCAACAATTTGTTGTTGCATCATGTGTAATTGTTCTTCCAGGGGCGACATTGGGAAGTTGAAATTGAGAAAAATGGAAGGGATAGAATAGAGATGTGAGGAAGCTGGTAATGACCGAGCGAAAAAGAAGATTAATGTATATCAATTGGATTTATTGCCTTTATATATCTTTGAATTCGCTATGAAATAAAGGTTCGAGAAGATTCTAGCATAATAACATTTCCTATTTTGTTCTGACGGTCTCAAGAGATTCTTACGAGAAATTTCTTTCGACCTAGAATCGGGAAATGTTTCAAATCTTGGGGCAGGGCAGGAAGAGGAAGAGTATTCTGCTCTCAGTTTGATCTAGTTGGGCTACCGTGATTATAGTTTACTAACAGGCATCATCAAGATCCAAATCGATTGAGTGCACGGCAAAAAAACATAGAGTTAGCCAGCAGAATACGAATATACTCACATTTTGCAGATTACTTCGTCGGCAATTTGAGATTGTAATTCGATGCTTTTGAAGCCTTCAAAAGCATTTGAAAGCTTTCCAGAGCATTTGACGATATCAAAAAGCATTAAGCTACAAACTTGGATTTCCGACGCGATAGCCTAATAAAAAACAATACAATAACATTTTCATCCTTTCAATTCAGAAAAAAAAAAGCTTTGCTTCAACTGCCATCGTAGTGTTCAGTGGTGGCTGTAGGAAGACAAGTTTATGGGAGTGCCATTGATATGAACAGCGCTTACATTATGCAATCAATGAATTAAATAGAAATCTCAGCTAACCGATACCATGGCGACTCTTTAAAGAGAGTTCAACGTCTGCGGTTGACCCAGGCAACTAGGTCCAAAGTATCGAGAATGGATGTCGTTTAGAACAGCTCGCTTACTCTTTTCGTATTTGCTGTCATTGTTGAAGTCTGAGGTTTCCTGCACTGTAAAAAAATAACAAAGAGGCCAGGCCAGGCGTAGCAATTGCGTGTATGTGATGTGTGTGGTAGGTAGCACACACTCATTTTTAGCCGGCTCCCAGGGCCGAAGCCTTGCCCTTCGTTTTCCTTTGTTTCTTTTTATACCACACACACTCACTCAACCCTTTTGCTCTTCCTCTTCTCTTCGCTCCCTTACTCGTTGAATTACAAGACACACTACTCGCCAACCTTTCAAAGGTCTTCTCCCCGCCCACCACTACCACCGCCGCTACCCACCCCTTTTTACTCTAAACTTTGTTTTTGTCGCCAAGAATGAGCGGCGCACGCTTCATTGGCTCGAAAATCTCGGTAAGAAGAGCCCTTTAATGTATTTTTTTTCCTTTGTTTCTTAGCCTCGACGCGGAAACTAAATCAGACCGTTTTGAACCTATATGCAGCTCGTGTCAAAAAGCGATATACGCTATATTGGTATCCTTCACGACATTGATCCTCAGAATGCGACACTGGCACTCGAGCAAGGTAAAGAAAAACAACAAGGGAGGAGGGTGGTAGTGGGAGTAGCGCTAAACTTCTCACGCTGTTCTTTTTATATTCCCAAGTCGTATCGCTTGGCACCGAGGGCAGACGGGGCGGAAATCCGATGGATGAAATACCGCCTTCGGATAACGTATTCAAGTACATTGTCTTTCGAGGCTCGGATGTGAAGGACCTGCAGGTGTTTGAGGGGCCACCCGCCCAGCCTGCTGCAACGCAACAGCCTTATGTGGCCAATGACCTTGTACGTCTGTCGTAAACCTTATGCTGTTTTTGGTGATCCCCAGCACGCGCGCACGAAATACCTGTAATACTCATTGTTAATGTTTCTGCTCTATAGAACTCGCCCGGCTATTATCCACCATCCATGGTGCAGCAACAGCAGCAGCCTCCTCCTCCTCCTCCTCCTCCCCCTCCTCTTTTCCCTCAACCGCAACTTCAGCAACAGCAACAACAGCCATTTTCATCCTATCCGCCTTATGGATTTGAGCCTTACAGAGGAGTGACAGCAGCGCCAATGCCTCCTCCTGTCATGGGCTTCCCTGGATATTACCATCCTCCACCACCTCTTCCGCAACAACAACAACCGCAACATTCTACAGCATCGCCCGCCCTAATGCAGATGCCTGAACCGTTCCATCAACCCGATTTTCCGCCACCTTCCTTGATGGCGCCAGCCATGGAGGTTCCACACGAGATACCAATGACGACCACTACTACATCGACAACGGCGACAACACTATCATCGTCGCAACACCCTGTAGCCGGAGACGAGTCCCTGCAACAACCCCAATCCCAATTGCCTTTGCCACCGCTTCAGCAAACCCCACCACCGCTAGTATCTCCCCAACAGCAACAGCAGCAGCAGCAGCAAGTTGTTGCTCCAAAACCGGACCTCAAGGACGATAGTCAGGTGACGACAAAGAAAGAGGGAGGAGCAGCAGCAACAGCAACACGAGGTGGAAGAAAGACGAGTGGGTCCGAAGAAATTGCCTCATCTGTTGAAAAGCTTGCCAAATCCGTTAGCGAACTGGGCGTTGGCAAGGAGCGACCTCCCAATGCCACTATTACTAGCAGTACCACTGCTACTACTACTGCTGCTAACACAACTATTATGGTTGCAGACGATAACGACCCAACGACTTCTTCGACCACAACTATTGCACGAGGTTTGTGTTAAATGCTTAAAAAAGGAGGGGAACGCGTAAAAAAAGGATTGGAGTTGAAGTTGAAGTTTTCTTTGCTGTGGGCTTAACAGCAAGAGTTTTAATGTGAGTAACCGTAATAGACAAGCGCCAATCGCGAAATGGAGCGAGAATGACGCGCAATAATAGCACCAGAAAAGCATCCAAGAATGGAACTGTAGTTCCTTTACAGGACTTTGATTTTGCCTCATCGAATGCCAAGTTTGACAAGGAGCAAGTTTTGCGTAGTTTGTTTGATACCGGGACTACCAGCATTAGTATTAGCAACGGCGGTAGCAGCAGCAATAAGAACAACCACAGTAACAACAAAAATATTAATAGCCATAACAACAAGAAGAACAAGAGTGAGGAAAAAGCAAAAGGAGCAAAGAAGGATGATGAAGAAGTGATTGTCATTCCAGAAGCGGATACCTTTTACGACAAGTCCAAGAGTTTCTTTGATGATATTTCATGTGATGCCAAGGAGCGCGCTGAATTAAAGAAAACAGGGTATGTGTCTATTTATACACAGTGGAAAAGCGAAGCCAAAAAGAGGGATTTCCGGGTGAAATGATAAATAATACGTTCATTGATTTCTATCATAATTAATGCTCATGGTGTAATAGTGGCGACGATTATCGCAAGAAGCACCAGCAAGAGCAGAAACTAAACTTGGAAACGTTTGGTGAACTGTCGGTGGAGACGACTGGACGCCGTGGAGGCCGTGGAAGAAGTGGTGGAAGAGGAAGAGGAGGCCGTGGTAGCGCCAGAGGCCGTGGTGGCAGACCACTTCAAGGTGCAGCCTAAGGAATGTTTGTATGAAAGGCCGAGTTATTACATAGTCATGCACCATTTTCTTCCATACCTTTATTTTTTGAGTGAATTCATGACAATTATGATCGTTGTCGGGTCTTCTTTCATATAGTAGCCTGAAAATATTATATTACTACACTTTCTTTATCTATACATCATCAGGTTTGGCCAATCTTTTTCCACATCCTATCTCATCTTATATTTCTGGATATAGTCTCCTTACAGTACTTCGAATACACATCCATGAATCGAACTGCTTTGATGATAATAGCACTCCAGTATCTTGAGCATTAGAAGAAGCATCCCCTGTCTTCTCCAGCAACTTCTTGATTAAAATATTGATGACAATGTGATGGTTTTTGTACAGAAAAGAGAGTGGCGTACATGTGGTCTATTCGTACAAAGGGGTTTATAATGAAGATGTATGATTTGCTTTTCAAAGCAGGAGTTTTGAGGTTGCATCTTTGGCATAAAAGCTTCAAAACTCGTGGATCCGCAGGGAAGTCTTCCATTACCACCTCTATATAATACCCTTTGCGCTCACTGCTGCTATCTGCACATACACATTGATACCTCCTTCTTTACAGCTGCTTGTACACAATTCCATATATCACTAAGCATATCTTCATATGCGCAACACACGTGTAGTATGTCATTGGAAAGAAGCTTCTATTACTTTTTTCGGTGGGGTCTACTCTACTCTATTTATATATCAAATACAACAGGGCGTTGGCTAGCTCTGTACCGCCGATCGCAAATGCACGCGTTAATCATTAATGTTGCTCCGTTCGGTGTGTACTGCCAGCCATGATCTTCGTGAATGTGACCGAAAATGTGTACTCGTGGTCGGATCGCTTCAACTTTGGTTCTAAGATGTGGGCAGCCAACATGTTGCCCGCCGCGAGCAATTCGGTCTTGATAGCCAAATGGAGGGGTATGAGTAACCAGAATGTCAATATCTTCAGGGATCGCTTCCCATATATCTTTAAACATGGCGTAAAAAAATAAGTATCAGAGTTGCATGACATTGAAAAAAGACTACTTTTGACAACGGAAAAGCTACTTACTGCGTAGACTATGCAGCATGAACGCGCCTCCGATGTGGAAGGGTGCTAATGTGAAAGTGTCACGACAGGTTTTAGAATCACACAAAGCCCTTTTCTTTATGTTATCATCACCAATTGTTTTCATAATAGTGAAAAAGAAGCTGTATCTTACCATATGGACTAACGAACATCTTGTGTCTACCAAGCGACTGCGGTAGTCGGAAGGACTCATGCTCCAAATAAGTGATGTTTGCATGGTCCATTCTTGCCAAGAATTGTTGCTTGTCCTTCACGAATCCAAATTTATCGTCGAGAACATGGTCATGGTTGCCTGCTGTAACGATTTTTATCCTACTCGCATAGTGCGTCGTTGACAAAATATTTGATCTTTAGCATTGCTGATGCGTGGGGTTGTTGGTGTGGTGTTTCGCATGAATGGATGATTACGTACTTGTGAGGTAGTGATTCAATCCAAGCGATAGTTCTCTCGAATTCGTCGTACGAGCTGACTCTTGTCAAGTCGCCGGCATGGACTAGAATCCATGAAATGTAATCGTTAGCCACGATCATGCATATAATTAAGAAATAGCAGTAAGAGGAGGATGAGGTTGTTGTTGTTAGTTTACCAAATACGTCACCATCGGGTATAGGGAATGAAAAGTTGAGTCTGCCGTGGGTATCCGAGACGCACACAAATCTACAAGCATGCGGTTCCTTTTCCTTTAGATAATCCAAAGAATCAGTAGCATGGATCATGATGGAGACGGAAGATAAAGGGGTTGGAGAATAAGAAGAAGAAGGGGCAGAGTAAGAAAAAAAGAAAGAAAAGGTGAGTTTCGTTGTTGCTGCGGGTGTAGCACTGCGGTTGGGGTGGGGGGGGGGCACACCGGGATACGCTCTGTGTCACTATCAAATATATACGAAATCGTGATTCTTCAAATGGCAAAGAAACCCCTGTGCCGTCGTTCTTTGTTTTACTTGTTCTATTTTTTATTCCTCTCGACCTTCACTTTCGGTTCAATGACATCAGCCTCGTTCCATAATGATCTACCTACACTTGAGCAAGTGTTGACCCGCAAAACACAGCCACCTGTGTGTTTATACAATTTATACATTATCATGCGTGATCGCCTACACATGGAAGAAGTACTTGATTTCTATCTCGACGTACAACATCATGAGCTGCTTTGGCGCCGCTACGTAAAGACCATGCGACGATCCGGGTATCTGACTGAAGAAGATTTAGCTGATGGATTCCAATCGCCTCGCGTATTGAGTCGATTATCCCAGGTCAGCTCATTGGACGAGAAAAAGAGTTCGCCTTTGTCTTCAACAGCAACTTTGAAAAAATCGCTTGCACCACCACCACCACAACAACAACAACAACAGCCAGTTCCGAGACTCGAAGAAGACTTTTTGGAAGATTCATTTGTGCCATTAGAACGACCACCATTGGACCAAACTCGAGAACGATTGCATCAAAAGGCCATTTTGAACAGACATGACTTGACCGACTCGGCACATCGAATTTTGTTGCGATATTTGGTACCTTCGGCATCCAAGGAACTGACACAGTTACCGCCGGAATTGAAAGCAACCATGCGACGACAGTTGGAGGATGGCGGTCGGGACGATCCGCTCGTGTTTACCGATGGCAAGGAGTATCTGTTTGAATATATGCGCCGGAACGCGTATCCCAAATTCTTACGGTTGAAGGTGTGGGGCAACCTGACGCTGTGGCAGCAAATGCTTCGATTAGTCATAGGCCTTGTTGCCCTGTTGGCCGGTCTTACGGTTGCTTTCAGTTTGATCTTTCTTGGTTATCCACAATGGGGCGTACGATTTTGGGTAAGCAGTAATAAATTAAATTAAATAAGCTAATTTATATACTAGACAAGGGAGGGAAATTAGCAGTAACTCAACAACCGCTATATGGGTTTATTTCTTATTCTCGTCAGGTGCTGTTGCCGCTATGGATCGGTGTGTTGAATATCTTGTCCTTCTTGACGGGCTTAGACCCTATTTGGGCTCTTGTTTTCAACGTGAGGTAAGTATGGGACAATGGTGCTGATACGTGTACGCCTGGGGGATACTAAAAGGGTTCTCTGTATTTTTTTGGGACTAGTGAAACCACAACGTTCAAATTTAACAAGATACGACAACCCGAAGTCAAACGGATCTTACGGTCGCGATCATTATGGCTGCTGGCTGTCAGTCTCGTAATAGCAGTTGTGTTGACCATCATCTTTGCTGCTGTACCGTCAAAGCGACTGTAAAAGTACAGCCTTACCTGCTTTCCCCCTACTGTTATTACCACATCACAAATGATAGTTATCACACCTCATACACCCTCGCTCACGAAAATCTTTCAGATACACACATGCGCGTGCGCTAAATTTGTTTCTTTACCATTACTCGCTAACACCTTTCGCCTCCTTTATTGTATTACTGCTGTATACCATCTCATATCCACTAGTTTTTATCAATTCAAACTTTCTTATAGTTACCCTTTTTAGTAGAATCCAATCCTCAATTTTCCCTCTGCACACAAAAATGCTCCTCACCGATTCACATAACTAACTACTTGGCATCTCTTCGTGTTTGTGTTATTTTTCGTCCAATAACAAGGATCAAAACGAAAAGAAAAAGACAGGCCGTAAAAGAAAGTGCATAATGATGATCTTTGTTTTTGCTTCGGATCTACCTAAATTTGGTACCATTATTCCAATAGCTTGTAGCGAGCCATCCATCTCCATATATATACTTCCGCAATGTAATTGTCTGGGCTAATATAATTAGTACCGGCGATCATGAAAACCATTTACTTGATATCCAACACATGTTAGTGATGACGTACGGATATGAGGTAGTAAGGGGTGGTTGCAGCAAAGGCGGTACATAATATAGCACTTGGTTAAATTGTTTGTCTATGTATTGATGTGACATCACGTTTCTGCACGTTCTATGCAGGTCCTTATAAAAACTGTTGTATGTGTGTACATGTAAAGGCAGATAGAGAGAAGAGAGTATGTAATAACGCCATTTTTCATACATGTTTTGTATACCGATAGCGAGAGAAAAGATCAACGCCCAGGAGAAGGAGCGTTATTGTTGTTAGCGGGCTTACATACTATGTTATGCATGCTTGTTTATCATGATCCCACACTATTACATATCCCTGAGAGCATTAAAGCTCAAGAAACTGATTTACACCAAAAGAAGTAAACCATGCAAGAGCCAAAAAGTGGATCGATGTTGAGTGGGAGGACAAGCAAGTGAGTGATGCGACGATGGGTCTGCGGTCTTCCCGAGACCAAAATAAAATATTCACATCTCTCGTCAACATCTTCTTTATCTCTCTCTCTCTCTTTCTTCCTCTCTCTCGCACTGTTTCTTCTGCTTCACATACTACTCTTTCCTCTTCCTGCATTATCGTTCTCTGTTTTTTTTTTGGATAAATGGATGCTCCAGGCTCATCGAAACGTCAAGACTATCAATATCAACACCATTCATCATCGTCCAATGAAGGAGATCTTCCACAACCTATCTTACCCTGGGTATTATCATCAGGTAGCGGTAACGGTGGGAATGTTGATCGACACTCGGCAGTAAGCACGCTGTCCCGCAGCTCGGTGGATACAACTGCAGCCGGGAGTGTCCACTTGGTGAAGCGTAACATTCAAGATCCTACAGTAAAACGAAAAATGCGATGGTCTTCATTCAAGTGGTGGATCCTGATGACCAATTCATTGGTAAGGAATATCTAGTTGGCATGATGGCATGAGTGTATCACCCTGAGCATACTGCATGTTATAACTCCAAAACAACTTGGGACTTGTCTTTTTTTAGTTTGAGATCTCTAATACTTATAAAAAGAAAAGCTACTAACTTATAACATATAATATAGCTATTCTGTTACGGATTGGGCATTTTACTCTTGGCATTGCTTACATTTTTCAAATGTAAGTATCAAAAACATGATCATCAGTCACTAGCACTTTATATTTTTTAGTCTACGTATTTTGGGATGTTATACCCTTTTTATCCGTTAAAAAAAAGCTCGGTGTGCCTAAGTTGGTTAACCTATATGCTTCCTTTTAAGTTTACGCTCGAGCCGATATTGTTATTGTAGGCGAAAGAACGTTATTAAACAGTAAGTGATGATCTGTACCCTTGATAGCTATTTCCTTCAGTTATATATTCAACAGGATAGTGTTATATCATTAGCCCTGCTAGTGCCACATCTCTCTATGCCAACTTATTTTACTTTTCGACACGTGAATGTCCAAGATTTATTTATTCTATTATGTATCTGAATTACTAAGAATTTCGTTATCTAGTGGTGACTGCAACAGGTGTATTATGTCTTATCACGTCATTCATTGGCTATGTCGGCATTATACTTAACAACCGTGGCGCTCTTACTCTGTACAATCTTATGCTTTGGCTCACGTTTGCAATGATTGCTGCGATCGGATACGTATCTTATCGTAAAAACAAATGGAACATTGAAGGCAAACTTTCGTATCAATGGCATTACGACCTAACTTCGGATGGTCGTGCTAGAATCCAAGCCAATGTAAGTTCTTGCTCTGAGAAGGAGAAGGATAGGGGGGTGGACAGCGACTCGTATTGTATTTTGTAACTCACGAAAAAAAACCATCAATCGCGAACTATTTCATAGCTCCATTGCTGCGGCTATAAAGAATTTACGGATTTCCATCAACAATCCGGCCTGTGCTTTCCACGAACCATTCTGCCTGGATGCCGGTTCAAGTATACCCAATTCACACGACAGGCGTTGACGGATTGCTTTATAGTGGCATTTTCGTTAGTCCCTCTTCATATATTTGTCTTGATTTCGGCATTGCTTTGCTCCAACCATGTCAATCGCAAGTTTGGTAAAGGATTGCCACCCAAGATTTATCGATTGGATTATCGTGGCATTGTTGCAGGTATATAGCAGCTCATATAGGTGCCTTTTATTGACTTACGATAGTACAATGTTTACTAACTTCATTCTATCTTTTGCGCCCACCAAACAAATGACGCAAAAGGCACACCCACAGGAAGTACTCACAATTTGTTTAATGACGGACTCGTCCAACGACCTGCTTCTCACCCACCACTCCATCCACAAGCATAATTGTAGTGATCTTTCACTGCTTATCCGGATCTTTCTTGTATTTATACATATGTACATTTGCTCTTCTGCATATACTACATCTCATCTACAAGTTATTTTTTTCTTTCTCCCTTTCACTGCTACTTTCTTTATTATTACAATCATCCAAAAAGACTCCAATCATTCACTTTTAGTTCACTTAGCACTTCTTGCATATGCTTTTCAACGTCAAGGACAGTCGTGCTTTCCTGCTGCTGCTGTTGCTGATCACTGCTGCCAGATGCAATCAAAACAGGTGCATTGATTGAAATAACCAAATCCGTGGATACTTGTTGGAGTCGAACGACTGCCATCATAATTTGCACAGTATTAAAAGCCATTTTTTTGGCCTCGTCGAATTTGGCCACTTTTTGATTGCCTCGCAGTACATGTACGTTCGTTGTGGAAGGCCTATTCGAAACGAGTTTACAAAGTAAGTTGCGAGGGGCTGTTGTTAGTCTAAAAAATGGACCTAACGAACCTGTCGGTCCCTCATGAGTTTTTGAGTTTACACTCTACCCAAAACACAAACTTACGGAAGTCGAGGTGTTGCAGTCTCGGTGGGTATGCGCTCAAGCTTCAAGATTTCTGTTGCCGCAGCTTCATTGTCTCTTGCTAGTTGTTCGAAATGGAGTCTAAAGAGAAAATAGTCGTTTAAAATTTTCTCATTAGCCCAAAAAATAAGAAAAAGGGATCAAACCTTGCAATGCGCTCATCTTCTGCTTCAACAGGTTCAAGTAATTCGATAATGAGGCTTTGTTGTGTTTCTGTGTCTACAAACACTTCTTGATTATCCGGGATCTGTCGAACTTGGCTGCACCGGTTTTTGGAAGATTTCTTTTTTTAAGTGATTTCGCTGTATGATATGACTTATTGGCGGAAGAAAAACATACTATAATTATAGCTACCTGGCATCGAGAAAGGAATTGGCTACAGCGCAGCTAATGGCGCCTCCATATAGTGGTCGAGTCTCCATTGAAGTTCAAAGGCTCAAAGAAGAAGAAAAAATATAAATTCATGCGCCACCGCGACGCGAATTTCTGCCTTTATAGCGACGAATCCAAATATAGTATTGGTTGCCAATGCGACTGCGCGACATTCTGTAACCATGGCAACAGGGGCGGAAACCTACTTTATCATCACAACCATTCGAGAACCCATTATGCTTGTTTGCTGTCATATGTCAGTTATTTGTTTTGAGAATGAGCAATTAGAATATGTAAGGTTATGCTATAAGAGATATTGCGTGATGACGGTTTCTTGTGGGTTCTGGTTTTTCTAAATGAGACGCGAATACATAGTAATTATCCATTCTATACTGTGCTATCATGACAATACATGGTAAAATTGTGCAGCTATATGTCAGAAGCAAGAGGAGATCTGTAACTATACTGCAACAGCTACCGTCATATGATGGATGATAGATAAAATGCTGTTCAGGAGGTAAGCGAGGTACAAGTATACCAGGTATATGAAGCACTTGAGCGTATATGGAAAGGCATCAAGACCGCAGCACGCGCACAAATAGTCTATAAGAGTAGTGTGAGGATACCACCTTGCTTAAATGGAAATCAGTTGCTTCGGCGATGGTTGCACCATCTCGCAGCATCTGACGTTCCAGGTGTAGAAACAAAGGGACGGTGGGACTTGCACCAAGAGCCTATTGCAAAAAAGCGCAAGACTACAGCAAACAGCTAGTGCCCTCCATATAAGTTTGTGGTCTTTTTCTTGCAGCGCTTAAGGATGATCGCTGCCTTCAAGTGCAAATCGTTGTCGGCTACTGTTCATGCTGCAAATCCCGTGTAACGAGATATTCATTTATAGCACACAATTCCTCATCCATCATATCACTCCAAATCTCAAGAAATATGAGCACCCCTTGACCTGCTGTCTTTTGAGGAATTACAGGTTTGAATATCAGCGTCTCTGTAAATGCTAGTGAAAGCTTTTCTTTATGTTGTGTTAGAAGTGGGACATGTGACAAAGATTGCCAAGAGAAATGCATAGTTGTGATCGTAGACATTATGTTGGTGCTTAAGGCTGCACGTATCTGTTGTTTTATCGTATACATGTTAGTTAGAACGTTGCTACATACTTATGCTGGATTTACTCGGGCTATAAGAAAGCAGCTCAACAGCTTCTAACATTTTTTCGCCAACATCATCAGCAATGGAGATTACTCTATCTTTTAACAAGGTCTCGATATTGTGAGCGTGGCGCGGAGTTATGTATCTATATATGGTAAAGATTTGGATTGTTTAACGTGGTGTGTATGCTGATACTTTATGCAGATAAACGTCTTCAGTATCAAGTCAACTATGGACACATTTATCGTTGTGAACGATGTCTGCGCAATCGTACAGCAGTAAGCTATCTCATTACATATCATAAACGTATCCCAAAATGACCCGTTTTCAAATGCATGTGGATACAGCATGCTGTTCTTTCTATGCTGCGCCGCTTATAATCATCTGATACAATATGCGGATATGTAAATGCGATAGCTACCGACTATATAACACATATAAAACGTGGCTCCTTGAAAAGGAAAAGAAGGAGAAAAAGTGTTTATATAAGAAAAACAGTGAAATGGCTGGTGGGGTCCGCACCAGATCGCCAACAACTCGGGTACTACCATTACACCATATACCACACAGTTCCCCCATTCATGCAAATCATTAGACACAACGATAATGAGCAAAGACCAGTATATCATCATCAACTGACCGTCAAAATACACCGGCTGATCAGGAAGACGGAGGATACGCAAATAAGAGGAGCAAAAAGCTAATTTGTTTCTTACGTGTTTTTTTAGACTATCTGCTAGTAGCATTGAGTATCATAATATAAATGCGAAATGGAAAACATCATCAGGAAGAGGACAAAACATGCTGAAGCTTGCTTCTCAGATTATATCTGAGGGTAAGCGACAGGCTAATAAATAGAATAGCAGGGATTTGACAGTAAATTACTGTGGGACAGTTTAGTAAAAATGCTGCAGTATAACTATATCAGACAACACCAAAGCACTTTTTTTAAGTTTCGCGTCTGTCATTGTCAAACATAAACGGATCACTGGGATCACGGCGTCTGCTTTTACTGGTTGTTTTTTTCTTTCACCTGGGGGGGTACTTCATTACAGCTGCATCAACTGTATTTTCGCACCTAAAGACAATCCGCCACCAAGCGAGAATATTTTCATTTATAACAAAAGAGCATAAGCATAATGATGGTTTTCCATCCGAAAATAGTTGCACTCTATCTTTCTTGATCTGTTTTCTTTTTATTGCAACTTAAAAGTCGCCACATTTTTCGTTCTTGACCAATATTCTTTTTTTCACTTACCTGCCTTCTTTATTCATTCTTTCCCCTTTCTGACCCTCCCCGCGCATTTATTTTCCTAAACCGGGCTTAAACATTCACGTGTAATGGCGGCATTTTTGCTTGTATACCAGGTTAACCATTTCCTGGTCTTGTTACAGTGCTACAGCTGATAAAGAATGCTGAATCAATGATAGAAATGGAAACTTGGGTAGTTGACGGAAGCTCACGATTGAGCTCACTTGCAATGTTGCCGTATTGAGAAAACTTCTTTGTGCTTCTGAGCAAATAAAGTATAGCTTATTACCAACGTAGAGATATAGTTGCAGCTATTTGCTGTATATGATACAGAACTATGTAAATCTCAAAAACTACGCAGGGGTGACCTATTCTTTGCACGACAACCTACTATCAGCACATAATACATAGCACCTATCGGGTTGAAGAGTATTAGTCAGGTGTACGCTTAGGCAAATTACATTTATGTCGTTTGCTGAGTACTTATGTGAATTTTCGATGAGCAACGCCGTTGTTCTCCACTACTGCTTCCAGCGAAATGCGGGGTTTTAACAGAAACGGGAACGTGGGGAGAAAAAGCCATGAGCGCTAATGAGATTATGGTTTTCGCTTTTACGGTGGCACCAACTCTTATTGGTTCACGAATATACTTGTTACTAGAAGGATGGCGGATGAGCTTCAGCAGTTTCCTTCTGCTCTCTTACACACCCACACAGACATACACACACACACAAAACGCCCTGTGGCGCGCAACAACAATTGCAAATGACTACTATCAGAAATCGATAATAACGACAAACTGCTATTACTGCTCCTGTTACAAGTCAGCTGTCTTCCTTTGCAAGGCCATCATCAGGATATAAAAGTGCAGCAACCAGCGCAGGAAAATAGATCATCATCTCAAGTTGTCTGGAATCTTCATATGAGCATCGTCAATAATGAACTTTCAAGGCTACAGTCAGTCCACCCGGTGGGCAAAACAACAACATCAACAACCTAGCACCGTTGACACGTATACTCAGCAACAACAACAACAACAACAATTGGATTACCAGCAGCTCTATCATTGGTCAAGCGACCTCTGTTTCCTTTCACCGTTCAATGATATTGGTAGAGAGCAGCTGTATGATGACAACGACGAAAGCCGCCAACCTACCAACCATAATCAAAGCATTGCGATGGCTGCACCCTCCTCTCCTTTGTATTCCCCTTCTTCCGGCTGTCACTATCTGGATTCTGCTGGCGATGATGGCATAGGATTGTCAGTTTCAAAGGCATCGACACTATACTGTTCGCCTAATACTTTTGAGGGTCAACAACTATTTTCGACACCAACAACCGTATGTAGTACTTCCTTATCTTCTACGGGCTACTTTGATTGTCTTACCCCTGATGACGCCGCCGGTATTGCCGCCGCCGCCGCCGCATCTTCTGATGATGATGTCGCGTGTAAAGATGAGGCTGTCGGTCGCTTTTTTGGTTGTAATCATATCACTACGGAGGCAGCATCATGGGATCCAGAAGTAGAAGACGAGCATAGAATGCATCACCATAGTAACAATGAGCTTAGTGAACACCAGGGCAGAGATGATATTGTCATGGAGGTAAATAAAAGTATATAAAATTCATGCAAATCCATCTGTCACTTTCTGACTCCGCAATGTTTGTTTATATGTAATTCATACATAGGAAGCACCGCTCATGACAAGTAGTAACGATGATGCGTACATGCAGCTATTTTTGAACAGGCTAAGCATTGTATCTGAGGATGCTCAACCATGTGTCGAGCTTTTCAGTCGTTGTCAACCTACAGGGAGCCCTCCTTGCGAAGAAACACGAAACCAAGAGTCTGAAACAACAACAAAACCAACAAACGTGATCATTCCAGGAAGCACCTCACTGTCAAATGTACGTTCGTTATTGACTTGAAACCGTATTCTTGCCAGCTCACATGCATGTGTGGCACTTGCTTATACCAATTTGTATTCATTTAGCTTTCTGATTTTATGCTATTTGATGACAACCATCAGCAGCAGGATATTAACATCAATCATGACGGTGGCCGAATGGCTTCTTATTGGAATAACAGCAGGGTGCCAATGAATCATAATGGTAGCTTACAAGAGCCCCAGCTCGCTACAAACGTACAACGGACGTCTTTTGTTTCTACTACTACGGCACCCGAAGGGCATCGGCAACAGCAGCTTCCTCCGTCTCGTGGCGACCAACTAGTGAGATCGGTCTTATCATCCAATGATCTACCACCGGGGAGATCATTTGCCGTGGAAGGAGAAGATGGTAAGGCTTGTCGTTTTTGCAATGAGACTTTTACTCGCAGGCGAGATCGAGTCAGGCACGAATTATCAGTCCATGACGATAGAAGACCACATAGATGCAATATCTGTGGATCTCGATTTGCCCGCAAATACGTTATGACAAAGCATAGAGGCAATAGAAAATGTAGAAGAGCCCGTCTTTTTAGAGCAGCACCTACACCATATATCCTTTTATAAGCTGCATTATGCGCATTCACATCGTACATGCATACCCTTTAGCATCATCAATCATTGTCTGTAATCATATCGTCGTTTTACAATTTCCTTTGAAGTTGTTTCATCTACCCTTAGAATTTGAGTTTCTGATTAGCACATGAACACGTCTTTCACGTAATAAATCTCAGCAAACTATAGCGCAGCTAATGAAGAGTTGTCGTTATCAATATAACAACATGAATTAGACCGTTGACCATAGCACTGGGTCGCTTTTTATTTTTTGTAGGCTGTGGAGAATTGAATCTCTGTAGTGATCAGGAGTAGCACTATTCAAGATTGTACATTTTTTTTGGACCAAAACCAAGGCATGCTTGGCTATAACAAAGAATATACATGTGCCATAATTAAACAAGCTCTATAATATTACGTAAAATCACACATATATGAGTAAATCCTTCTGCAGAAAAGAGTTTGCTACTGACACATAGTCGAATTACTGTAAATTTGTTGTGATGACAACTTTTAGTCGCATATTATATAATAGCCACAACAAGTAGAAAGGCGGACTATCCAGTATCACAGTTGCAGTGTGAGCATTTGTGTTTTGTATATTATCTCCGCCGCTCACACACTCAGCGACTCTCGTGCGTCTTTTTATTTTGGCAGCTGTGGTCAGTCGAACGCGGGTTTTCGCTTTTTTCCTTGGATCTCATTCCCGTCATCTGTACATAACCTTTTTCATGTATTTCTATATCATTAGTTGAGGCTCATTCTTTATTTCAACCATCAGAAAATAAATCTTTTTTACAGTGTCAGGAGCAAAGCCCTCTACCAACATGAACACAAACTCCATTACCTCACAGTCACCTACTTGGCCACCCGACTACAGTGCCTACTCAAGTAAGATTTGAGTAAAACAATGATTGACCTTTCTCTTGAGATTACCTTACCGTTACTTCATTTACGCTGACACTGTTTGCACTTTACACTGCTTGTGTATGATTGTTGCACAATTCGTTTAGATTCTGAGGATCAAGAAGTAATCGAGGCGTTACGCGCAGAAGCCAACAGTAGACGAGCGCCAGAAAGTTATCGGTCTTTCCTTTCAAAGCTATCGCAAAAGATATCCGGGCTTCAACTCCAAGCTTCGAATGCAGAAACAGAAACCAAAATGTATGAAGAAAAAATGTACAAGTCATCCAAAGAACGCGATGTATATGCCGACTATTTACACACTGCACGCGAAAATTACGAACTGCTATTTGAGATATTACAAGAAGAGCGGCTACAGCGTATCGACCTAGAAAAAAAGACATCTGATCTCGAAGAAGAGGTTAAAAAACTAAAGCAAGAAAACACACAAACGCAACAGCAACAACAACAGCTGCCAAGGACTTCCGCGCCAGAATCATCTACAACAACACCTACTGCTACAGCAGTAGCAGCAGCAGCAGCTACAGTAACAACATCCCCTCCAGTTATTACCGTACCATTAGCATCATCACCACAACTACATCAACAGGTGCTCTCTCCATCATCCGTCCCAAGTTCTTCGATACGTCAAACACCTCCACTACGGCCTTCAATACCATCACCTGTAGCAGCAACGCAAATACCGCAGCCACAACAGGCAGCAGCTGTGCCAACACACGAGCATTGTCATCAAATGCTCCGTAAAGTCAAAGAGAAATGGCAAGAGAGTGAAAGACAAATGAAACGATTGGCAAACAGTCGACAAGCGCTTGAAACCCGGGCAGCATCAATCTATAAGGAAGTGGAAGATCGAGATGCAACAATTGCTGAACTGAGAAAGGAGGTGGAATTATGGCGCCAACATTACAATGTTCTTTTGGAAAACTATCAGCAGCTCAAAAGCGCTGCTTCACAGGTGGCTGGTCACATGCCACAATACTTCCAATCTTCACAGCAGCAACAACAACAGCAGCATCATCATCATATTCATCCGCAGCAGCAACAACCAATACAACACATGCATCATCATCCTCAACAGCAACAACCACAGCAAGCCGCCATGTACATTGCCACAAGCAATGCGAATAACAACAGTTCTCCTAATAATAATACCTTACCAATGTATCCAACACATCGATAGTTACAATGAATAAAGCAACTACACAAAGCATCGGAGTTGTTGATACTTGGGAATTTCTCACTCGCTCTGCATGTAACCTTTTTTTTCTTCTCTTTATGAATTCCAATAAGAAATGGAGTGCCATTATTGCCATACTCACAATCGAAAATTCTACTGTCGACGATGCTTAAAAGACAAGTAAGTATGAGAGCCTATATAAAAAGGAAAAGAAACCCGTTCGTTTGTGTCCACTGAACTAATTTTGTGTGTAAGATTGGACAGTCATAATGTTGAACTTGCTCCGCTTGAAGCTGAGCGAGATAAGCTGGTTGACGAAGCTGCCGAATACGTGAAAAGCACCTCACGGATCCGTGAACTGTGGTCGAAAAAGCACATTTCCACGACAAATATAAAAAAAGCGAATGAAGAACGGCAGCAGTTAAATGAGGATTGTGTAGCAGGTTAGTAAAAATACGGGCCTGCCATTAACTGTATACGAGTACCAGATTAACATAATGATTCTTTTATGCAGCACGCCGACGCATACAACAATTACGTGTGGAAATTGAAAAACGTCGCAATCGACTTGAAAACGTGGATCGAGGTCATATTGAAGCGGCTATGGCTGATTGTGCAAATGATATTGAACATACCACCAAAAGATGGCACCGATTACATAAATCAATAGTCAAAGCACGAAGTGTTTTGGTTCGTGAGACCATCACTCTTTTCGAATTTAAGCCTGGTGTAGTGGAAGATAGCAGCAGTCCTGCTATAATGGCAACGGCGACAAGTATTGAACCTCGACCAATACCATCTACATCATCCTCCTCGTCTTCCGCTGCTTCGCCGAGCTTACCTTTTGCACAACAGCGTGGTAGTAGCTCGATACCACTGCAACATTCCCATCAATATCATCATCATCAACATCATTCCCAGCTACAGCACAATCTACAGCAACAACAGCAGCGGCAGCCAGAAGATTTGTATATATGCGGGGTGACGCTACCAGCTCGAGTGATTGATGTATCCAGTATGTTTTGTACTTAGAGGGAACGGAAGGGGAGTCGTGTCTTTCTATCAGCTTCAAAGAAGATTGTTGATTAATTGTATTATCTGCTTTTATAGAATACTCGAAAGAAGAGCTGAATGCGGCTATCGGTCATCTGACTCACATGCTCGGTCTGATCACTCGTTATCTGGGTGTGAAGCTCCCTTTTCCTGTTTTTCACAAGACAATGTATCCTTATGTACGTTCTGCTACAGCCAAACTACGTCATAGCAGGTAGATATGAAAAGTGGCATTTCTATCAGTGGAGATGGGAAAAGGAAGAAAATATGTTGATGGACATTGTTATATCATATTTTAGCAAGATGCCATTGTTTCTGGATGACAAGAACCTCCGACGGTTTACTATTGGCATGGCCATGCTTAATTATGACATTGCATATTTGTGTCACTCTCAAGGCGTTGAAATACAATTATCGCAAGTAGCTAATTCATTACAAGCATTAATGGCTTGCTGTCGCTCACAAAGGCTCGGACTGTAAGTGTGGCTTCGATCATAAAAAGAGGGGGACAAAGGGGAGAGGATTGGCGGCAGGAGAAGAATTGGTCAAAGCTTTTAATTTAATTCATAATCAATGCTGTAAACAACAATAAATAGAAGATCGCATCTCTCCATATACCAGAGCATCCGAGGGGTCGATTTTCCTCTCGAGTTTCACCAAGTATTGAAAATCACAGCGCAGCGATACCAAAGTGGATCCCCCATCACTAGAGAATTGAACAAAGAGCTGGTTCTCAATGGTCTCTTACAAACCAATAGCAACAACACTATGAACAACAGTAGCAGCAATGACGAGTGGTACTATTATGACGGATTACTCGACAATAGCGAGGATGACATACAGGATGACGAAGAAGACGAGTACGACGGTGACGGAGTTGGAGGCATCAATCGCGAAACTTGGAACCTGGTGGATGTGATGCCATCGTTTGGTCGACCTAATGGCGAAGGTGAAAGTATATTCCAGCTAGGCGCTACGATCATGCCTGGAGTCATTGGTATGAGCCGAAATGTCATAGGAAATATGATGGCGAGTGGATCATCGTCAGCATCACAAGATCATCATCGCCATAACAGCAGTGGTAGTGGGGGCGTAGAACAGCAAGATTCGCGGTCAGAACAGCAGCAAACGCACTTGCAGCTGCTGCAGCAGTATCCTTATTATTATCGCAGATTAAGTGCAGCTGTAAAACGAAATGGGCTTCGACTCAGCAGGCCGCTACTGTGATAATAAGGGTGATAATAATAGTAATAACGATAAAGTCAATAAAACAAAGTGCTGTGTGTTTGCTATGTACTAGATGTCAACGACTGATAATCTAATCGGCACCGAATGCGACTACAGATGGAAAATCAACAAATAAACAGACGCACTTTTGCTGTTGCTGCAATTAGAACTTTACTAATATTAGCGTGGATTTTTTTGTTCGGGGGTGAAGGCGACATATAGATGTTTCTTGGTAGAAGTTCTTACTATATAACCATCGCTTTTAGGTATGCAATTGAAACTATGCAGACCACACTTCTCCGTCTTTGTATGTGTGGTGCCAATACTACAGTGATACTATAGTAGTGAATCCAAAATGCACGTTGGCGCCCGCATTTAGATGTAATCAAATTTATGATTAATCGACTTGGCTTTTTTGATGTACATGTATGCATGCATGCACGACAGTTTGTATCACTTTTTTCTTCATTTTCCAGTCTTCTACTATATATTTACTACGCCCCCGTCATCGTGATTGAGAAACAGCGAACAAAGAGTTTCAAAGATCCATATAATATATACGTGGTTTGGTTTTATTAGTAGCACAGTGGCTTGCGTTTTTTAGCGTCTGAGAAAGAGAACGAGACAAAAGAGAGTTATTACATAGGACGAAGTGATAGGGAAAAAAAGGAAAGTAAAAGAACAGTTGAAGATATAGAAAATGCGCTATTTGCAAAGCGGCCAATTACAGACGGTTACAGGTCCATGGGGTTATCTACTATACGAATATAAAATGCATGTGCAAAGATTGAGTGGGTACGCGAGACTGGCGTGATTGGATAGGGCCTGGTGGGAGAAGAAACAAGTAAATAATATGTAAGATGTAAGATGTAAGATGTAAGAAGCAAGGAACGCGTAGGGGGGTTTTTTGGGGGGAAATGGCAAGAAGCTTTTTTTCTCGTGGGATGGGACTACTACGAAGAAAATGAAAGGGGGTATGCGATTGATGTGCGAAAACAAAAAGCGAGCCGCTAAAAAAAATGAGGATGGGAAGAAGAATGGCTAGACAAAGTTAGCTATGGGCTCTTCACCTCCCTTTTTTGATCCCAAAAGTCCCTTTGCGCGGCTTATGAAGCTTTCCCTGTGCTGGACAAAGCGCGACGGTGAGTGAGGGATGGATGGCGGTGGCGGTGGCACAGAGACAACGGCGCTTGTCGATCGACGGATGCTACTTCGATACCGCGAAGGCAGTTGATGAAGACGAGCGGCCGCACGCTTTTCGCCCTTGTCTGCTGCGGTAATGTACCAGCGAATTGCTTCCTGCATGTCCTTTGGAACGGCAATACCCACTTCATGAAAGTAGCCAATTGCATATTCTGCTTTGGGAAAGCCCATTGAAGCTGCACGGTACGCCCACGCAAAGGCTTGGTCCTCAGACGATTCCAGCGTGTCAGTTCCCATCAGATACCATGCTGTCAAGGCAAAGCAGGCCTCCGGATGATCCTGGTTGGCAGCGATACTGTAGTATTGGATACTCAGAGTAGGATCAATCTTGCATTGGAGGCGCCCGAACTCGTAGCATTCGCCCAAGCGAAAGGCAGAGGGAGCATAGCCCAGGCTGGCAGCCTCTGTGTAGAGATGGACAGCATATTCGGGATCGGCGAATATGACGGAATCAAAGCCCTTTTCGTGCAACAGTGCCAGTTCATGCAGTGCATGTGGATACTGAGGTGTTGCAGCCTCGGCTGAACGTTTGAGCCATTTGTGTCCGTCGCGCACATTGCGTGTAACACCCAATTCACCATTCATCTCGGCCAGTCCAAAGCGATACATTGCGCCGGGATGGTTTAAAGACGCCGCTTTCCTTGATGAGTAGAGCAGAATGGTAGCAGCAAGAGTCAGCATCTGTTGGTTGGTTACTATACTATCTGCACGTATACTAGCTACTGTGTTCTTACTTGTAGTACTGCGACGCTTTGGTCCTGTCACGCTTGGTCCCGAGTCCGTCTTCATAGCATTTGGCCGTACTATTGGTTATAAATAGAGGGACACAACACAACAACAACGATTAGCGGATACAATGTACGTACAACACACACACGCACACACGGACGTGTACAAATTAACAATAAGAATAATAAAAGAAGCAAGCACTTGAAACCTGTTGCTTTCATGTTTGCTTGCCCCATCCCATCCAAAAATAAGAATAACAAAACGGTAGGTTCCATTTTTATGCATAGAATCTGTCGATCCATGCACCCAATTGCTGGTGAACGCTTGGGGTGGGGGTGATGATTGAGTGTGTAATGGTGATGCGTATCAATTGGGGGCCCGGGGGGGAATAAATTCGTAGTGGCATTTTTGTCTGGTTCTTTAATGGTCGACGACGACAAAGACAACGACAAGTGTTCCACACAACATGAAAAAAAAGGAAAGGGGCGTTCGGGGGGGTGGAAGGCGGCTTGACAAGGGACTAAACCAAAACGATCATTTCAGGCGAAAATGTTCGCTCGACCTTTCTCTGTCTCTCAGTATCTCTGTGTACGATCCCATAATAGATCTCCGGCGAGCAAAGCCAGATAGACATGCTCATTGAGAGAAAGAGCGCAAGAACGAGAAAAGGCAGTCTATTTGTGTACACACACAAATATGCAGGAGATTTGAAATGGGAGGTGGATGCACATTGGGACACGTATTTTGGGTTAATAGAGAAAGGGGAGGAAAGGAAGGGAAGGCGGAGAGTTGTGTGCTGTGGGAGATGCCAGACATAGAGAACAAGTAGGACACTTGCAATTGGGCGGCAAGGGAACCGCGCCATGATGTTACGAAAGTATATAAAAATAAAACAGAAGGACACTTACCGAAACGCCGCGTCGGGATTGTGGTGTTTGGCTGCTTGTACAAACAAAGGGAATGCCTTGTCGAACTCTGGCTTGCCAGATCTGTGGAGTATTCCCGCTGCGTACATGTTGCCCAGATAGAACTGTGATTCGCTATGGCCACGCAGGGAAACTTGCTTGAGCAGCTTCTCCGCTTCGAGCAGATAAGATTGTCGCATCCTGTACTGGTTGGCTCGTTCCGCCGCACTGATCGACGTGAAAGCTGTTGAAGGCGTAAAGCTACGAACATCGTCATTGTTATTGTTATCATCGGTATCGTTGTCTTCGTCTTCGTCTACATGATCGTTGCTATCGTTACTGCTGTTGTTGCTATCGCGACGATGGTTGCTGTTGTTGCCAGGGTTGTCCTCGTTTTCATCGTCGTTGTCTTCTTCGTTGTCATCGAATTCGTCTTCCGGGACTTCAATGCGTTTGGCAGCCTCGACCAAAAACATGGCAAAGTCACATTGGATATCCAAATTGTTGGTCTTCTTGGCATTTTCTCTATACATGTTGATCGTTTTGTTGTACGATAGCAGCTCGGCATTGACTCCTGGCTTCAAGTGCGAGTGGTCCAGAAGCTGATCACTGCCGATGGTCATCAAGCTACATGATGATTGCAGTCGATTGGGTGTAGGTGATGGGCTGGCGAGTGACGTGGGAGTGGATGGCGTTGATAATGACAAGGTCGATAGGCTGGAGGTGTTGCTACGATTAGCGCCTTGCATTATTACTCTTGCGCCAGCACCAGTCATATTGGGAAGACGAGGAGATGATGGCGATGGTGCCATCGCCGTCGTCATACTGCTGGCCATCGTGGGCGATGGCTGAAGAGGACGTTTCTCCTTACGTTTGCTACTCATGTTGCTGTTGTTGGTGCTGTTGTTTCCGTTGGTGCTGTTCATGCGCGGGGGCTTCTTGTCATTCATGGTACTGTCCCTCTTCTTGGTATCAAGGGTCGATGGTGACGGCGTGTAACATCTGCTGACGCGACGCTTGAAATCCTTGAGCATTGTGTATATTACGGATGTATATGCGGGATGAGGAAAACGCCTCTCTTTTTTTTCGATGAAGTGTTGTTTTAAGAAAAGAGATGAGAGAGAAAGAGAGGGAGAAGGGAAAAGACTAGAAGGAAGGAATTTTTTTATTACTAGCAGCAAGGCGCTGCAGCTACCCAAAAGATTTCATTCAATCGCTTGGTATTGTACCCTACTCACATGTCTTTCTAAAAGTAAATCTCAACTCTCTTTCTGCAGCTACACAGCACATATGCGCTAATGAACGCTTATATAATTATTTGCTCAGTGTCAGCCATAACAGGCCTCATTATAATCGTAGTAGTAGTAGTAGTAATGGTCTCTCTCTTATAAACTCGCTTTTAATACCCTCTATAATATCAAAACTAGTCGTCGATACGAGCCTCTTCCCCAGGCTCTGTGTCGATTACATACCCCCCAAATGTAAAAGCATGCTCCTTTTTTTTCGCCTCAAAATCATAGTAATGTATCATTCAATTAGTCAAATGTATCACCGCCCTCTTCCCCTTTTACTAGGTCCCTCATAGTGGTCAAATTATTCAATAACCGTCCAAAAAATGCTTTCCGTAATCTCAAATAAATAGACGCGGTCGGGGAACATGACGCTACCTTCCGTCACCATGAGCGCACCAGGTTTAGTTTATAAACCCGAGAAGAGAGCACCGTTTCATTCTGCTGGGCTTTGCTGTTTGAGTAACCAAAACAGTACACCAAACACACCATTCGCTGGTCGCAAACCTTTCCCCAAATGGCCAAGACAATGTTCGTCTGTTCTTTTTTGTATGGCTCGTTTTTTTTTGGACATTTATCCCTCGCTCTCCTCGCTCCTCTCTCCTCAAACAGCCCAGAGCGAATCTTTTTCTTTTACATCATGCATGCATACACATCATCACCATCGTCATCGCCACCATCACCATCGTTCATTAGATGATATACGCGAAACTCTATTATAAAAAGTGGGTAGTGCACTAAAAGTCCAATACATAAGCCATGTCTCCCCAAAAAAAAAATTCTGGTTGGGTATTTCATGCGATGCGGATAAATGTATCATTTTAGACCGAGACGTATAGCGACGCCCTCATCGAGTCGCATCACATGTACATGATGATGTGTGCTCTCTATATGTAGTTGCGCCGGAGGGACGGAGAAGAACATCATGTCAAAGATAATAATAATACTCGTCGAAAGTGTTTCAAGTGACCAGATATACATCTTGATTAACTCTCGGTACAGTCCGTGTGTGTAAGGAGCTTGTCGTCGCGCATTCCTGCTATGTTTAGCTTTACTTTCTGCACGTCAACATTGCTCACATCTTCCTTGCAAGTCCTGCTACTGCTGCTCTATACATAATCATTTACTTGGTTTGATGTCGGGGAAGAATATACACAAGTATGACACATCCGCTGAAACTCCTAGTGTGTCTCACGCATAACGACCCCAGACACACATAGGCACACTACGGTAACTCTTCTCCTTCGCCTTTGTTTCTTTCCACGAAACGTTTTCTTCCAAATAATTCAAACAACACTACCGCCACCGTCATAGCTTCATCAGCAATTACACGCATCATTCAGATCCATGAAAGTATACCGGTGATGATGATTGTGTTAACTTTTTAATCAAGTGATTTTATTGAGTAAGTGTTCCGGTAAAACTAAAATGACAAAAAGCATGTTAGTGTGTCATAAAAATAATAAACAAAGAGAGACGGGGATGTGTAAATGAGGATGAAGGTTTGGTCGCTTGGCTTAGGCTGAGACCTAATGTACTCATGCACTATTCTAGGAAAAAAAGCCGTAATAAACTTACTGGTAAAGTGGAAAAGGTTTTCTGTCTTGTCAAAAGTTTTGACCATCGCTGTAAATGTATCATATGATTAGTTAGCAGTGGTGGTGGCAATAAACATACATATAGGAACGGGATCATTTTGCATGATAGATAATAGCTGATAATGGGATTAACTTACCTTTCGCAAAGCAAATAAGACCATAAAGAGAATCATCAATATGATCAATAAAGTAGAATGGCGGCCGCTTTGGTCTACTGCATTAGTAGGAGAAGCAGGGGCATTACCGCCGCTAATCCCTGGCTGCTGTCCTGGCGTGAATTGTCCCTGACCATCGCCGCTCAGGTCCATCTCCCTCAGGAGGTCCTCTGGATCCTCGTTCTTGGCATTGTTGTCCTCGTACCAAGGCACATCTGCGTCCTGTTCAAGCGCTTTTTCGAGGGAGTCGCCGATGCTTTGGTCATAATGATCTGCGAGTTTGTCATCTCCAATAATAGCCGGAGGCTGCTGCGGGGACTGGCCTATCCGCTCTTCTGAGTCTCCCTGCTTTTGCTGTGGTGGTATTACTGGGTTGTTAATGACATTTGGCGGTGGCTGTTGCTCTGGTGACGATGACAGGTCGCTTAATTCCGTTGCATCTTCTTCGCTCTCCTCCCAGCCATTCTGATGTACAACATCACCCAATGGCGTTATCCGTTCGTCTTTGGACTCCCAGCTCTTTTCTTGTCCTGCTGTACCATCCATTCCTGCTGCGGGTACCGGTTGTGCTCCTGATGTCAAATCTTCTTCTTCTTCAAAACCTTGATTAGCTAACTCTTGATCTAGGTCGTTGCTTTCTTCTTGTTGTTGCTGGCTTAATGATTGCTCGTGTTGATAGTCGTTGTCGTTGTTGGTATGGATATTATCGTCAAAACCAGCAATGTCGTCGTTGTTGACAATGGGTTCTTTGACGTTATTACTGATATTGAATTGTTCCTCGGTCTCGGTAATTCCTTGATCAAATTCGTCGTTACTGTTGTTGTTCTCGATATTAAAGGTTTGCTCGTCCTCATCAGCAAGTTCTTGACTTAATGCCTCGTCCTCCTGTCGTTCTTGTTCTTCCTGTTCTTCTTCGTCTTGTTGCTTGTCATCTTCATCGTCAAAGCCGCCTTCTTCTTCTTCATCCTCGTTACCGGCGACATCGAGCACGTCAGGGGCATAATCAACAGGTGGTTCAGCGTCCTGCTCAGCTTTGCCAATGACAATGTCAGGCTGAGGAGGCTCGTTTTCTTCCATTTCGGGGTCCAACACCAAGTCGTTATCGTCTTGACCGTTTGAGGAATCGTCGGCCCAAGTTTCCTCCTCTTGTTCTTCTTCCTCTTCCTCTTCGTCTTGGTTCATTTCTACGCTGTCTTCGTCGTCAATGTCAATATTGTTTTGTATATCCAGGTTTGTGTCATCTGGTAGTTGATCTAAATTGTCTTGGTCGTCGCCCATGACCTGAAGCGTATTGACTATAGCCATTGCGACTGCCACCCATCCGGTAGTGGTGGTCAGTGTTGTCTTTTTGTTATTTATCATTGTCATCATTATATAAAGAATGGGCGAGATTTAGGAAAGGAATGAAGGGGAGATTGTACACAGAAAAATATACGTGCGCGTGAGAGGAGAGAAAGTAAAAAGAGGTTTACAAATTGGCGGTATGTGTAAAAAAATAGCACATGAAAGGAATCCTCTTAATGAACCATGTCACGTAGCACAAGGCATTGTTCTGTTGCTTCGAAATTGAATAAAGCGTACATCTTCTTTATATCTCGAAAAGAAATGCATGTCTCTGCCACTCTAATTACGTTATTTCTGCATGTTCTTCGATATCATGGCAATCATGTTGTTGCCCAGGATGGTGCTCTCCGAGAAGCGATCCTCAAAGTATGCGGCTGATTCCGTAAATCGCTTTTGATATGCCTCCATGCTTCCTAAGGATACACTTTCGGCCCAGCCACGTGCACAGGTAACAAACTCCATGTCATCTGGTCGAATCTCTTTACGGTAAAGTGCCGCTTGGATCGCGTCTTCCAGCATGGTTGGATTGCGGAATAGATACTCCGTAATGCCCCTAAAAGAAGATGTACATCCACCGTTTAGCATTGATGTGTCCCCTTCTACCATCTCACCTGATATCCATTAGAGCAACCAGTAAGACGTACATCCATAATCTGAATAACGGAGTCTGACACACCATGTGTTCGTACGGACTCAAACGGAGTGTATACCAACAATCGACCTATAATAGGCAAATTAGCTTTCTCCCTCTGTCTCGGCATTGGACATCCTTTTGCTCCATAACGCATTCACATCTCTAGTATAGTTACCATAGCAAGCAGCGACAAGTGCGAGTTTGGCTGACGCTGTTGTGCTTTGGGCATCTTGGATAATGAGAACTCGTCAAGGATATCGTCTGACAGTAAAATTGGAACATGGTCCTTTTGTAATCCGCCAAATACATATTCGCCAGCCTCTTTAATCCGCGCTCGAAACTGTTCTTCTTTTTCTTGGATCATCAGTTTAAATAAATCTGCAACGGATCGTGCATACTGTGTAATTTGTACTTTGGCAATGGGATTCATGATAGCAAGACCTATTATCCTCCAAGAAAACATGTTAGTCCAAAATAAGAAAGGAAATGGATGATTCCTGTTCGGGCTGTACCTGCATAAACGTGCCATTTGTTGCTATAGATCCGCATTGCTACGTTGACCTTGACGTTTTCGATACCGCCCACAAAGTGTGGAATGAGCCACTAAATCGACAAACGAGATTAGCAAAGATGTAGACATGCAGACACATATACATATCATGACTTACGGGAAATTGAAAGTTTGCCTTCCATGCGCTTCCCATACTGTATAGAAGGACGACAACAAAAGTGAGGTTTGGTAAGCGCTCGGACAACTACAAAATCCTCTTACCTTAAAAAGGCAGCATGGGTGACAGCTTGTGTATCTGCGGTGATCCGATCATGCTCTTCGGCACTGAGATGTACAAAATTGGATTCGAAACATGACAGAATCTTCAATACGAGGTCGTACTTTTCGTCTGTCGCTCGCTGACATACAACAACCAGCGGCTGACCACGGGGATCGACGCCAGGTCCGTGCATAGAATGGCACGACACGATATGCACGTCAGATGGCAGATATTTTGTTAATGCATCGATTTCCGGCTGCTTCACTGATGTCTAGATAAAGAATATCCCAGGTCTTTAAGTATCTTTAAATACCCAACCCCACAGAAAACCTTCCCTTTCTCTCCTTCACATACCTGGCCTCCCACAATGGCACCCATTTTCGTGGCTAAAATAAGGATAACAAAGCTTAAAATATGAATGCCTTATTCTTCCGTCGCTTCAACTCATGCATCCACACTTTACCAGGTCCAAATTTCGCTACTACAGATTCGATATATTCGGCTTCAACGGCATACATGATCCAATCGCAACGACGCGAAACGTGAAATCCATCAGGCAATACATTAATAGGTGTTCCTGTGCAGCAAACGAGAGAAAGTAAGATTTTTGCTTCGAATACGAGGTCAAGCGATCTTACACTTTTCCACACTATAGATTAATACCTTCAAAGTCCTCTTTGAGCTTTTCGTATTTCTCTGGTAGATCGCATACATTCACGCTGGCAACAGTTTTATATATTTGTTTGAGTCATAATCGTACCGTGTAGTGGTTTTGTACGCGCAAAAAAAAAATAGGAAAAGAAAAAAAGCCTGGCTCAATCGCTTACTTTTTCCAGCCAGCTTTGGAAAGACGATGTGCATAAAATCGACCCATTCCACCTGCACCAATGATTCCGAGTTCGACATTCTCCTTCTCCTCTAAAGACATGGTGTGTGTTTCGACGCGTATGAGTAAAAAAAGGTTCGTTCTCCCTTTCTTGGCGGAGCTTTTAATATGCTTCGAATGAATTGCCGATTACCAAGGTGTACATACCGATCGTGCTATATAATGCTACATCTTTATGATATGTTCATAACGCAGTAAATACAGTGACCGTATCTCAGTATTTTCAGTGCATCGAGTAGCTTTTTTGATAAAGTCAAAGGATATCTCATAGTGGAGTTCATGCGTATTTCTTCCTCGGTCTACATGTTAAATTGAAGAAACTAACAGATGAGTTCGCATAATTATATGTAAAAGAGAGCATCATTAGTATAGCAGAATCACTCTGAAATATACCACATCTCTGCACTGTGTATGATCATTAACGACTCTTGAGTCTCCAATAAGTGTGTGTGGCCTCAGACGTGCAAAGCGGACTATGACATCTTTCACTACAGCGATCTGTAAGCCATTAGGAAGTACTTATTATTGTATATAGACCTACCAATATATAATACATTTAATACATTTTCTAGTGAAATGATCAGCAGATGTACCTACGAACTGTCGCATCATCCCTGCTTCTCTCACTGAAGATTATTACTGCCACAGTGTCTGATTTCAATATTATTAATTAGAAACCCTGGGCTTTAAGATAAGGGTAGGGTTCACTTTTTATGTAGTTTGCATCGCATAACATCTAACTCTCCAAAGACTTTTATTAAGCAAGGAAATTGCTTGCCACTACATTGCGTGTCATTTGCAGAAGAAGCGATAAGAGCTCAACACTCAACCATGGCATATATCAGGAGCAAGCAGGGCAGGGACATCGGCCCCGGGCGATTTCCTCTTTTCTTTAGATAAGCCATGTGACGCTGACAAATGTTTGCTTGATTATGCGATCGCGCATCCTCCTTTCAAAAGCGTGCATAAAAACGGGGTCCAAGGTGCAATGACGCACACAAAACTTTCTTCCGGAGTCTATGTGATACGATGAGCTATGTGGTGGAGAGAACTTGTGAAGCCCCTGTGCAACTTTTGAACAGGTGAATAGCTTGTGAAACCCTTGGGTTTACATAAGCCTGTGAAGCGTGTGGAGACTCCAGGTGAAAAAAAAAACCAGCTATAACCCCAAAATATACTCTTCTCACCTTTTTTTATCCTTTCTTCAACTTTGATTTATACTTTGTACTTCTTTAAGCTTTAAATCTACCACTGCTAATATTACTTCAACCACACATAGTACAAAATGTTCGACTACAGCAGCCATTCACATCGTCGATATAATCCACTGACGCGATCCTGGGTCCTATGCTCGCCACATCGCAATAAACGACCGTGGCAAGGTCAGAAAGAAAAAGTCAACCAGGAAGAACGACCTCGGTATGATCCACAATGTTACCTATGTCCCGGAAACAAACGCGCACACGGTGACGTAAACCCACAATATACATCAACATTTTGCTTCACGAATGACTTTGCAGCGGTACAAGGCGATCAGCCGCCTTCACCGAGTTCCAGCGAACAGGACGATCTGCTGCGTACCGAGGGCGTACGAGGCGAGTGCCACGTGATTTGCTTCTCGCCGCGACACGATTTGACGATGGCAGAAATGACCACAGACGATATCATCAAGGTCATCTATCAGTGGATCCAAAGTTATCGCGACATGTCTACAAAGGAGTTTATCCGCTACGTCCAAATCTTTGAAAACAAAGGTCAGGCCATGGGCTGCTCCAACCCACACCCGCATGGACAGCTATGGTGCTTGGAGCGCATACCGGTGGAGCCACAGCGTGAGTTTGACTCGTTACTGGCGTACCGTGAAACCCACAACGGCCACTGTCTACTCTGCGACTACATCAAACGAGAGCTAAAGGAACAAACGCGCATCGTTGTCGAGAATGACACGTTCGTTTGCCTCGTTCCCTTCTGGGCTGTTTGGCCTTTTGAAGTACTGTTGCTCCCAAAAGCTCATGCCACCTGCCTGCCCAAATTGACGTCAGAACAAATTGACGATTTAGCAGATCTGTTGCGAAGGATCACATGTCGCTATGACAATCTGTTCCAATGCCCATTCCCGTACTCGATGGGTATTCATCAAGCACCTGTCCAAGAAAACAATGATTATGCGCACATGCATTTCCACTTTTATCCGCCGCTTTTACGTAGTGCCACAGTTCGTAAATTCCTTGTTGGGTATGGTTCATTATGCTGCTTTTTGCTTGCTATTAAGGGGACATGCTGACAATAACGATCGCTTAAACTCTCTTTTTAGATTCGAAATGCTTGGAGAACCACAGCGTGATATTACACCGGAACAAGCTGCTGAACAATTACGAGGGTGTTCAGAAGTACATTATAAACATCAGCAACAACAACAATAACTAATAAATGATAAATAGAAATCGATTACATGTTTCAATGAAATACATAATGATCGTACGCTGCAGTTGTACCCGGATTATGTGCTTTATCACACTTGCTGAAAGAGCTAGATCAAGTGGTACATTCAGTATCCATGACTTGTCACTGTATCTGCTATTAAAAGAGTAGAAAGAAGCGCCTCTATTACTGTCATCAACTACGATCACTAGAATATGTCCAAGCACTTATTATCAGCATGATATTATTCACTTAACAGCTTTCAATGCTACTATGCAGTCATGTAGTCGAAGAAGACAAAAAGAGAAAGAGAAAAATTTCCGCACCAGAAAGAAAACCGAGGAAGGAATAAAACAACGTTCAACAAACATAAGAATACGTAAATTTATTCTGTAGTGGGTTGTTTCTTTTTCTCCCTTTCCTCCTTCTCCCTCTTCTCTCTCTCTCTCTCTCTCTCTCGCTCTCTCGCTCTCTCGCTCTCTCATTCTATAGCACTCAACTCTCGAAAACTAACACGCCTAGATGGATGATACCCCACGCGGCGGCAGTAGCAGTAAAATGACGCCTCCTTTTACCCCCAGCTCATCTACAGCCAACATGACCTTGTCATCCTCATCAATCATCAACGGCCACAACAATACCACAGCAGCCGAACACGACGAATGGGAAGCCATGTTCGACCCACAATACACACACCTGCGGCGACTCACTGCCCGTAAAGATACATCGCCTGGCCCATCACTAGCAGAGACACCTACGCTGCCAAGGATCGATCATATCAAAGTACAAGCGCCATGTCCCGACCAGATCGACATTCTACCATGTCCTTCTGCATCGTTTGCAAAGCATCAACGGAACGAAGCACGGCTGGGGCTATTACAGACGATACGAGAGCAAGGACTATCGGATCGACATGATACCTGGAAACTGATGGACCAACAAGAGGCACAACGCAACTGGCAAGAGCGTCTACAAGAGAAGATCAATGAGGACCAAGAAGACGATGATGACAACGAGGATAATGATCCTGAGGGCGGGGACGATACGACAGAAAAGCCGAAAAAGAGGAATGACAAGAAGCCTGTACGGCGTCGCTCCTTTTTGTACTTTGCTTTTGGGTTCTTGTTTCCACCTCTATGGATCATTGGTGCATTGCATGTACCGCCACAGCGTCAAAATCCCGGTAGTCAGGCTGTTGACTTGCTCTGGAAACGGCGTTCTCGCAATGCATTTTTCATTTTCATTGTTACTGTTCTTGTTATACTCATTCTTACCCTAGTCCTGAAACCTGCGTCTATCGGCTGGCGCACCAGTAATAATATGCGACCTCCTCCTCCTCATCCACAACAGCCACCGTCAGACGAAGAGATATAAAGTTTTACTTGTGTAATATTCTTTCCTTTTTCTTTATTATTATTGATATTTCATGTGTGCGAGTAAACGATGTGTTTATTGCTTGTTGGGATGAGGAAAAGAAAAAGTGTATAAATGCGATGAAAGGGTGGCGTGGAAAGCAGTAAGAACATGCATATTATGCGAAAAAGAAAATGGTATGTTTGTACAGAAAGCGTGGATGTGGATGTGAGCTGAGCGATGAGAAAGAGCGGTGTGGAAAGGTGTAACAGAAGTGATGACATGGGATGAAAGATGCTTGACGTGGGATAGAGGTGGAATTATGCGAGTATGTGTGGGCTTGGACTGATGCTCATGGCTGACATGCCCGTTGCTACTTCTTCGTCCTCTTCATCGCTGCTATCTTCTCCACTTGAATCGTCGTCTTCGCTCGATGAGTCCTCGTCTTCGTCGTTTTCACCCCGCCATACAGAGTATATGTTCTCGATGAATTGGCTGCTCGTCTTCAACTTGTACGGGTCAAACGGGAAAAACGACTGGACCGCTTGCAGATTGGTGTGGCCCATGCCGGATATAGCGATCTTCTTGTTTCGTTGAATAATTGGATGGACATACATGAAATTGGTTGTACGTGCCATATGTGCAAACTGGTTCACGACCAAGTCTGAGCAAACCTTGAGTGGATTGAGCCGACTTGAGATCAATCGAGGCAAGTTCTTTAAACCGACGCACCAGTTGCGCGTCACATCACCGTTACCACCAAGAGTGATAATAGGTACAGTGTCGACCTCACCATTGCTGCCGATGGTCTCATTGCTGCTAGCTGCGTTTGTGCTCATGGGTGGCCCTTGCTGTACAGGTTCTTCCACTACTAGATCCTCCAGACCGTCCTCGCACACAAGCTCTCGCCAGCGGAAACAGAAAATGTACATGATAGCCTGCATCGCTGCGTAGAATATGTCGTACTTGGATGCATCCGGCTGGGTTCCACGATGCTCGTGATGGTCGACGTAGTCATTGCACCACTGCGAAAGCACGTTCACAGATCTCTGGATACTGCTGACATCAAGGAACTTGGCACGGGCGACATAGGACGCAATGTACATGGCACAGGATATGCGAGTAATACCCGGACGCGATGGCTCCATCATGTGTTCCAGGAGATGGTTCAAGAAGAGCTCTGGGTAGGCATTCACGTCGAGCGAGCAAAAGTAAAAGACCAAGAATTGGGTGTAGCGCGATTTTAATGTCTTGACAACAGTCCCATCAAAAATCGTAACGAGGTTGTTGAACATATCGGTGCGTTCAGAAGGGGTGGCGCCGTCCATGCCAAAGCTGGAAAGATATCGTAGCAGCAGTAGCATCATGGCATCGAGCTTGCGCGTCATGGACTCGATCTTCTGTTTCCGCTTCTCTTCTGACAGCTTCTTTTCAGTCTCATTGTCGCTGTCGTCACCGTCAGCATCGAATTCGTCGTCGTCACCCCCGTCATCTTCATCCGAGCCCTCATCATCGCTGTCGTCCGACATGTAGTCCGCATCGAAATCCAACGTAAATTCTTGTAACTCCACATCTTCTTCCAATTCATCGAGTTCGATTTGAATATGAGCCTGTATTGTCATCAAATCCCGCGCCGCAAAGAGGTGAAGTTTGTTAAGAGAAACATTGCAACGATACGAAAATGTACTTTCACCACAGCGGGAAAGAAAGAAAGACATCTTACATCAAACTGGATCATGTGCGTTATCAGCAACGACATTACATGTTTGCGCAGAAAAGGTATGTACGTGGTGACTTGGAGAATATTATTGATGTATGCAGCCTGGCTGGCACTGCTTTCGTGCGTTCTGGGAATGTACGAGAGGATGGCTTGCTGTAACGCTGAGATACTGGTTGGGATCAATTTGAGAATGCTCTTGAGCGCAGCATGATTTCGTTTGTATGCGTCTGAGCGAGATACTTTGGCGTATGATGGCATAAACGGACCTATGTTACCGATATGATAAAGCCAGCCCTCAATGGTTAGTATCCCATGTCCAAAAGGCCCTCCTTTCTTTGCTCCACTTACGATAACCAAATCCCTTGACCAGTTTGCGAATTACGGGTACGACGTAGAATGCATGCGCAGACACAAGGTGTTCAAGGAACGCTACATAGGCATCTGCAAACTTGTCTTCCCGGAAAGCCCAGTCAATGTTCAGCACTGCCTCTACCAAAGTGGCACATGACTTGTCAAGCTGAGATACGTTTTCCGACAGAATTTGGATCCACAGAAAGAGCTTCAGAGCCGACGGTGCATCGGCATGATTGGGATCAGTCAGCAGTAGGCTCGCCAACTCCTCGTAGCGCTTGAGGTTACCCTTTTTGTGTGTGTGTGTGTGTGTGTTGTTAGAGTTGGTTTTTGGGTTGAATACAGCAAAGGGGAGAGTAAACACATAAAGTAAAAGAAACAAAAAAAAGTAGTTGAAGAAGGAGGAGGGCAGCACGAGCAAGAGTTCGTATACCAGGTTTTTCCGTCAATTCCTTTTCACACTTTTTTTATACATCTTTTACAAAAGCGATTGGGCTCTCCCTTTTGTGATCTTTGGCCTTGCGTCATTTCCCCTCAGAACAATACGGTTGTATAGAAAGCTGCCATTCGCTTTTTCTTTCTAGTTTTTCGGTTGAATCTTTTTTTTTTCGGTAAAAAGTGTGCAATTGGGATCATGTATGAGCAAAGTTCCTTTCATTGGCTCCTCCCTTCTTTCCATTCCTTGGAAAACAGAAAAGATAAAAGGGGAAACAAAAGCAATAGAAAACATAAAGAAGAAGAAAAAAAGTCAATGTGCTGCTGCGGCATATTTTACCTGTTGCTTCTCTTTCAAGGCGCCAGTGACAAATGTCTGCATGATCATTTTGGTATTTGTCAATTTTGCTCGAGACACATTGTCAATCGATGTTTGATCGATTTCAGGATCGCGGTACGTATCCATGACCATCGGCATCCTGTTTTTTTTGGAGTTGCGTGTAATAGAAGAAAAAGAAAAAAGTTCGGGGAAAGGGAGAAGAAAGTGCTGCCTACTGCTGCAGATAAGACTTCAAAGCCACAAATTTGAACTGCATTTTGTGGCACAATGCCACCATTCGAGAATACTCCAAAGTCCGAAAGTATGTATCGCTTATATAAGGCCCATTCTGCATTCTGCAATCCGGGTCAACGTTAGTCAGTCATTACAGTAGAAATTGATCCTGCAGTGGGTAACCCTTCTCATTGACAGCATAAATTGACAGCCCTTACACATTCTTTTGGGATAAGGTCTATTGCCATGATATGAATAACAAGACGACCTTCTTCAAGTACAGGCTATCTCTTATACTGCTCTTCTACTACATTAGAGCTTCTTAGAATAGTACTATATGGACCTATATCATTCTACTATATTACAAAATGCTTACAAGACTACTAGAGAGCTCAGGATCACTTTTGAGCGGCTTCTGTTTTGGATGATCATATGCCGTAGAACGATGGAACTCCATCGGCCCATTTTAGCTCGCAAGCAACAGATTCGTCGCTGCTCTGACTACTGTACATAAAGAAAGAATGCTTCAATGGTACATCTGCGTAGTAATATCAGCACCTTTGGCAGAAAGAAGCCGACGACAACTCTGGGGGATACTCCTGGGAGAGTGTTAATAAGAACAAGCGACCAAAGCATCATAATGTCTACATCAGTAGCTAGCATTTCTTGTTGACCTTTATTTGGCGAGGAGGAAGGTGAAGAGAAAGTGAGTTAATTTAGTATACAATATTATGATATACCACTTTACTGATACATTTTTCCGCATAGTGGGTAGTCGGTGGCACTGACATGACACGAGCACTGCGAGAGTGCAGTCAAAAAGTCCAAAAATGGCGCAAGCATTTTTTTTGATTCACGCGCTCCGGTACTCTTTGGCTGGATTCATGTACTAAATCTCTGTCGTACTTATTCGTATTGTTATCAACCCAAACGATGCCTGATATCGACAATGCGTGTGCCAAAGAAGAATATAATGGAGGCGTCAAATAAAATTAAGTACTGGGCTCAGATAGACGACAACGTTGGGGTACTAGCATACAAGTACTCGTTTTGCGACTAGGAGAAAAGCAACAGAAGCGACAGCAGCCACCGGAACTCAAAGCTGGCGGCAAGGTTATCATGTATACCGTCTTCGAGGTTTCCACACTCCGGGCATCACGATAAGAAAAAGACAATAGCCCATGCAAGCGTGAAGCATGTGGTAATCCAGATGCAACAGAAATTCTTCGTTATAGCATACTAGCTACAAGCAAGGACGACATGTTTGTTTGAAGAATCAAAGGTCTTCATATTCGCAGAGCACAACAATTCACGCACATAATAACAAATACAAAACACGTGGATAGCCGTACGAGCATAGAAACAAATGGTATCTTACGATACCGAGTTGTTTTCTCGCACTTGGCCTTATTATCATGTTGATAACGGCTAATTACAACATGTTTTTTCTTCACAAATGCCTCAATCAGCGGGCTCGTGATATATAAAAGTGTAGGGAATTGATACGGGCACGACAAGTTATTTCCTTATATGTTCGGGGCACGACAAGCTCTAATAATAAATATGCTATGTTACACAGAGCAGCATAATAGCTGACACTCTTGTGTTACTTATAGCAGATGGGTGGTGTCGTGCCCGTAAGAAGCACAGCGCGTATGTATTATGTAAAAAGTCAATTCGATGACATATGTAGGTGGGACGCGTCGTGCCCGTAAGGAGGAAATTTTGAAGACGTATAAGTAGAAACTTGCCTTGTTTTATTCTTTAGCACGTTTTCGTACAAGAGCGCCTCTACTATACTTAATATTTCACACATTCACAGCGCTACATAGAAAGGTTTCTCTCTTTGTATTTCTCTTTTTTACATTTTAAACCATCATATATATCTTCTCTAATTTTCCTCTACATAGATTTCTTTTGTCTCTCAATGGTTTTAATTTATACCGAATGCAGCTGTCAGCTTGATAACATACTTCTTGACGTACATATTTATATAGTACAAACGTTTGCTGGGCAAATATCTATGAAACTTTTCATATTCTATTTAGAAATAGTATGGAATATCCTATATCAAGTAATTTTACACTGTACTGCAGAATTCTTTGATTAATCAAAATCTGGCTGTGATCTATGAGCAAATTTGAACAGAAGACTTATAAATAAGCACAAGAAATCAATGCTTCTTACGGGCACGACACCACCCATCTGCTGTAATTAACACAAGAGTGTCAGCTTTTATGTTGCTCTGTGTAACATAGCATATTTATTATTAGAGCTTGTCGTGCCCCGAACATATAAGGAAATAACTTGTCGTGCCCGTATCAATTCCCAAAAGTGTATATCATAGAGAGCAAATGAACGTCACGGAAAGGAGGTAGTATTTGTACAGAAAAGTGTGGTGTAAGTTTACCGGTTCTTCTATTTCTCCAGTATCACATCTTGATAATTTAATGCGTTAAAAATACTAGAGATATGTTTAATGCAATTGAGCTACATGTACACATTGTGTGTGGCAATGGAGAAAGCCACTACTCTACTGAAAACAAGAACTGCGCTAACTTTGTTTATGAAGCACAATGTTCGCAGCTGCTGAATGATCACTTTTGCGGAACTTAAAGGTTGGCTCCCAGCTGCATCCTGTGATGCCATCAAAAAAGGGTTGCGGGGTGCATTCATCGTCCATACACTCGAGAATCGAATCTGCGGTAGATGAACCCTCTAACCAAGCACCATGCAGATATCCGTAGTAATCTTGTGAATAAGCCTCCCCACTCCAATGCAGCTGAAGATATACACATTTGTTATATATACACAGGAACATAGAAAAATATATCACGCACTAGCTCAGCTTTACGGAAACACTACCTTTGGCTTTTTGCTGTCTGCTGGAAGTGGAGCGCGTATGTTGTCATGGTGTTGCGTTTGCATACCAATGGGCCAATTCGAGTAAGAGCCCCGAAACAATGGGTTACTATGCCAACGTGGAACGAGGATCTCTAAAGGTCGTGGAACAGTGAAGTCTGGGAACATCCGCTGAAGTACGGCCGTGATTTCCTCGATAATCTCGGTATCGGACATTCGCTCAATCCGTTCAGAATCTTTATAAGTTGTTGTCACCATTAATATATTGTCGCGTCGTTTTTCGTCGGAATTTTGTGCAGAAAAGTAGCCTGGTGCGTTTAGGTTCTGCCACACTGTGTAACCACTGTCTGGCTTGGTGCCGTTGGTGTCTGCATAAAGTGCAAACTGTATAAAAGTGGCAACATAACATTTGTATAGTAAACAAGGCGGACATAGGTACGACGGCCCTTTTTGTATCCGTATGCAGCATTAAGTTATATAATTTGTTATACGTACCTGCCAGTCACCCCAAAACTGATGGTCAAATTTTACAAAGATTTTAGTATAAGTTGTCATGTGGAAGCTGAAAAGGGCTTCCTTTTTCCACTCAGGAAGCTCTGGTATGAATTGTACGGTGTTGCTTTGAAGGACACCGAGACTAATGTACGAACATTGTCATGCAAGTAATCAGCAGCAGAAGCCGACGGTCTATCTCCACCCTTCCCCTACCTTTCAACTTACGAGAAGGTGCACAGTACATAGTCGCCAATAATCTCATGGCCATTGTTTGTTGTTACCCTGACCAGTCCATCAGCATCGGTGGTAGCTTGACTATAGTCTACTTGGGTAACCATCGTATTTAATAACAATCTTTCATCCTCTTCTTCCAGGAACATATCGGCTTCTTTGCGTAATATAAAGTTAAATCCTCTGTAATGTAGTAACAAGAAGGTGAGAATGCTGTGGAACTATTAAAGTTCACAGGCTATGATCGTCACGGGATCCTGCGCGTGGTTATTCGGTACTCCCAAAAAAAAAGCTTATTTATCTTATACCTATGATCCACCACAAATTCATTTCCAAAAGGGAAAGTGCCAACGGTCATATCGGTGGTACCGGTTGCATAATCCAAAGAGGCCACTTCGGCAGGCTCTGCCAGTTCCCAATCAATAGCGAAATATTCGACTGCTGATTTCAGGGGCGTGTCTGGCTCCCAACCGAGTAACCGGAGAGCGGTTCGACTGGATAGATCGACTTGGTTTTTGGACAGTCGTTTCTCTACGATGATATCATTATTTAGATTAGTTCTGAATGTGTTTACTTGTTTGTTTACCAATCAATCGCCCCCTTTATCATTTAATAGGGGATACCTGCGTAAAGCACCATATCCTCCATGACTTGCTCAAAATCCTCGGTGGTTTTGTGGCCCATCTCTGTCGATGTCGGGCCATAAGCATCAAAGTACACGACGTCTCGTTTATCATTAGGAGTTGTTGCGAGGCCATGGCGTACGGCTAGCCTGTAGATCGGATTGGCTCCTTTGCCATATATCTGATATACATGCCACGCTGTTTTATTTAGATAATGACTTGTGCACACATGATTTCGAACCTATCACTAAAATGTATGTATGTGTTACCCAATTTGCTCCGAGCTCAACAGAATAATCGCCAAACGGCTGATGCTGGACTCGACCTTGTGTGATTATTTTTTTTTGAAATCAGGAACTATGGTTAATAACCCTCTCTTGCGCTTCTCCGGCCCTTATCGCGCGAATATCAGAGAGACAAAGAAGCAGTATACCTCCAATGAATGACTGCGCTTCGATAATCATGAAATCAGTTTCATTCTTTTGGCTTAGACGAGATGCAGCAGAAATGCCAGCAGCACCAGCCCCTAGGATAGCCACTTTGGTGCGGTATTGAGCTGCGTGGCATCTCGTTGTAGCTGTAGCTAGCAGCAGCGTGGAAACAAAAGTAGTAAGCAGGGATATCCGCACTATCATCACTAAGAGTGAAGAAGAAGAAGAAAAAAAAAAGAAATAAGGATTGAGGAGAGAAAGAGGTTAAATGGTGCGGGTAATACATATCGCAGCAGCTAAATAATGCTAAGAAGAATAATAGCGATTTTTGATACGTTCTTATTACTGGCGCACATGAAGAGGGACGAGTTACCATGGCGGTCTACATGTCCTAAATTCGACCAATATCTCCGATAATCCGATTGGCCATCCACTCCCATGTATGACACTTCACGTGAGCAACAGCAGCAGCAGCAGCAGCAGCAAGCATTTGTCCTGCTCTGGTATTTACGTTTAAAGTATTGATTATAGTGACGCCTACGATGAGATAAAGGGAAGAGGTATATATTATATATTCTCTTTGGAAGCAAAACACGGACTTGTTTCCCATTGCGGAACCACATTCCGCATAACCAAGGGGCGACCTAGAGAACAGCAAATAAGTTTGTTTTGCCACATGCAGCGTAGTTTTTGATGGGTTGCGTTGGGCTCCTTCTTGATGACAGGGTTGATGAATGGGGCGAGTGCATATCATCTCCTATTATACAAATGCGCGCGTCGTTGTCGTCCTCGTCCTCGTCCGCTTATAAGTTGAGCCGCTTGATGGTCTGCACCTCCTTTCTCCTGCTGCAGGAGGTTAAAAAAAAAAGAGGCATTTTATTTTGCGGCATTATCTTTGAAATATTAAGGAGGAGAGGTATTTTATTTTTTATTGAAAAGTGGCGGGATCATCATATGTAAAGAATTCGTTTTTAATGCAAAAATAAAGAAAAAAAAAGGTAGAAAAGGGTGGCTCTTTCTCAATGTTTTTCGAGTTGCAAAAAAAATAATAATAAAAAAATAAAAGAAGTTGAAATAAAGGGATTTTTTCGTATGGCCAGTCTTGATGAGAGCATATGAGTTGGAGTTGGTGGGGGTGTGCGAGAAAAAAAAAATGCTTATATACAACATATAATTAAAGTAAAAAGAAAATGCGCCAAACATGATATAGAGAGAAAAAAAATGCGGGGTAAAATATAAAAAAAAGTGGGGGGGGATGGGTTGGTTGGGGGGGTGGTCATGGAGAGTGAATTATAGGAAAAAGTGTCTGTCAATCATGAACATCAACGGTGGATGTGGAGACGATGCATATACAAAGGGAAAAAAAGCACATATGTAAGAGAGTAGAAACTGCGAATAAAAATAAACTGACGATGAGAGCGAATAATAAAGAAGAAGATAATGGAATAGTAATAATAATGATAATGATAATAAAAAGAAACGAGTGGCCGGGTTGGGTTGCGGTTTGTTCGATAATAATGATGATGTTGTTGTTGTTGTTGCTAGTAGCAACAAGAATAATAGAGTGAGCAACGTTACATCATTGCCATGGAAACGTCTGTTGGTGCGACAAACGGACCATAGTCCTGCTGCTGCTGCTGCTGCTGTTGTTGTTGTTGCTGATGATGGAAGCTGCCGTTGTATTGAAAAGCGCTCGGTGACAGAAACTGCTGCTGCTGCTGCTGTTGTTGGAACAGCTCAGGCTTGTACGACGAGAAGAGCGTCACCGGTGGGCGTGCATAATAGCGATCGGCAGTGTTGAACATGAATGGACCATGACTGTTGCTGTCCGAGACGACCATATCATCAGCAGCAGAGATGAACTGGGGCTGATGGTAGTAGTGCTGTTGCTGGTTGAAATGAATGGCCGAAGCTGGCGACGATGTGAGCGACGAGGCCGAATCACCTGCCTCGGACGACGAGTTGGTACGCGATCGCATTATCGGATAGTGCGGAAGACCACCCGCTGTCGTCGTCGGAGCCGGTTCATTGTAAAAGCTGTCCAAATCCAACATTGGGCTGAGTGTGCTGCATCGACTGTTGTCACTGCTGCTATTGCTGTGCGTTGTTGCTGGAGGCGTCGTCGTACTACTACACATTGCTGCTGCTGCTGCCGCTGCTGCCACCGTCTGCTGCCAAGAAGTGGGCGGCGTTGCTGTTGTTGTCGAAGAACAACCACAGTCGTTGCTGCTATGCCCTTCGGTCGTCGTCGTCGCTGTTGTCATCATTGCATCGTCAAACAAGGTGTTGTCATTGTGGACCATCTTTTGGTGATCCATCAAAAAGTCCGGATGCGTGAATCGTTTCCCACACATGGCACACATGAATGGCTGATCCAGTTCGTGTGCTCGCAGGTGCTGATCCAAATGCTCCAACAATTTGAACATGTGGCCGCACGATGGTTGTGGGCAAGTGTACGTACGTTCAGGCTCGACGAGCTTTGTGGTTGCTTCTGTTCCTGTCGCTGTCGCCGCTGCCATGACAGGTTGCCAAGTGGGTGTTGGAAGCTGCTGTTGGACGGATGCCTCTGCTGCTGCTGTTGGAGAAACGAACCCTGCAGCTGCTGCTGCCATGGCGAAACGGCTGCTGCTATTGCCACCGTGATGATCATAGTGCTGTTGCGTTGGCGTGAGCGATTTGACAAGGGGAGCAGGCTGATGATGATGAGATGGCTGTTGCTGGTGTTGGGCAGCTACTACGGCGGCGGCAGTAGCAGCAGCAGCTGCTGCTGCTGCTGCAGGATCCATCATCGTGTGGCGGTGATGGGGATGAGGAGGAGGTGGAGGATGCACCAATCTGTACGAGGAGCTGTCGCCGCCTACCGTGGTTTGATGACGGTGATGCGTATGGACTGGAGTGGTAGCATTGGACGTAGCTACTACTGCTGGCGAAGCTGTCGCATTTGCCACTGCTGCAATACTGGACATGGGATTAGCTGTTGCTGCCGAAGAGGTTGAAGCTTGACGGCGTCTGCGCTGCTTGTACGTTGGCGAGCCATCGAAAAGCGACAGTGTGCCAAAGATTGCCTTTTTCTTCTTGAGCGCGTTCGAATCGAGCGGGGACTTTGACGACGAAGCGTCAGACGACACGTGTGGTTGTTGCTGTTGGCGAGCTACACCAGCACCATTGACGACGACAGGAGCTGTAGGCTGATCATTACGACCGGGGGCCCGAGCCATTGGCTGTTGCGAAGACGAGGACACGGCCTTGGGTGAAGTCGTCGTCATCGTCGTCGTCGGTTTGCTTACTTTTGCATAAGCTACGTGGCGGTGAGGGTGAGCACCATCCAAGCTGGACGACAAGCGTCTTCTGGCAACTGAAGCAGACGCAGGCGAGCTGGGTGTGGTTGCACGGCTTCGCACACGAGGTCGGGCGGGTGTCTGTGGAGGGGCAGCGTGTCCCGCATGACTCAGGTGGTGATAGTGATGGCGACCGCTGCTGCCAGTGGCGGTAGCTGGAGTCGTCGTCGTCGTCGTCGTTGCTGGCACGGAATTTACGCGTGATCGACGGACTGGAGACGTTGTGGTAGGGGTGGTACTAGTGGCGGGTGGTTTGCTGTTGACGATGGCAGCATTGGCAGATCTGTTGCGTTGATGCGGTGACCAGCCCCAATAGCCTGCTGCATAAAAAAAAGGGTAAACAAAACACTTGCCATGTAAGCTTCTCTTTAAGCCTTGGTAACTTTTTCAGGTTGTGCCTTCCTTGCTACCTTGTGTATGGGGTACGGTGCTACATCGAGCCGCTTCATCTTCCAGTGCATGCGCTGTTGCTGCAGCCGAGAGTGACATGCTCTTTCTCAATTGATCAAAGAGCTCCTGCGTCGAATCAAGGGAGAGCGAGGCTGCAGGCTCCGCAACGGCAACGGTGGTTGGCTCCATGTCCATCTTCTCCCGCTTCAGATCCCGTTCCAGGGCATCAAGGAACAGACGATCATGAGGAACAGAGTACCAGTAGAACACCTTTTGCTTCTTTTGCGTGCGGATACAGTTGTTCTTGTAGAGCATATCCAGCAATTCGGATTTGGGCTCTTCCAGGCGGGCGTCGCTTCCGGGCTTGAGGTTGCGCAGGTCGCTGAAGATGCCTTCTTCAAACTTTTTGGCGTTTGTCACTGGACGGCCGAACGCGTGGAAACGGAAGGTGAGCGAGCGAACAATGTCGGTGCCGGTAATGTAAAACAGGTCGTTCCACAGCACGCAGGACATGTCCTCGCCCGTTGGCAGCCGGAAACGCTTGATGGGCGCGCTGTCCTCCCAGTTCTCCGTTGCGGTGGCCAAAAAGTACTTTAGGTCGTCAATTTGCGCCAATCGCTCAGCGGTGTTGCTGTTGGTCGGTGTGGGCATGTTGTTTGTGGTCGACGACGAGGCGGTGGAGCCGGTGCTGCTGCTAGTGGCTATCACTGGCGACATTGTGCTGGGCAACCCTCTGTTGGGATGCATCTTGGTGGGTATCGTCATGGAATAATTTGTTCCGTATGCGAGTGTGTAATGTTTTTTTTTTGTGTTTTTTGTTTTGTATATACGAAAGGTGGGTATTTTTTTTTGTACAAAGAAAGAGGTGGGGTTGTTATAAAAAGAGGTGGTGGTATTAGTACAAAGAGAGAGGGAAAGAAGACGAAAGGAAAAAGAAGGAAAAGATTCGAGAAAGCTTCAATTATTAGATATCTGGAGGGGAGTCTAACAAAAGGAAACGGCTCCTGCTGCTGTTTGTTGCTGCTGCCTGCTGCCTGATGCCTGCTGCCTGCTGCCTGATGCCTGCTGCCTGATGCCTGCTGCCTGATGCCTTGCTGCTTGCTGCCAGCTGCCAGCTGCTGCTGCAGTGAGTGCTCAAAGCAGGCGGGCAAAAAGGAGCAGGATTCTGCTTTTTGGGGGGGCTTGAGTAGGGTTGAACACTGCACTCTTTTGGGCGGACAAATATATGGTATATGCATGGGGGGAATTGGGCAACTGAAGAAAGGGTGTGTCTACTACATGGCTATTGGCTAGCAGCAGCAGCAGTAGTAGTAGTAGTAGTAGTAGTAGTAGTAGAAGTAGTGGACAGTCATTACTTGGACGCTTGAGCTGTTTATAAATACGGCAGGATAGCGGGGGACATGGCATGGGTGACGATGGGGGTTTAATGCTTTGTTGGCATACATCATCCACACCATTCAGCACCGCCTTTTTCTAATTATTACCAATAAGAGCTCCGTCATCACGATTATCATCATCATCTCAGTTCGTATTGCAACTAGCCAGCAATGAGGATTGGTTCGCTTTATGGGTAGGTCGTGTGGATGTAGCGCCCACTGTGATGGTGTTAGACAAGGAAAGGGCTGTCACTCGACGTCCTCTTCAGAAGATCGCTTTTGTTTTTAGCAGACAGGAAAGCAATCTTTTTGTTCTAAGCGTTAGTATATAGACCCTAATCCGCACTCCCCCCCCTCACCTTTTTATTGCCCAATTCTGATGGTACATCAGAGGGCGTCACGCGGTGCCCACTCACGGTGGAAGCTACAAGAGTTCCGGATACGCTTTCCGAGAACAAAAAAAAAACTTGCGCGCGCGCACTCGCGGTGGGGGAGGTAAGCAGCAGCAGCATCAATCAGCAAGCGGCATCAGCAGCATATCGTTCATACGCGGCACTAGTTTAACAAAGGAGGTGAGGGGGAGTGGGGCAAAGGAGTTTTTTTAGTATAAACATCGATCTGCCACTTTATCCATTCCACCCCCACTCCTGTTTTTTTTTTACTTTCAAATCTTTCAAAAAAAAAGGCTGCAGATCGCCCCTCTTTTGGACACAAACAGAGATGGGACACACTCGTACGTTCAAGATCTGATTCATCCATATTATCGTGGGCTCTTGTCGCTGTTGTTGCGATGGTAACAGTTGCCCTAACAACCGATCGCTCTTTTCCGTCCATCAAATTATGTTACCATGACAGTAGCAATGATACGTGGCTGCTGCTTTGTATGAGTGGGTAGCTACTATAGGCTATGTCAGGAATAGGGTGTGTGTGGTGGACCAGCATTATACTGGGGACATGAATCCGTACGTTCTTGATGGGATATTCCGTCTGGTACTGTTAATGCATTGAGGAAACAGAAAGAACGGTGATGGCGCACAAACATCGCCCATGTGCATTTCTCCAAACAACAGCAACAGCAACAGCAAACTTGTGTGGTCGCAAAAAAAAGAGGGGCTGCTGCTACCGTAGATACAGTACAAGGTGCTCCTAGAATAAACTTTTGACTTTTGACTTTGAGCTTATGTGCTTAAAGCGCAATCGTTAGCAGCACACCCTCTCTTCTTCTTAATCTGTGCTACTTATTAGGCGAAGCACTTGAAAAATGTATCAACGACCAAGATAGCACTGGGAGAGGTCCACCAACCCCCTTCTTTTTCCTAAAACACTCTTCCTGTATATCGTGGACCCTGGTGTAACCCATTACCAGCTTCTATATTATTTTTTCCACACAGGGATAGCCACTATGCTGTATTACCATGCGATAATAAGCGTGTGTACAATAAGCGTGCGTGTCAAAAAGGTGCCCCTCTCCATCACCACAGTCAGGATTGTGATCGTTGGCACAGGCGACTTGACGGAAGACAAACAAGAATTGTTGTTTGTTGAATTCCAGCAAGAACTCTTATAATTTTCCGTAGTTATCACTGTACTGTTTACTTGGCTCTGCGCACCCAGCTCACACAACAATCGCCTGATTAAATGCTCCCAAAGCACCACAGCAGCAGGGACAGGTTTCCAACAAAGCCGGTGTGTGTACACCCGCATACAATGAATCTGGCATATATAAAAAAAGGGCCCCTGACTTCTATTTTTACATAAAGCAACCTAAGCGGTACTTATGTGTGCGTGTATGCTGTGCTATGCTGTGTTGCTACGTATTAGTTTCTTCCCTTCTTTCTTTTCTTACCTTTTTCTTCTGCTCTCTGAACACTTTTTTTTCCAATTCGTGCTGTGTCCGAATTGCGAATCTTTCTGTGAATTTTGAGAAACGGCATTAGCAACCTCCTCGATCGGTAGAATTTCTCGATAAATCCCAAAAAGGGCGCTGGTCTCTAAAAAAATACGATGGCAGAAATAAAAAAAGACGGCTACTTGCAAGTGAAAGAAGACGGGCTGCGAGCATGGATGTGGTCCAAGCGCTACGTGGTCCTGCGTGAGCAAACCTTAACATTCCATCGCAACGAGGTAAACTAGTGAAGACACGATAGCTATTGTTAAAGCGCAATATTTACCAAACAATTGTCAAGCAAACCGGTCAATGCGTTGCGTTGATATTCCTTAAAGACATCAACACCGTTGCTCGTGCAGAACTAAAGTCATACTGCTTTGAGCTCGGAACAAAGGGCAAGAGCTACTACCTTGCATGCAAGAGTGACGAGGAGCTGTACTCATGGATGGATGAGATCTATAATGTTTGTACCAAACAATCCTCTCTTCATGTGTGTGCGCAATCCGCATCATCACTGACCCTGTCTTTTTACTTATTATGCATTAGCGCTCTCCACTCGGAGCCTCAGGACCAACTAATTTCGTCCACAAAGTTCACGTTGGATTTGATCCAATCACGGGGGCTTTCACAGTACGTACACTACATCAGCACTCGTCTTTTAATTTGCACTTTTTTCGCTTGGATGAGGAGTCACGGATAACCCAAACCACAACGTGTGACCCCGCTTGCATTAGGGCCTACCTGATCAATGGAACGCGTTGTTGAAAGGATCAAAGATCACGGCAGAGGATGCAGCAAAAAACCCACAGGCGGTGCTGGAGGCATTGGAGTTTTACACAGAACAGGCACGAAAAGAAAAGGAAAAGGAGGAATATCAGCAACAGGAGCAACAACGGAAAAAGTTGCAACAACAGCACCAACAACAACATCAGCTGAAGCAACTACAGCAGCCCAAGTCCAGTCGTTCCACACCAGCACCAAGGCACATTCGCGAAGCACCCGCACGGCCACCTGACGTACCCAGCAACAAAGACGTACAAGCGCTTATGGAAAAGCTCAAACTGTCACAAGTAAATAAACATAAACAGAAATGCCGTGTTTACATAAACGAGTACATTGCCTTCAACAATACTTTCTGTATCTAGGCACCAGGCAGCAATAGCAGCAGCGGCAAGTCAGCTGACGCACCGCCACAATCCCAACCACAACCACCGCCAGCATCATCTTCATCTACATCGTCAGGAGCAGCAACGGCGCCAGCAGCAAAAGTGCTTCCAGAGGTAATCATTATTTACATTGAAAATGACGATGCGTTGTAGCAGCAATACATCCACAGCTTCCAGACCAAATCTGAATCATACACTCCTTATAGCCATCACCCCGTCTTCCAAAGCAACGAAAGCCGCAAACTCCCCCGACACCACAGCCGTCGCTAGTACCATCTCAAGTGCCTTTACCTCGTTCCACGCTCAAGAACAAAACATCCATACCAGCATTACACAAGCAACAACAGCAACAACAACAGCAGCAGCAGCAGCAAAGCAAGCTAGCTTTACGTGCATCTGAAAAATCACGACTTGAACGAGAAAAGGAGCGCTTAAAACAATTAGCCATTGTTCTGGATAAAGAAAGCGCAGAGCTCAAGGCAGCAAATACGGCCAAGACGGCTCAACAGCAGCAACAGCAGCCCCAGTCAATACCTAAAAAGAAAGAAAGCAATACGCAACTACAAAAGATCAAGTCAACGAAAAAGATACAACCGCAACCTCAAGCATCCACGCCTGTGCCGGTCACTACGTCGACCAGCACAACCACGACTACAAGCGACAGGAAAAAACAACAGTCCAGAAAGCAGGAGCAGCGGATCAGTACCATGAGCGATGCGCAAGTCATGGAAAGACTACGTAAGCATGAGAAGCGGGGACCGCCATAGTAACTAATGAATTTGTAGTAGCTAACACACGAATCGCATATCATGTAGGGTCAGTTGTGTCCACTGGTGATCCAAATACATTATACAAGCGGAGCAAACGAATTGGACAAGGGTATGATCACAACAAAGAAGAACTTTTTCACAAGAGATAGAGAAAGGCTGATACTTGTTATCCATTGTAATTAGAGCATCTGGTTATGTCTACTTGGCAAATCACTTGGTCACAGGCAGCAAAGTAGCAATCAAAGAAATGGATCTGAGCAAGCAATCTCGACTGGACCTAATAGTAAACGAGATCATGATCATGAAAGAGTCGCGACATGAGAACATTGTCAATTTCCTGGACAGCTTCCTGGTCCGTGGAGACTTGTGGGTCGTCATGGAGTATATGGAAGGAGGAGCATTGACGGATGTGATTGAAAACAATACAATGACCGAACAACATATTTCTGTTGTTAGTGCCGAGGTAATACCTTGTTAAGAAGGGGATACGGAACAAGTCTATTAGTATTGGTACTCACAACTGAAGACGATATTATGTTTTAGACGGCCAAAGGACTACATCACTTGCATTCACAGAATATCATCCATCGAGACATTAAATCCGATAATGTGTTGTTGAATTTCCAAGGCCAGGTCAAGATCAGTGATTTTGGATATTGTGCTAAACTGACTGACCAGCGCAATAAGCGTGCTACTATGGTGGGCACTCCGTATTGGGTAATAAGTTTTTCACGGATTATGGAATTGCTTACTACGTGTCCATGTAGGCTATCAACATGATCTAATCATTGATGCATTTACTAGATGGCTCCTGAGGTTGTCAAGCAGAAAGAGTATGGTGCCAAAGTCGACATATGGTCCTTGGGTATCATGGCTATTGAAATGGTCGAGAGCGAGCCACCTTACTTGGATGAAGAGCCATTAAAAGCGCTCTATTTGATTGCTACGAACGGTACGCCATCTCTCAAGAGTCCAGATCAATTATCGCAGGATCTTAAAAGCTTCTTGGCTGTATGTCTGTGTGTGGATGTCAAATCGCGTGCCACAGCCGCTGAATTGCTACAGGTAATTATAAAAGAGGAAAGAATGGCTCTATTAGTTGAGATTTGGAGACATGGGATAGGAATATACAAGGCAAATGAAAAATCTAATACAGGAATATCTTTTTTCTGAACTTAGCATGACTTTTTGAAAAAGGCGGGACCTGTAGATATTCTTCCATCATTATTACGATTTAAAAACAAGTAAAAGAAGATGTACATTTTCGCTGAAACACACAAAAAAATGCATACATTAAGACATTCCTATGCGCACTCGAGAGACTCAATTTGGCGAACAAACCCACAGATTCATCTCTATAATAGGACTCCCTTAACGCGTCTTGAATTAGAGGCTGTTGTGGTTGCTTCTCAAACGTTCGACCTGGGTCAAAAGTGGCAACCCAGCTTTCTAATATTCGTAGTACAAAGTTCTTTTCATTCATTACTGCTAAAGTTTGTTGGAACGCTAGGGCTGCATCGACTTGCTTTGTTAGCTATGGTTGCCGCAATGTTACCATCTTTAGCAGCATCGACTGACATTGGGTGGCACTTTTTTTTCGTACGTATTTGACAGCTGACGGCTTTGATACTGATCTGTGCATTTAGATGAACACGACTAACTAAAGCAACTTGCCAATATCCAAGATCGTACTAAATATAAATAAAACACAAACCTTCTAGCCGATAGATATGTATATACAAAATTCCTGTGATCTTTTAAACAGTTGGAATAAAACTTCGTATTAGCGATTAATGCGTGAACGTTTCACCGCCGTGGTTGTCATACTATTGATCAGGTTTGAGTGCCTGATATGTGTAAGTGACGCAGTGTAGTAGAGCTGAGTGTCCACCTGTAGCTCATTTGTGTACTTATTGCTTCTTGCATTGCCTTGTGTTTGTAGATGTGGGGAATTACTGACACGTTGAGATCATCGAGTAACGAGGAGCAGGTGGAACGCGTCCCAGAGAGTACCCTTCTTGGGGAAAGGCGGCGCTTGTAGATCACTGAGAAATTCTCCAATGTCGTCGGTTGCTGCAAATGTGCGAGTACCCATTGTACTGATCATGTTTCGTATATTCTATATTCAAAAATACTGCCATCCGTCATCGCATAAAACTAGGTTCTTAAGAATAGGGTCTATGTTTTTCGAGATAGACACAGTCTAGTACTGGTACTTTTACGTCTGTTTTCTTTCCTTAGTCGATACGAAGTACTATTTTCATGTTTGGAGCACAATGATCCTGTCACCGGTGACTGATGTGGACACCTTTTATTAGGCAGATTTGTCAATTGATGATACAGTAAGTGATCAACTCCACCAGCAAGTACACACACTCTCTCTCGTGGTTTTTCGATACTTACAGCAATTTCACCCACTTCGTCATCGAACACAGTCTCTTCGTTATCATGATCACCATCATTGTTGAAATTTCTTGTTGCTACTGCTGACGATGATGATACTCCTTGTTGTTGTTGTTCCAGTGTTGTCTACAAGCAGAATTTTTTAGAAAGCGTAGCTGTTTCTCTTCTATATCTCACTCTCCTTTGTTTCCTATCAATTACTTACGGACAATCTTCGCTATCTCATTGAAGTTGTTGTTGATGTCTTCTTGTAGTAAGCCAATACCCTGTCATCTTTTGCTCCTTTGACAAATACGTGTATCAGCGTTGAGGACAGAGAAAGGCTATCTATTCTGTAAAGAACAAACATACTATATAGAAGTACTGGCAAAATATTTGTTTGTACATTCCCAATTTTCAATCAACAGCTAGTTTTCTAGTGAATCACGTTTGATTCGGTAGCATCACGGCTTTCAGAACTTGCTAATAAATTTAAATATGAACACGTCGAAATGATTACTTGAACAATTTAGCTTGTTCTATAACTCACGACGACGATTTTCGCTTGCACTGCTGGCGGAAAGAATAGATTTAGACAGCTTATTTTTTATATTCGTATTCGGCGTTATACATTGTATATAATGCTCATAACTATTGTTAAGTAGGTAGCAATATTCTTTGAAAAATAAGCTCACAAAAGCAGCCTTATCTTGCATAATGAGACTGCTTCTATCAGCATCACCATGCTAAGGTCCCTGTACTTGTAAGGTTTTCAACTTTTAATTTTTTTGCGAAATATCTTCAGGCACGAACTATCATTGAATTATATTAGTACTATTAATGATCCTATGGTAGCTACTGCCGGAATTATTGCCAACCGGCCTTTGCTATAACCCTTGTTATGCATATCAACGATCAAAGATAGTAGTTAGCCCAATGCTAAACTATCGAGCGATGGTTCAACAACTAGACAATGCATATATATAACTAGGTTCGTCACCATAAAGTACTAACACAAACATCGATCGTCTTCTCGTCCATTTATTCTGTATAGACGCCAAACTCTTAATCAATTCGGGGGCTGCAAACACAATTTTTCGGACTCAAAAGTATACTGAGATATATCTCAAGTGTTGTTCTCGCTTGTGGGTAGATTCTACTGTTACCCTGAGTTTGAGTTCTACTTGGTACTTTGTAAAGGGTTTCAAAGTGAGAACTGGTAATATTAGATGTTTGCGGATGACGTATAATTTAGAGATAATCTACTATATAGAAATTGCGTGAAGGCTTAAATTGTTAAATACGTCGTAGTAGATCGATGATAAGCGGATAAATCTCAATATAAAAATTGAGGTTTAGTCATGGTCCATTGCCCTGGTATAAGCATGTGCATGAAGGTAAAAAAACATTACTATTACTGATACGAGCTGTGAGAGGTGTATAGTTTTACTCAAACTGTCAAATTCTCTATTTTTCCAAGAAAGCAGCTAACTTACAAAACTGATCAGGGCAATACATTCAAAAAGAAGCACGTGACAATATTGTTCCTGAAAGAATTTCAAGAACAAAGAGCTCCAGCTGGACCAGCGGAAAATATTAAGACAGACAGGCACGGCCAAGGGGACAGCACCCGGCCGGCCTGCAAGACAGCTTCGCCCTCAGTCGCAGGGTGCCAATCAAAAAAGCCACCCCCGCCCGCGCCGTTCATGATCGTGTCACGAATATGAGAGGAGGTGTACAACCTATTGGGCTCCCGCTCAATTCGATATAAACCGCGCTTTTTCAAGTGGTATTTCCCTTTTTTCTTTGATTCAACCCGCCCCTTCCATATTTATCATCATGGTCTCTGCTCAGTCTACTGGTACCGTTTCCGCTCAACACGCCGAAGATATTGCTTTTGCTCGTGCTATGCACGGCAAGGAAGTCAAGACTGGTTTCTTGGCAAATTTGTCATCCAAGAACCGCGATGTCAGTAACGTCGCTAGCGAGACCTACCTCAACATGTGGAAGAAGCCTGAGGCCGAAAACAAGGAAGATGAGGCCAACCGTCTGGACAGCTACACTGCTCTTGTCAACTCATACTATAACTTGGCCACTGACTTTTATGAATATGGTACATACAAATGCGTGGGGAAACAAAGCAGATGAAGGAAGAGACCTGATGGAGGGGGAGGGGAACTTCATCCACTGTTAATGACGTTGAAGAAAAGAAAGAAATCTAAGACTAACGTCGTTTATCATAACTAGGTTGGGGTGGCAGTTTTCATTTCTGCCGTTACTACCCTGGTGAAGAATTCTTCCGCGCTATTGCTCGCCACGAACACTACCTTGCTGCCAACACTGGTATCAAGCGTGGCATGAAGGTTTTGGATTTGGGCTGTGGTGTTGGTACGTAACTTTCTTTTGATACGAACAGAAAAGGAGGGGAAGAAGGAAAGCAAGCTTGATGAGGGGTATTTGAATTTGCTACTAAATTGCTGTTTGTCGACAACGATGATGTTAATAGGTGGTCCTGCTCGTGAGATTGCCGAGTTCACCGGTGCCCACGTTACTGGTTTGAACAACAACGCTTACCAAGTTCAACGCGCTACTTTCTACGCTGCCAAGCAGGGTCTGTCTGACCAGACCGAATTTATCAAGGTAATTTGGTTTTCTCTCGTTCACATGTTTAATCCAATTTCATGTTTTGCGCTGTCGTACAAACGAACTGACCTGTGCATCTGTCTGTATGCCTGTTTGTTATAGGGTAACTTTATGGAGATCCCCTTTGAGGACAACAGTCTCGATGCTGCTTATGCCATCGAAGCTACTGTTCACGCCCCCACCTTTGAAGGTGTTTATGGTGAAATCTTCCGCGTGCTGAAGCCCGGTGCCAAGTTTGGCTGCTACGAATGGTGCATGACTGATGACTACAACGAGAGCGACCCTGAGCACCACCGTATCGCTCACGGTATTGAGGTATGTAAACGATTGCTAGGCGAGGAGGGGGGTTATACGCAAGAGGAAGCTATCGGACATTGCTCTTTCTGACATATATTGTCTCTTAGCGTGGTAACGGTATTCCTAAGATGAGACCCATCGCCGAATGTCTCCAGGCTCTTAAGAACGTCGGTTTCGAGATTGAATTACACGAGGATCTTGCCAATATGGGTGACCAGATTAGATGGTTCTATCCTTTGGAAGGTGATCTCCGCAAGTGTCAGACCGTTCGTGATGTCTTGACCACCATTGCCATGACCAAGGCTGGTCGTTTCACCACCACCAACTTCTGCCGTGTTTTGGAAAAGGTTGGTCTTGCTCCCAAGGGTACTGTTGAAACTCAAAAGTTCCTGGAAATGGCTGCCGATGCTCTTGTTGAAGGCGCACAAAAGAACTTGTTCACCCCCATGTTCTTCTTTGTTGCCAAGAAGCCCGAAACTGCTCAGTAAAAAAATGACCTCTCACCTTACGCCTTACTTAACTCTTCGTTTTCCGCCATTGAAATCAATTCGCTCGCCACTTTTTACTTTACTGCACCCACATGTCGTAGTTGATATTCTTGTCTTTCTTTTACATCAATCTGTTTTCCTTTCTATTTACTATTATTACTTACTAATGTTTTCATCGAAAAGTAAAATCAACATTTAAAAACAAGCATATATACTTGGTCTTTTTGAGAAAGAAAGGATCTATATGGTATCGCTGATAATGGTGGATTACTGCTTCATCATGTAACGTTTGTATATTATCTATGAGAAAACCGTCGATATGCGTTAAATATGCTATCCTCGATTTGAAGTTAGCATGTTGGATCGACAAATGGCTAGTTTTGGGAAGAATAAAATTACGGTAGTCCACCGCGTCCTTTCGATCCGCCTCTTTGTAATAAATGTTTAGTATCTCCTCGTGAGTGTCGGTATACTAAGCTGAACGTCAAAAGCGAATATATTCACTCAAAAATTGACAAGAAACCTACATAACCGGTCAGTTTGTGCACTTTTATAGTGAAGTATTTTTTATTTACGAGTTCTATATATATAGTTATACATATTACGCTTGGCGGGTCTGTATGACGAGGAAGGTAGATGAATGGATCAGGGAAGACACTCTTCAGTTCTGTAAAGGGGCTCAAGCGTTGCGGCGGTTATCAAAGGTGAATACTATTAATTGATTTTAACATCACGTTGTTGGTGTTTATCTACCTAAGACTGCCCTCGAAGCAGTGTCATGAGGTGCATCTATTTTCTAGACAAAGGTGGTTTTCTTCTAGCCAAATCCTATTCTTTTCTCAACGAGTGATTAATTGAAGCAAGGGCGGTATTTTCTCCAGTAGCAAAAATGAAGGACGATAGTTCAACTGTTCATTTCTACTCACACGCGAATACAGTTTTACTTCGCCATGCCCACAAAGCTTCCAGTGTTATGGTTTTTGATTCTTTGTTTTGTTTATTAAATTCAATACGTTTTCTGTTGTGGTCCGTGCCGATTTGTTATTTGCTTTCGAATCGCAATATGATGGAAGTATATCTATAGCTCCTGGCTTTTTCAAAAAGTCGTGCCAGGCATTGCCAGAAAAAAAAATTGTATCCGGCCGCTCATTTGTTATCCGTTTATATACATATCCAGAACTCTTCCTTGGCCTAAATAGCTTAAGTTCTCTATCTATATCTAGAACATCGACATCTGCATATCGCCATATACTACATACAGTCAAGAAACCTTCAATATAATCCCATCATTACAATTGACCTATGCTTAAGAGAAAGCGTCCGATTCGTAGTATTCAGATAGAGTGCTTTTTAATACTGTTTTTGAATTGTTTCATTAGCTATAATACGATACTCAAAACTATAACACTGTACCTTTACAAGTGTCATCTTGTGATTTATATAATAAGCATGAGATTTGCAGGTTAGCAGATAATTGGCATGTTCACACGCATGTAGTTTCTTCGTGATTCATTTACTGATGCATTAAATATTCTTCTTAGCCGATATGGGATGCCTATCAAAGTAGTACGCTTATTACGTATTATGCTACTCAGCAGTCAATTTGATTTTCCAATATAAAGTGCTTATATATAGGTTTTTGCCATTTGTTACATGAATGATGTACCGATCTTTCATTTCACTACACATCTTTATTATTATGGTCTACTTCACGTCCTCTGTTCCCACCTTTATTATCTAGAAGCATTTGCTGTCAACAGTAACATAGAAACTGTAGCAGGCAGTAAATACAGTAGGTGAACGAACTTCAAGTTTAGTTCTTTCAAGTCCCAGCATTACTGCACTTTTGCGCTTTATATCCAAACAAGCTATATGTCGCAAAAGCTTCTCTTTGAGTAGATATTTGTGCGTGAAGACAGTAGAGAAAGAAACATTATAAATTATTAGTGTGCTTAACAGCGTCAATTAATCTAACTGTAAAAACTGCGTTATAAATCTTGTTTCAGCATTTTCTCAAGTTATTATTAACTACTGGAGCTTTAAGTTTCATTCTTGTTGTCTAGTCATATTCATACTGAAAGGAGCACCTAACACCACATTCTTATCCAGCCTTTCTGTCTTTGTTCTATTCTAGTTCCATCTGTTCTCTTTCTTTGTTTACTTATCCCCCCCTGTCTACACCATATATTTAGTATAGGGGTCGCAATCTGACCCGTAGTTTGAGGATGGGTCAACGGGTCAGGTTTATGCTTTTCTGACCTGTGGGTCAACCCGTCTAACCCTTGACCCGACCCGTTGACCCATTGTGACCCATGTATTATACATATAATATATATAAGGTACTTATATTCAAGTAGTCAATCTTCTTATTGGGAAGCATCATTATATTATAAGATATAGCTGTCAATATGTTTGCTATAGAACTATAACTTAAAATGTACTTATATTCTTTTTATTGTGTGTAGGATTATATTTTATATTCAAGAGTGAAGGATAAGTGTGATGATAGAGCTTTAATAAAGATAATAAGGGACAAGATTAAGTATCTTTGAGATGATGTTTTATTCCAACAAAAGATAAAGCTCTTTTATATTCTAGCTATTAAGACGGCGATATCAATTCATCCGACTAATGGATAAACTATGTGATAGAGGATGGATCAAGGACGTATCAGAACTTCTATTGAAGTCGCTATGTTAATCGGGCACATCTTTGAAACCGGCGTTAGCTGATGTAATGGCCGAGGTACCTGTTGATAGGTTCATTGTCCTGTTCACGTAAGGTGGATCATTTGAGTGAGAGATTTTATTCAATAGTGTTTAGCCGAAATGCCGTAGTGTTCATACGTGTGTGCTATAATGTTTAACCGAATATCTTATTGTTGATATCTTAAGCAGTGTATTAATGTGGTTCACCACATCACCCCCTTCCAGGTTAAACATTATTCTGTGAAGAATGTGCTTAGCAACGTGTGCGTAAACGCTTACTGCGTCTAGTAGATGGTGTAGGTGTGGAACCCTCTTGACGTTTGGAAATAGTTCCTTTTGCTTTACATTGTGATTGCTGTGGGATGTGCGTCACAGGTAATGCAGTTTGTATTTTGCTTTGCTTCGGTGGTGTGATACCAACACGTTCCCAATATTTCATGATTGGTTGTGGACTATTAAATGCTTCTGCTGGTTCCCAGGAATCGTCATCAGGTGTATAATCTTTCCATCTAACCCGGTATTGATATTTGCCTGGTGCAAGCTCTTTGTGGTCTACAATTGACTGTACGGTGTAATATTTACCGTTTTCTTCAAATGCTTCTTCTGTGTCAATTAATTCATCCTGTGATAGAAGTTTCATTTGTGAGGGTGCGTAGTTACGAGAAGTTAATAGACCCTGTTCATCTCTAAGGACATAAGAACCACCTTTGGTTTTGCGTACTACAGTATATGGTCCTTCATATCTTGGATCCATCTTCTTACTGCGTAATTCATCAATGACCATGACCGTGCTTCCGATGGGATAATCGGTGATTCTGAACTTGGCATTGTATTTGCCTTTTTTTATATCATCCAGTGCCTTTGCTCTTTCCGAAATTGCAGGAAAGACAATGTTTGTCATTTGTTCAATGCGGTTTTGCAGCTCATCTTCTGTGAGTGGTCGCGGGATCTGTTCTTTGCTATAGTCCCTGAAACCGTTCATTGTTCTATTGAACATAAGAGCAAATGGTGTAGAACCATGTCTATTGGCAACTTTGTTGTTAAGGGCTAATTGTGCTGGTTTGACATATAAGTCCCAGTCTCTAACTGCTCCTTTTGTATACTTGCGGATGATGTTAACAGTTGTTTGCACAAATCTTTCAGCCAATCCCTGAGCTCTTGGGTGAAAAGGCGTAGAAAGTCTTTGGTCGAATCCAGAGGCTTCTCGAAGACGAGTCATTAGTTGGTTCTTGAATTCAGTACCATTATCACTGCTGAGATAACGGCAAAAGCCCACTAAGCAAAATGTGTCGATGACTGCTTGAACGACAGTGTCTGATGTTTTATCAGGAAGTGCGTGTAAAACACAAAAACGTGTGCATACGTCTACCATGACTAAGAGATAATTGTTTCCGCGATGGCTTGTGCCGAAGCCGCTTGCAAGATCAATTGTCCAATGATCACCCGGATAGAATGCATGAAGAGGTCTCAAAGGGTTATAACCTTTCTTGGTGATGTTGAATCGCTGGCATTCAGGGCAGCTTTTTACAATGTGTGCGGCTTCTTTGTACATATTGTTCCATTTCAAACCATCATTGTGTAGTGCTTTTGTGATAGCTTCAGCGCCAAAGTGACCAAATGCATGTGCTTTTTTAAGTAATTCCAGTCTTTCATGTTCGGGTGGTTCAAAATAGATGTCATCATCTATGTTGTCAGTGTTATTACTTGTTTGTGTGTTTACTGTGAGAGTCTTATTTTGTACAGTGTTATTAATTGTATGAATTTGCGTAGCACTACCCCCTCCAGCTCTTTTTCATCGATGTGAAAAAGGCGAGATAATTGATCAGGAAGGATGTTATCTAATCCTGGTAGGTGAATAATTTCAAAGTCGTATTGTAAGATGGTGTCAAACCAACTGATCATCATAGCGTTGGCTATTTTTTGTGTATGGAGGAAGGTCAATGCTTTGTGATCCGTGTATAATTTAAACGGTTTGCCATATAAATATTTGTGGAATTTGTCAAGTGCAAATATAATAGCTCTGAGCTCACGTCGTGTAGTGCTATAGGATCTTTCTGACTTGGAGAGTGCTCTAGCCATGAAAGCAATATGACGTGTTTCACCATCTATGACTTGGAAAAGTGCTGCAGCGATTCCAGTATTTGAAGCGTCAGTTGCAACCTGAAAAGGGTGTGATAAATCGGGAAAGCGCAGGATGGGAGCTTCAAGTAGCATTTTCTTTAACGTGTCAAAACTGTGTTGTTCTTTTTGTGTCCATAAACCTTTTAAAGATTTGGCATTGCGAAGTCGGTCTAAAGGTGCCATAACTTCAGAGACTTTTGGTAGGTAAGAGCGCATGTAATTGATAGTACCACAGAAGGCAGCTATAGCTTTGCCAGTTGTAGGTGTAGGGATATTTTGGATGTTGCATACTTTGCGTTTATCCAGTGATACACCTTCGGTGGATACACAGTGGCCAAGTAAGTAGACACAACGTTGTGCATATACGGCTTTGTCATGATTGATGCGGAAATTTACCTCAGTTAATTTGTCAATTACTGCGGCGACATGGATAGCATGTTCTTCTATGCTGTTTGAGAAGATAATGACGTCATCAATGAACGCACGAACGAAGGGCATCTCTCTAAGAAGAACTGTTAAACAACGAGTAAATACCGAAGAAAGATGACGTAATCCATAGCAAGCTCCTCGGAACTGATATTGGATGTGTCCTTCAATTGTGAAAGCAGTTCGTTCTCGATGTGGTTCATAGAGAGGTAAAGAAGTGAAAGCAGATTTTACATCGAGGCAGGTAGTAACGACGGTGCGATTTGAATTACCGCTGTTGTCATTGCCTTGGATGGCTGCAATAACATCACTTAATAAAGGAAGTGGATGTTGTTCACATTGTAATAAATGCTGGTTGATTAAGCGGACATCCATACAGATTCTACGCTTGTTTGTATCATATGCACCTGTAACAGGATCTTTCTTTGGTGCTAGTGTGATGGGACTATTCCATGCTGTGCCAGCAGGTGCAGGTTCAATAATGCCCTCATCTAACCAGGTTTTGATCTGATCGTCAATTAAATCCTTGAAAGCGATTGGTAATGGGTACTGACGTCGATGGCAAACGATACCTTCTGGAACATCAAGACGGACCACTGCTTCAGGCATTGTACATAACGCGCGTTTAGGAATTTGTGCATTGCGATCAAGAGAAGGTTGGATAGCTTGTAAAAACTGTTTCCTTTGTTCTTCTGTGCCATATGGCGAATTATTAGGTTCGGGTAAATCAATAATTTGTTTCTCATTGTTTGGTGTCAGTGGCTCCCATGATGTGGCTAAACCAGTAATACCAATTCCGAGTTTAAACATCAAATCCAGACCAATGGTGACTGGTGTTGTTCCGGATAATTCCATGATGTAAAAATTGTGTTTGAATCTTTTCCCATTGTACTGTAGTTCAACATTTTCAAGTAAACCTAAAAGGTAGGCTGTTACATCCTTTGCTGCTAAAGTAATGGATATATTTTTTACTGCGTTTTTATTGATTTTAAGTACAGATGTTGACTCTATGTTTTGTAACCATGTAGGTGTGATAAAAGACTTGTTGGCGCCTGTGTCGACTAATCCGAAGACTTGCTTAGTCTGTACAGTGATAGGAACAATGAGTGAGTCAATGTCATCTGTTGCTTGCAGTGTGTTATTTATTTGTGTTGTGCGGTTGATGTAATTACCTGTAATATCCATTCCGTCCAATGAAATGTGATTAAGTGTTTCTTCATCCCGCTTTGATGGTGTAGTAGAAGAAGACGAGGAAGGAGACGAGGAAATGTGTACAGAGCGATTGCTCACCATTGTTGTCGACGTTCCTGACTTCTTTTTTCCTTTTGCATCAAAATATTCTTGGCAGCGATGGCCTAAGACATATGGAACTTTTTTACAATAACGACATAGGTTGTCTGAACCTGTTGATTGCCGGTTATTGCGGACTTGTTGTTGTACTGCTTCCCGCTGGCGCTGGAGAACGTGGCAATCCGTCGCCGAGTGATTTCCTTTTGGATGGACAGGACAATCACCGTAATGACGAGGACGGCGAGAAGCTGGTGCTGGCGATGAGGAGGACGAAGACAGGTGTTCATTACCCATGCGACGTTTCTTTCCTGGTGCATGGATGCTCGCATAACTACCGTTGTCTTGAAACTTGTCAACGAATTCACCCAATGTGGAAATTATGAGTTGCACGACCTCAGTGACTTCAGATGGCCAATCTACACCATACTGTCTTGCTAGTACTGGGTAGATCTTTTCGCGGATCGAAGGTGGCAACGACGAAATGAAATCGAACGTCAAGTCACGACCGCTGGCTCTTCCTGCCTCGTGTGCTAATGACATCCATCGTTCGGCATAGACACGGATCGCTTCATTGGCTTGGGGACGAGCGACAAAAAGCTCATGACGCTTGAGGTACGTATGAAACGGATTGCCGTATTCCTTCTTGATTTCGACACAGGCTTGTTTCCATTTTAATTGACGGTCGGCGACATCTCGGCGGAACCAAGTCATTTGGTTATCATCCAGACATAACCAGAAAAGACGTTCCCAATTACCATCAAGGTCAATGCTATGGCTGCGCAATTGGATTTCAAAGGCGGAAATGAAAGCAGAGACGGAATTGTGCACTGGCTTTGACGAATCTCGGACAGGGCCTCCTTGTACTTGTAGTATCGGTAGGTTTTTTGGGACCACGCAGCTTGCCTTTCGATCTTCGAACTGTTCAGACATGCTGAGTGCTTGCTGAGTAGCTTGGTAGATGTTGAATGCATCAAGTGCTTCTTTGTGTGCCTGTTTTAGCTTTAGTAGGTCATCTGGTGAAGCATCTTGCGCCTGCAAATATTCTTCGGTGGCTTTTGCTAAGCGTGCCTTGAGGATAGCTCCCATGTTAGACGGTGTCAGCTTCCTTTGTTCCAGGTAGGTACTCGGTGTAATTATGTTCCTGGCCATGGTTTCAGTACTAGTTTCAGTGCTAGTTTCAGTGCCATTTTTGGACGCCGATTCTGAGTCCACCATTTCAACATCGTTGCTTGAGACCTCGACCGTTCCTGGAGTAACCACGTTGGCTTGATCAACGGTTTCGTTAATGTTTGTAGCTTGGTTGTTATCGGAGGACATGATGTAGGATATAAGGAAAAAACAAGGTTTTCAAAGATAAAAATGTGATGATAGAGCTTTAATAAAGATAATAAGGGACAAGATTAAGTATCTTTGAGATGATGTTTTATTCCAACAAAAGATAAAGCTCTTTTATATTCTAGCTATTAAGACGGCGATATCAATTCATCCGACTAATGGATAAACTATGTGATAGAGGATGGATCAAGGACGTATCAGAACTTCTATTGAAGTCGCTATGTTAATCGGGCACATCTTTGAAACCGGCGTTAGCTGATGTAATGGCCGAGGTACCTGTTGATAGGTTCATTGTCCTGTTCACGTAAGGTGGATCATTTGAGTGAGAGATTTTATTCAATAGTGTTTAGCCGAAATGCCGTAGTGTTCATACGTGTGTGCTATAATGTTTAACCGAATATCTTATTGTTGATATCTTAAGCAGTGTATTAATGTGGTTCACCACAATAAGTAAGCTACAAGCGATATATATAAAAGGAGTAAAGAAGCAGAAATAGTACAATGAGAACGGAGGACAATAGAGGGTGGCAGTAAGAGATGAGACTTGACAAAAGACTGAAAAGGAGTTGAGAAAAGAAAAACGAAGGAAGAAGGAAGAAGTGATAAGCAAAGGGAAAAGGAAAAGGATTAGGGGCATGTAGGGAAGCCGATTTTCAACCACACTTTAAATATATATTATGTTTTCTTTAATACATGATAACATGATGTGAGCTAAAGCTAATTTTTTTATGACTGCACAAAACCCTTTACCTTTAAAAGTAGATGTTGCTAGCACTGCTAGGAATTTGTGCTCCATCATCTTAGAGAGCTGTGTATATATATATATGGAGTTTTGCACTTCTAGTACTCAAGTTCAGGTTGACTGCCACTTCCTTCATTATCATATCGAAATCAGTCTTGACCTGTCAACCCGAGTTTTGACCCATCCAATTGCGACTCCTACTCTTAGCAGTAGTATACAACGGGAAACCATCCGTAACTATTAATCTATCTATAAATAACTAATCTACCAAAATTAAAAAATTAAAAGTATTTTTGAAAATTAAAAAAAATTGCTTTTTTATTTTTTATTTTTTAAATATTAGATATTTTTTATGAAACCATCACCTACTGTTATAAGCCCTATTAATCCGGGATAAATATAGTCGCGAAATGGTAATGAGCATATCCCTTCTAAAATTTGTAACTTGTTACGGATGTTGATTCGATTATTAACAAAAATTAATTTATTGTTTACAATAAAATTAATTGTTAATAATTGAATCCTAATATGTAAATCATTAACTTTTAATGAAATAATTAAAAAACTCAAAAATAATTTAAAATAATATATTATGAGCTGCTATATATCTTTAAAGTCACATGCTTTCTTGTATTCTTCTATCACTAGTGAGTTAAGTTCATTATTTTTGAGGTATTAATTAAACAGTAAGTACTATATTTTTAATTTTTTTTATTATTTTGACATTGCCTTGTTTTTATTTAAAATGTGAAACATACAACAAGGGTCCTCTGGTGTAATGGTTAGCACTCTGGACTTTGAATCCAGCAATCTGAGTTCGATTCTCGGGAGGACCTCAACAATAAAATGTTGAATTCGAAAGAATTCAGAGTTTCTTTTTAATTTCTCTCCTTTGGCTTTTTTTTTTACCATCGTCGATCCTTTTGGCGGAATTACCGTAGACCAGGGATAAGAGAAGAGAGATAGTAATTTTTTCTCCGTAAGAGCACACTATTACTGCACTACACTAATCATCTTCAATCAAAGCATTTTCTGTATTCTCTGAGATACATGAAATACATTTAAGAAGAGTACTGGGGGTAAAAAGTTGTTCTTGTAACGGTGGTGTCGTTCGTATTAATTACGATCCAAAAACGTATATGCATCGACAATGTGACAGATGTGAGACTCGATATTGAGAGGATACACGATGGGGGAACATTAGTGATAAGTACCTCCCGCCTTTATATACACGTCAGAAGAGTAATAAGGGGTTAATTAGCGTCTACTGCATTATTAGTCTACATTATATTCCAAAATCGTACTTTTATCTCCTTACCCAACGGTACATGTAGCTGCATATTATCGTAAAGTCCGAATCATGCGTATTGTTGATCAGTTGCCACACATGTTAGACACTATTACCGAGAAGAGTATGCACCTTTACAGCAAAGTATGTAATACCGATTAGTTCTGCCACAGCTTCGTTGAACGTCATTCCTATTTTTTCGCTTAATCGAATTACCAATGAATATAAGTTGGTATCTTAAATATGGTTTACCTTATGAAAGAAGCATAAAGTTTCCACAGCAGCGTTGTAGTATCGACAAATGAATCTTTTTCAATTATTCTGCTCAAATAAACGCTGAATTATCTGAATATGTGTATGACCCCTTCTGCTTTTATTCTTTCACTATTTTCTTTTTCTAAGAGCAACACATATAACAATTATTGAGGATATATGTAAAATAAACAGCTTCTTATTAGCTGACTGAAATACTGATGGGGTTTGGTTCGACGTATGACCCATCGAAGGTCGTCGTTGGGAACTCCCTAATGCCACCATTGGCGATCTCTTCCATTGTACGTGTTTTTACATTGCAAATACAGCGATCTCGTGCCGGGTCCATTGCATCGAGGACATTGGTAGAGCTTAACAAGGCACCTTCATTTTCCCTCTTTGCTTTTGCATATGGTATATCTACCGGCTCTGTAAATATGCTATTTGGCTTTGATAATGCTTCGTCATTTTGACAATTTCTGAGACAATCTTGACTATATTCACTGAAGTTAAAGATACCTGTGGGCTCTACACAATAATGCATGTAATTCCAGTAAGTATGCAGAGCATTTCTTAGTGATAGAAAAGAGCATAAGCTAAGATATAATTTCGACAGAATGCTTTACCAAATGTTACAAAGTAGGCCTGCTGTAAAGCATTCACGTCTGTCTTATTGACGAGGACATGGTCGTCAATTTCTGTGATCCTGTATTAAAAATTTAACTGCATAGGATGCTTCGATGTCACCGTAACACTAACAAAACGATCGCTTGGTGTTCAAATGTTTGTTTGCGAGGTTTGTGCAACATCTTATCGACACAGATCAAACAATTTTAAAAAGAAGCACAACCTCGCAACAATTCTTTCGGTGATACATGTCTGAAACAAAGTTTGCAGCTTTTGTGAGCCTGCTACTACCAACGAATGTGTGGCGGCTTCTGCAATAAAGTGGCTATTATATTGAGCCAAAAGCGTCTCGCCGCCAGATATCTAGGATGTTTGTGTATGAAGTACAGACCGTCGAATACGTGTTGAATGGCATAACGTTGTCCATCGTCACCAACGCTGAATGGGCTAAGACGAGAGATGGTATACTTCTCTCAAACTCATGTATGTCCTCAGTAAAAGGTGTAATGTGTGCCCAACATCACGAAACAAGACACCATTAAGGCACGAAGCATCAGAGCCTTTTGTGGGACATAAGTCGACTTTGGAACTAACTGGATTGGAATTCTAAGTTGACACTTTGTTTAAACTGATCGTGTAGTTCTATTGTAGGACACGTAATCAACGACTTCAGTGATAAGCTAAAGTTGTATATGATTGCTCTTTTTTTACTTCCGTTTCTTAGTCTTATAAATGCCATGTTTGTTCTAGGAATCTGAATGGCCTCAGACTTACATCATACGCATAGGCTGGGGATATAAAGCCAGGGGAGTTGTCTTCAAGAATGGAATTTTGATGGACCATCGGACCTTTGTCAACGCCACAAAAATACGAACGCACGTCGAGGGGTAAGAGCTGCTATGGCTCCATTCTGCGCATTATCGCAAGTAAGATAGCTGGTTTATTTTATATAGCGACGATAAGAAAGCTAAGTCATAATTATAACACATAAAAAGGGTGTACCCTTTATGCATCATGCTTTCTTCTCTTCTTCTTAGCTACTCAAGTAGTAACATTTTTTGTGTACGTAAGTAATAGCTTACTGTCCGTATATTCTTTCTCGCACATGCATTAGTCACATATTCTATTGCATAAAATAGAGCTGTCGCTATACCTGCTTTACATAATTATGTAAGGGGTATGTTAGTATTAGTGAAAAAAGCAGCGTACCATTGCAATTGGAGGTGTTAACGGACTCACCACTATTCTTACACCAGAGAAAAGTTCCAAGCAAAGCAGTACATCAACTCCCTGGATTGTACTCGCTTTGCTCATCTTACTGGTCAACAAGAGTTGTAGTAGTCGTAGCGGTATATATGCTAGCAATAATAACGGTATCAGACAGGGACCCAGAACTGCTCTCGCTTGTCGTCCAGGTAATTATATCAAGGATAGTGGGTCATTGAGGAAGAGTTTCAGAACGTCAACTGAGTCGGCATAAAAAAGTAGTAGAAACAGAAAAGAACAGTAGCTAACAATCATCAGCCCGACATATTTTAACAGAGTGCAAAGGATGAAAAGTGAAAACGAAGTCGAACAAACATTAAGCCCCCCTGCAGGTGAGGTATATGCGCGAGAGTAAGATAAACGACTGCCTCTCTCTCTACTTCCGCACATGATGACCTGATATGTTTTGGGCAATGTGTGTACTTAGAATGGGTTAAGTCTAAATTTGGGTGGGCGCTGCTGCTGTATGGGAGCCTAAGCAATAGGAGAGAGCATGCCGTGATGCTTTTGAAACTGTAAAATGATTATGTATTGTATTATACAACGTAAGATTCGTTTATAGTTTAGCAAATCGGAGCTGAACAGCACACTCGTCGCAAACTGGAAAACAGTTTTGAAGGAGAAAATTGGAGCCCTCCATACGCGTTACTGTTATTGTTGTCAATATCGATAAAAATAAATTATTACCATAGTAGAAGGGCAGAGAACATAAGGCTAAGCATTTAGAAAACAATGGCAGTAAAAATAAACCAGCTGTGTGCATTTATTTGTGCATTACCGCTTACTACATGGTCCTTTGCTGATACGATATCAGTTGTACATCTACTTAATCGGTGAGCAGTTCTTGTTGTACTTACTAGCAGTTGGAGGAGGAAATTAAATGCCTGGAAAGTAAAAGAGAAATAAGCAAAAATGGCCGGAATTGCGATGACGGACCGAACTTTGCCGGAAGAGAGTCATACCTTCTACTAAAGGTGCAGTAACAGCAGAAAAATGACGATACTGTAAATAATAGCATTTACCGAGTAAGCCCTTTCCACAGCCCTTTATAGATGTTCATTGCATGAATTATCTGTAATTGAAGAGTGTATGTCGAAAATAGGCCACCGCCATTGGGCGTCTGCATGTGACACTCCTCTTTTTTCAGTTATTGCTACCCTGAAAAAGGTGTGTTGGTCCAAATTGCAATTACCATGTTGTATGATGCTACGCACGATTTACCGAACCGGAGACATGCAGGATAAAATTTGTTACAGACAACAACACAACCGGAATACCAGTAGTATGATAAGAATAGAAGCCGACAGGTCCTTGTGGCCGAGCGAGCCCAGGGCTTTACTAGGTGGCATTGGGAGAGAGGAAGGAAGGGGGGCTTGGAGAGAAGACAGATAGTTAAAGGTAATGAAAAAAAAGGAATGCCATGCTTGAAAACTGACATAGAAACAGTGAATTCATTCTGCATAAATTGATATAAATAGAGCTTTCTTTTTCCCTTCGGTTTTGTCTTTTACCTTCTTTCCCTCTCATTCTTGCGTAAATACTTTTTCTTTTCCCTCGCTTCTCTTATACTGTACTACATTACTGAAAATAATAGCAGCAACAGCAATGATTCTTATCACCAGCGCTGACCATTATATTGGACACTGTGTCACATCTCATTTGGCACGATACGACTATCTTCGAAAACAATTACGAGTCCTCTGTCAGGACAAGGCACCATGCCTAAATTTCGTTAATAAAGGCATCGATGTACGCCAAATTGACTACATGCATCCAAACGACCTTGCCCTGGCATTCCAAGGCGTCGACCATATGATTTTGGCGATTGGCAACGAAGCTGACCGTGTTGCATGCTGCGAGCGATTGTGCCAAGCTGCAAGTCGATCTGGTGTAAAATCAATCGTCTGCATATCGCACGTTGGTGCAGTATCAAGCGATCACGAAACCTTGGGCCATTATGCATCGATCGAAGACGAGGTGATTACCAGTGAGTGCCAGTGGACTATTCTTAGGTAACGATAGTTGATCTTGATGACACTAGTTGGCGGGAAGATCACCTCGCTTCTTTGCCTTATCACTCGTCATATTTCGTCTGATATCACTCCCTGCATGCAATATGTATGTATGTCTAACATACATATGCTTATAATACAGACCTGATTGGATCCATCAAAACTTCCATTTCTGGTCCACTCATGTAGAGAAGAACCGTCACTTACCGCTACCTATACCTGAAAGTGCCGAAATCTGCCCACTGGATATTACCGACCTGTGCAGAGCTGTGGAAAACTTGCTTATTACTGCTGACAAGAAGGACATCCGACCCGAGCTTATCGATGACCACGTTGGCCAAGTATATACACTGACAGGTCCGCAGGCTGTCAATGGCAAGCAGCTGGTCTACCTGCTCAGCAAGACCACCGGCTTCGAAAAGTTCGAATATCGGTACGTTCGGCCGATGGATACAGCATACTATCTGGACGATCTTCCCAAAGACATATGGTTTGATGCTCGAGTCAAACATGAAAAGAGCCAGATATACAGCGACAGCCTCGATGGCTACGATTACCGCACTCGCCTTCTGCGTGCACCCACACGTACGTGCTCTTTTCTCTTTTATTTTTTAACATGCATACAAGTTGTCAGCTGAGCCCGCTGCACCAGAAACTCGCTTGTTTACAAGTATCATTCTATATATATATAGCGACGCAGACCAAGACATTTTTAGAGTATTTTGACTGGGTCCATAACCAAGCAGGCAGTCTTTGCGTACCACATGTCAGCATCATTACTGCGCTCCCACCCCGGTCCATTCGCAAGTTTTTCCAAGAGAATGCCAACAGCTTTAAACCTCGCATATAAAAAAACATAAACAGCATCCTCTACAGACCTCCCACACAGCCCACACTATCCATTACACACTATTCTATTCACAGCACCACATCTACATTTGCTTTTAACTACATTCTTCTCTTTATACCTGTGTCCCCCCTTCCTCTCGCTCCTCAATGCAGACGAGCCGAACTGTAAGATTCTTTCTTTGCTCAAATATAAAGAGATGTTTATGCAGGAAAATTTAAACAATAAGAAATTGAAGAGCCAGAAAAAAGTGTAATGCAAAGGGAACAGAAAAGGATAACGTCATTTAAAATGTTAAACTAAGATGGACCCTAAAGTAAAAAACCATCACCACTTCGTCATTACACTATTTAGGGGAGATGCCAAAAGACAGTGATTAGCTTCCAAAGAAATAAATTGCAATTCAGAGGTACATACTGGCATATTTTCTAGTCCAGTCCCGTGCAGTTGTTTCATAGCGTCCGCGGTCGGTCTTGTAGATATGTGCAAGCTCTGGCACAAGCGGATCTATACACACGTGTGTTAGCATTTGTATCATGACAGCCAATCACACCAAAAATCGAAGGCAGTAAACGCACCATCTGGGTTAGGATCGGTAAGCAGTGAGCACACTGACAGCAGGACTACACACAAGGAAAAAATAAGAAACGCTGAGTTCCAATACTCTTAACAGCACCCGCAGCATACCGCTACTTACCCTTCGAAATCGTCAACGCAGGTGACCATTGATCTTTGAGGATATCCAAACAGATACTTCCGTTGGTGTTGATATTGGGATGATAAATCTTGGTCGTGAAATTGATCTGTTGAGGAGGTTGCCAAGGCAATATACGTTTGGGTTAGAAACCAGACCAGAGCTGCTCCTTTTTTCTTCACGCTTCTTTTACCTTTGGGGGTTTGAATGGATAGTCTGTCGGGAAGTGAATGGACAAGAAAAAGACGCCACCTTGGTAAGGGCTGTCTTCCTGATATTACATTTGAAGAGACCGTTTGGAAAGGTGTTCCAGATGTGAAGGTTAGTTTTCTCTCTCTATTTTTCTTGTCATGTATCCATGTCTGCTATGATCAACAGAGAGTCAAATGATACATACGGGGCCCATAATGGTAGCTTGCCAGTGGAAGAGGTCGTCACCGACAGGGCCTGCCGAGCAAGAGGAAGGCGGGTCACGTTGGAGATCTTTCAGCTCCTGTAAATCGTCGAATGAGTTAGTACAGAGTTCTATTCTCAACATCTCTTTCTCTCTGAGGTTCTCAAGGCGCTGCTGGAACTACTCTTTCACACACTTCAAGGCAGGCGGGCGGGGGTGGGGGTGGGTAAGAAGGCCAAGTAATGCTGGACATCTTCAACAATCCCTTGTACAATCTTTTCCTTTCCATAATTTCCAGAGCTGTAAATACACTCAACAATGTAGTATGAGCAATGAACGAACCTTGTTAATGCGCTTCAAGGCCATTTCAGTTGTTTAGATTTGGTTTGTGTTAAGAGAAGATACACTGAAACCAATCCAGCTTGTAGGAAAAAAAGGTTCGCGGAGTTTTTTTAAAGTAACGCGCAGCAAAGATTATGGCAGAAGTTTTACTAAAACGCTTTTATGTAACCGATACAAACCAAGCAGCAACTATAAAAAGATAGAGAAAAGCGCTCCTATGTTCTGAGAGACTTTCAACACAGGTTGCGCTGATCAATTTTGATACATGTGTACTTGATTCAATACTAATTGACAGCATGTTTCTTGTACCTAGTTATTGTATTTGCTAGTGCGAGAAATCGAAATAGCACGTCGCTCACCTGGTTTATCATCCAAAATAATCTGAGTGCTCTTTTTGTTGCAACCGTTACCATGTACAGTGACCAGGTATCTTAAACTCGGCCTGTTGCTCTTTTGAAGTAGTAAGCATGTGGTCTTTGGGCCGTGATAAATAACGAAACGGGTCATACATATTCAGAAGTATAACACTGCTTGCTTTCTTATTATTGAACAATTAGAATGAGAAAGTCGCAATGCATTGTCTTTTGGATATGCCAGATATGCTCCCTATGAGCTTTTCACAGCCGTGGAAATCTTCGCACAGTACAACTCGATAGTGAATTAAGTGTTAAAAATACTTGTACTGGTGTCATGGAAGTGATTAAGCTCGTCTCGTAGCTGTGTCGTGTGAGCTTTGGTAAGCTTTCCATATATACCTGGTTTACTTCCTTGTCGGAACAAAGTGAATGGATGCGTTCAGTCTTTAAATGCGCCAAGTAGTCCTCCTTTTTCTTCGTCAAAACCAGGGTCAATCAATGACTTAACATTTTTGAACAATCATACCCATCCCACCTTAATAACTGAGAACCAGGTTTGAACAATCCAACATCCAGCAATACTAAAACAAGCTAATCTTAGAGTACTATTAACACATGGGCTTGAGGCTTTTTTTTAGGTTCTGTAGCTTTCTTTTAGCACAATACACAAGTCTTTAATGAATATGAGCCTGTGCGTTTGGCATGTATCAGTCTACTGTACTCAAAACTGACAAAGTATATATAAAAGTCGTAAATTTTAACTTTTCAACTTCTCCTCGAATCAAATATTGAAGCCTGTGATACTTGCAAGCTACTAGCGCCAATTTCTCAGTACTGTATCGATCATGACTGTTATCTAGGGTGTCTACAGCATTTATCTCATTCGTGAGCCAATGAAATACTCCACAAAAGCTAAAAGTGATAGCGCGTCACCGATGCCTTCAAGCGAGGTTCGCTCGTTCCTGTCAAGCTGTTACATGATTCTTATAGCATAAGAAAAAAGGTGTGTCGATTGGCATATATACCGCCAGATGGCATGCTACGCATTGAGGAGCTTCATTCACGGTATACTAACAGACAGAAAAAACGCTGAGGATATGTATAAGGAGCGGTTACTGATGGATGTCAAGCCCACAACTTCCTTTACAATTTAAATTTCGCTTCTGTATCAAGTTGCTCTTTTGTCACGGGTAAAAATTTTGCGGGACCATTTATTCAAAATTAGTGTCATCATTTTGTCTTTCCCATCCTTACCTTGCATTTCTTTCCCCTTCTTTATTATCTGCTGCCTATAGGCATTCTGTTTATTCTCTCTGCTGGTACAAAAGAAGCATACTCTTTGTTAGGTACACTTGCACTCTTGAATACAATTTCTACCTTGTATACACTCTGAAAAACTCGAGCAGAATTCTGACAGAATATTTGCGACAAAGTAGACATAATAGGCCTGCACAACAGTAGAGCCGTCGACGATATCAATGTAAGCTTTTGGCACGAACTTAAAGATAAGCAGTAATTCTCCTCACTGGTTTTGAATTACAGTAGAATATAACATCTACGTTTTACGGTGTTCATGGTTCTCGAAAACCTTTCAGCTGCTCACAAACCTTCTGTGCTCATAATCCCTTGGTCTCTCAACGGTTGTGCAATTATTGGTTGACGAGACTTGCTCATCACAAAGAATACGGTTATAATGATCTCGACGTTCCTTCTCAGTTTGGCGTTCTTGGGCCCCAGTTGAATGCGAGCTTCTATGTACACCATAGTCCTGTTCATTCTTTCATTTTCTTCACCTCGGCGATTCGGTGGAAAACGGTGAGCTTGCTGAGAAGAAGCTCATTCCCCATATTTAAAATAAAAAAATGGGAACATCGTCTGATGTGCTGATAAAAAAGACCTTGGATCATCTTGGATAATCCTGAAAGTGACAACGACAAGGATAACAAAAAAACTTCCTCTGGGTGCCTGAGCGACGCGGATACAGGATGCAAAAACAATGACTATCGCACAGTCTACAGCATGTACTGAGTACAGTCCGCTTGATTTTAACTGTTGAACTACTACATGTACGATGATATGGGGCGAGTCCTACCGAACAGAAGTGAGATTTAGACTTCGTTATGACTTTTTAATCCATTGATGACTAATACTTTCACGACATCATCATGATCATCCTTGACAGGTGCAACACTCGTTTCAATTGCTCTCATTTGCTAAATAGCGCTCATCGGTGTACTAATATATCTTATTTACACTCCAGGGACCGTTACTGCCGAACAACTTCGCTGTGCGTAAATAGGAGCCGGCGTTAAGTAGCGCCTACATATTAGACAACCCGAAAATAGCGAATCGACTCGATTTTTTATTAATAAAAAATGTGTCGAACCCAACTGTTCCGATGTTGGAGAATCAACCGACACAGTCCCTAAAAAGAAGTAGGTGTAGAAAGCTGTCTACGTATTCCAAAAACGATGAAAGGTATATTCAAAGGGGTTGTCAAAATAGCAGAAAACGACTTGAGAACCATGATGCAACTGCATTTGTCTGATCTCATCATATGGTAAGCCTACTCTTTTGGCGCATCTTTAGAGAAATATGCATAAGGGCATCATATAGGATGTTGAATTGAAATTATGACGATGGATTGCTTCGGGGGAGTATGAGTGCTTAGTGTACAAGAGATAGAAGAAAATGAGATATCATTGAGTGTCGCATCTTCATTGACAGCACAATGGTCCCGAGCTCACCATAACAAGTATAAGATGTATGAATCATTCTCACACAAAATAATAAGTGATGATGAAGAAGTTGACCACGTTGCCTACATCTTACAACGGATAACCAAAGGGAGAACTACAGTACAAAGAAAAGCAAAGCAGCGGAAAGTCAAGGAGAAAAAGCATGCAGTCTACCGGGAACGCAGGAACAGTGGAGTCGACCAAACGTTGTTCCCTTAATCCCTGTGTAGCCATGCTTAATATACTAGCTGCTAGTGCTTATAGTAGACAGAATCCCAGAGAAGCCTTTTTTTTAGTGTTTGCAAATTGTTGTATTTAATTAGAAGCCAAGGGAAAACGGGAGAAAAGATAATGGTGCTTATATAATAGTTATTATTCACTACTTAAGATGCTGTATGTAGATATAATTTGTATGTAGGTACAACGAGCGGCTGTTTAGTTGGGCGTGAAATAGATGCTCACGCGCAGTTCGCCATGACTGGACAAACCAAGCTTGGCTGGCAACTTGACCCACTCGTCAAAGGTTTGGCCACCATTGATAATATCCTTGACATTAACCTTGGCATCGCCAATTTTGTCGCTGCCAATTAAATCCTTGTCGAGAACCTTGAGATAAAGCTTCTTGTCAGACGAGCCTTGGGGAATGTTGAAGGTAAAGGTCTCGTTCCAGACGGGGTTGTTACTGTTTTTGACTTCGCTTGAACGCTGCTTGTAGTCGTCATCGAGCCACAACTCGCTACACATGTACCCAGGCGTATCTCCTTTTTAGTTCCATACATCCTATCCATCCTGGTACCAAGTTTATAAACATCACACTTACACATAAGGATCATTCTAAGAAAAAAAAAGTTAAAACTGGATTTATGAGTAATCTTTGATTTCTTGCTGTCTAGACGAGTTCCTTGGAGCCCTTATCTCTCATGGGGTGTTTTATTACCTTGCCAAACAAATCTTGGTTCTTCAAGTCCTTAGCTTCGACTATAGATTTTGCGAAAACACGCAGCACGCATTAGTAAAATAAACAGACTACAACACGGCAACCCAGCAGCAACGACAGGGGTTAGTGGGAGTAGTATAGCATAATGACTTACTAAGAGTGACAGTCAGAGTACCGGCAGGAAAACCCATTTTGCTGTTAAAGATGAAGTAGAGTGAGAAATAAAGATAATATACTTTAAGAAGCGAGCTCTTATATACCTTTTTGAAGTAGTACCGTGAGCTGCACTTTGCAGCGATTTACATCTCTCTGTACGACAATGCGGCAAAATTAAGTATCGGCTCGTTGCAAACTTTTTTTGGCCTTGTGACACTCGAAGCTGCAAGAAGGTAAAATGGCAAACCGTTTCATTTTGCCGATATTATTGCCATATTCGCTTAGAAGGACGGGAAACATGCTGAGCATCATACTCTCATTATATTTCGCTTGGCATGTAGCATCCTACAATGCAAAGTATGCCTACGCATCGGGCTTCATGCCTAAAATGGCAAAGCGTCATCGACAAATTGCTTCTGACAACAAAGGACACTGATGATCACGCTTATTGCGAACTGAACTGACAGAAAGCAAAGTTGTTTAAGGTAAGCTGATCTCTGAAGGTCGGCTGAACCGGTCTTTATGTGTAGCCATGCCAAGGTGATAAAAAAATAAGCGGGTGATGATCGATTGATATGGAGGATCTTCTACAGCAGAAAAAACCATCGATAGTAACTATCAGCACGCCTTCCAATTAGATAGGCTCACGTGTTGCTGGTGCTCAAGTGTTGCTATCGTCAAGGACTTTTTGTTGCCAGGTCTAGTATGATCTGGTTACCGGGTAACTTGCATAAAACAACCTTTTATCCGTGCCCAATAGGTAATCCCGTTGGCGGTGTTTCTGAGACTCGTAAGCGTGGAGAGGAATCTAAATATATCCTCTTTCTGCTGCTGCTTTCCACATCACATCTGTCTCCAGTTTACGTCATCGGCACAATGTACATACAAATACGGACCTACTATGATTGTATTGCCTATGTCACTTTTGCATGGCTGAGGATTAGAGCAGAAGAAAAAAAGATTGATGAAATATCACTGCTTCAAATATTATGGGAGCGCTGCATCATTTTTGTGACTTGATATTTCCTTTTGGCAGACGACGGTGCCACGGCCGCCCCTTGTTTACACTGATTCACAATTGTTTGGCGTATCATATACCAAAGTGCATTAACACTTAAGAAGTATTATATAGCTTGGGCACAGATAAATAAGGGGCACGAGCCAAGCGGGCGTAAGGCTCAACAAAAAACCCAAAGGGGGCTGAAACAACAAAAAAGCGAGCAAAGGCTGGCACACTAGATCACTCTTCCGGAACATCCGGACGCGTTAGTTACCCGTTGCGGTGATGGAAGTAATAGTAATGCTTAACTGAACTTTGTATGTACAAATGTTTTAACTATTTCTTTTTGGATTTGTGAATGGATGAATGTATGTGTGAGCTTAAATGATGCTTTCGTGGGATGTGCTGTGCTAAGTGTGTGGTATTTGAATATGTGTGGTATAACTGTTTCATGCTGTTTTCTGCTCTTTGAAGTATATTGAGCATTGTATGAAGTATAGAGAGTAAGAGGACGTATGTCGACCATATCATGATAAACCATTCAGTAATCTTCCAGCTCCTTCCCCGCTCAAGAGAGCGATGTTTGCGGCTGCTGGGGTTGCTGTACCATTTCGAAACGTCGACTGTTGGAAAACCGAAACACCATACTTTTGCGGCACTGCGGGAAGTTGATACGTGAACTTCGATGGTAGATGGTGTCCTTCTTTAAGCATTCCTGTGAGCAATACAATGAATTCTGGCCATGATACTGTTAGTTCCTTTTCCTCTTGTCCCTCGAAGGTTCGCTATTATCAGCTGCTTGGACAGCTATCATACCGAGAGTGGATTGATGGCAACGTCGCAAAAAGTGCACCAATTCGTATCACACATCATTTTTTCTATATAAGCTGAGTCTCTGGTGGCAATGCAGAAGAAAAGATAGTAGTATATAGCAGCAATAGATGACAGAGAGGTGAAAGATTAGGTCAGAGGGGAAAGAAGAAAATCTTTTTGAAGTAAAAAAGAGAAGAAAAGTATAAGACGACCTATAGATAATCTGCTTATATTTCTGAAGAAGAAAAGGGGGTTATACTACATACGGATGAGCACCATCGTCTGGAACGGGGTGTGTTTCTCTTCGTTATATTGCTGTCATCGCATGCAGTGGTAAAGAAGGAAAGCTTGTCAAAACATTAAACCCCAGCATGCACAACAGGGTGGCACTTTATAGTTCGGTGCTGAGTATTATTTTTTAACTTGGCGCGACAGGAAGGGGCCAGACTATTATTGCTGTTCATCGGTCATCCTCTAGCGCTGGAGTTTCTCCTACCCATCATCCCCCGACCTCATTCTGGGTCCAAACAGCTTGAAAACCATGATGCATCATCAGAGCTGGTTTCGTTTATGTCAACGATGTAAAACGATCAATGGTATAGTTGATATATCGACATTACCTCACAGAGAATGAAGTGAGCGGCATCACCCGGTAGTAAATACAGTGATGCATGATGCACTTATTAGGCTTGCGAGTCAGATTTTACTATAAGGATGAGCTAAGGGGCAAAGGAAGAATTCATTAACACTGCTGCAGTAAAATGCATGTGCGCCGATCATCCCGGAATTTTCTTGAGATATAATACGTGGATTTAAAAAGACAAGCGGCGCTGGATAAATTGGGGTTTTCTTTGCTCCTACTAATCGTTTTCCTCACTATGTCGTCTTGATATATAATTGGACCCGTCTAAGGTTTTAAGGAAGTTTAATAGGGCAATCTGGGGATACTATATACCATTTTGAGCCGATAGCGAGACTACAATAAGACGCTTTTCGATTTCGGACCGGACCCCGCTGCCACTATAAATGTGCCAAAGATATAGGCATCAGCCTAATGAACTGCAAGGCATAATGTCCGAGAGAACTTTTCAAGGTACTATCGCTTAGTGTAGTAAGCGCTTAATCTTGTTCAGTATATGTAGCGCTTTGAGTGTAACCCATATTGGTACAATGCTCGTCATTTACAGATTTTCTTCAAGTGTGACCACGCGATCCCGGATGCGGCTGCAAATTTCTATTCGCGTGCATTGCTAAGCTAAGTTACAATTACCGAAAGTACAGCGGTAGAAAGTTTGTACAGGCATTCATCTTGGGCGAGATCCCTCTAGTAAGTTTATCCATTATGAATGAAGGGGCATGTTCGTCTTAAAGGTCGTGTAGAGCAAGAGTGGCATTACAGTCAATATGCCGAATGCTTCAACTTCAGACCATATAAGCTTCTAATTATCAGCGACTTGCCCCCTAACATTATAACCACGACTTGCAACCCTCTCTCTGGGCAACAGACCCAAGTGCAGCACCGAGAACGAGTTCAATTTACGCCACTACCGAGTTGACCTGGCATGAATTTTCGACCGCCACAACTAACCGCGACCTGGGATCAGGGACAAACAGTTGGCTATAGTGCCGATCCGCATGTAAAAGCTGTCCCATATAATCGTCGTTCTACCAAAATATCTTCATTCTTTCAAAGCCAAAAAAACACTAGCGGTTGTGAAGGTTAACGCCAAGAAGGCAGTACCCGCCCCAGTGATGGTGCATTAACCTATTGTGGCTTTAAATTTCGGTGAATCCTTATATGTGCCAGTGAAAAAGAGCTTTGATATGTGATCTTGTGCCTTTTCTTCTTTTTTTTTGCCGCAGCAGCAAATCAAAATTAAAGAACAAAAGGGTTAAATTATAGAGAAAGGCTACAGGTACGAGTTTTGTCTTACGCTTACGAGTTTTTCTTAGCGGGTTCTCAGAGTGGTTGTGTTGTGACACTTCATATAGCCATTCTGATTGCCGTCTTACACGTACGAGTTTTTGTCTACACATCAGTCTTCCCTTTTTGGATGGCCTTGTCAAAATAACAAGCTATTATTATATATTTAAGGGTGAAATGGTTTCAATTACACTGTTCTTTCCTATCTATATTATTAAAATCTTTAAAAGTTAGCTGAAAAATCCAAAAAAGGAACCTCCGCTCTTTCCATATAATTCCACCCGCGCACGGAGAGTGAGAGAGAGAAAGCAAGTACTTACGCAAAGCATTTCCCAAATTCATGGGGGACCTCGGCCGCACTTTTTACCCGTGGGCACGGGGAATTTTGAGATAAGCAGGACTTACGCCCGGAGGCTGCCTGAGTAAAAAAAACAGCCGTTCGCGTGAAACGATGCAACATCCGAAGATGGGTCGAGACAGAGGCTACTAGGAACTGCGAGAGAAAAGCAAAAGGGGAGGAGAAGGGGAGGGGGATAAACTATATAAAGAACGCAATAGACGCTTTTAACGACTTCCTGGGTCAGAGCAAGGGGAGGAGGGGAAGGGGGATAATTTATACAAATAAGCAATAAGAATATGAGGCTTTTAACGACTTCCTCAGGTCCATTCAAAGCAAAAAGCACACGCCACCGTCCAGATGGATGGATAGATCTTGACCGCAGCCTACGGACTACTTGACAGGTCGGCTTCTAGGAGCGGGATGACAGTGGAGCATCAATCTTGACCAGCTTGGAGGTGTCTGTGCACTACCGCCATTCCGAGAAACAAAAGAGACGAATAGTTAATGGGAAACTGTCAAACCACACACACAAGATTCTATCGTGCTATACTTACCCATACTTCTACGATGAGACACAGGATAACCGAACACCCGGCCAGTGTAGAAGCAGAGAATCGCAGCCAAGACGAAAACACCTCTTATAGCTGACAAAAAAAAGAACATTAGAGGGTTTCACACACTGTGCTATCTTTATTTTCTGACACGGCATTACCATCCTCCTCCATCCCAAGCTGGATCCAGCTATACTTACATTTGTTTTGTCGTTTTACAGCAAAGTTATAGACAGAGAGAGATGGGGTCTAAGCCAATCCAAGTCCAAACAGATCACCGCAGAGCCATCCTCTATTAGAAAAAAGAAAACATCTATGAGCAGCTGCATACACTTTTTGACATGTCACGGCACACATCTTCCTGGTTCTTCAAACACGCAAAGACAAACACAAGCACAGCGATACTTACTATTATGACATCCTTGGCTTGGAGGAAGAGAGCCTTGAGTTAGAGAAAGAAAAAGCAAGAAGGGCACGACGACCAATTCTGAAGAACAAGAGAAGAAAGGCGAGAGAGAAAGAAATTTTTTTTGAGAGACTGCCATACTGCACACGTCATGATCAGGAACCCTTTCCCGTCACGCTGCTGTACACACTGCACACCTTTGACACGTCATCTCCAGCACCCAGGCCATCCCACTCACCTACCAATGTTCAAGTTCCCTTTTGCTTATACTTACCATCTGTTACTTGTCCGCTGGACACGATTAACCCAACCAGCATAAGGCGGAACCTGAAGTAGAGAGAGATCATGAGCAGGCTGTTCTAAATATGCAGCTACTTTTGACACGTCATGGCATCAGCACTTCCAACAGACACTCGACTTCTCTCCAGCTCATGCTCACATTTCATTCCCTACCGTACTTACAGTTGTTGCTTGTGTTTAAGGGTGGGGTGCAAACAACAAACCGAACCAACCATTTCAAAAAGTCAGAATTCTACAGTAGTAGCAGAGAAGAAAGGAGGATAATATTAGCGGCTGTATGCTGTACATACACTTCTTTAGACACGTCAAAATTCAGATCTTCTTTCGTATATCACATCCACAAGCAAAGCCTCAAGTCACACTTCACATTTTTCATATTGTACTTACTCTTGCATCTGTGCTTTGAGAGCCAACGTGAGGGGGAGATGGACCAGGTTAAGACGAGAAGAAGGTCTGTGTCAAAAAAGAAAGAAAGTGAGATAAACGGATCTTAAAGAAATCACTGTATAGTCACAACCGGTTGCATACACTCTTCTCACTCACCACCATAAACATACACTCTCCGATCCTCTAATCCGTTCCAATGACACTCACCTTGAATAGCTTTGGTTTACAAACGTTGACGAAGAGGAAGAAGAGCCCCATGATTGCTGCGGCCGCACGGTTATATAGTAGTAATGAACACGGCATTTGAGCCAGTTCAATCTATCCAATCAGATTGCTCTCTCACGTTTATGACGCGCCGAAATGTGTGGCTCCTCCAGATCAGAAAATTTGTTCTACATGAATGTATGACTATGTGAGTAGACGGGTATCGCATCGAGAAAAGACTCAAGCGGATAAGCGTTATAAACACGATATGAAGCTCACTTCAAATCCTTCATCATCTGAGAAGTGTCATCGCTTTAAACACGCTGGATACAAGTATCAATACAAGTATCAACGTATACAAGAGTATCGAAAATCTCATGTGACATGGCGATCCCGCGCTTGCCGATGTTCCATTTGATGGAAAAATTATGGTCCTTGGTGTTGACTTTTGCCAGGTACTCAACATTGTATCCTCTCTTCTACTTTGCATTCTTTTGCTATTGAGCGGTAATACTTACGTTAAAGTATCTACATCAAACCTGGTAATAGGTCCTTCCTGTGATACCAGATGCATCGCGCTCGCAAATCGTACAGCAGTGTCTAAATCGTTCATCGATTTGACCCAGTGTCACCGTCCATCGCCTTGAAACCAACATACGCGTCCAACAAGCTGCAACACCAATGATGCAAACGAGCTTGGCCAGTCGATGCAACATTTACTTTGCATTGGTGATGGTGCCGAGCTGTTGGAGCCGAGCTGTTGGTGCCAAGCGGAACTTGCACACCCATAGTGGACTCTGCAATAAGACACGACTGATTGTTACGCTCTCTCCAACGATATGTACTTGATGCTGAAATAGCCACTGGACCTCATACCGGCAACATCGTCTTGATCCCTCGCATAACTTTAACACCATCACAAATACGCTCCCCCATTCTCTTCAAACGCATCCAATTCCCTGTTCGCCTGGCATTCACTATGACCCTCAATAAGGCACAGGATCAAACTTTTAACACTGTTGTCCTCTACTTACCTGAACCTCCTTTCACGCATGGTCTACTCTATGTAGCCATGTCACGCGTCCGCACCCCATCATCTATTAGAATCATGTTAGATCCCGAGAACTCAAGTATCGCGGGTCAGCAAGGCCAAAACACCCGAAATGCTGTTTTCCATGAAGTCCTTCTCTAATTCTCTTTATCTTCTATCCTCTTTTTTATCTTCTATTCTCTTTATTATCACCTATTCTCTTTTTTATCACCTATTCTTTTTTTTCTCACCTATTCTCTTTTTTTCATGCCTATTCTCTTTTTATCAATATCACTACATCATCTTTGTCAACACTTCTTTTCGCATTGTATTCTAAACTGGAGATAGTTAAGTATCCAACTTTGACGACTTTCTATGATAGGCTACTTCTCACTGCACAATGATCTTGCTTTTGATTTTGAAAACAGACAATAAGCATCTAATACCAAAACATTGATCCAACCTCGCTCGACAGGGCGGGTTTGTTGGGCTTGCCCCCCACTTGGGGGTCAAGGGGGGAACCCCCTTGCGACGCGTTTCCGTTGAATGACACGGAGCGAAGCGGAGGGGCTCATTCATCCGAGCGAAGCGAGGAAGGACCGCTAGTATCTTATATGATTCTGTTCTGCCACTATAATGGCACATATACAAGTTCCGAATAATATCAAGTAGCAAACCATGTGTCATTTATAAAGTTATATGGCGCGCCATATAATAGTAAAGTGTCACCGTGCGTTAAAAATATGACTCAGCAACAGAGTACACAACATAAAGCAAGTTAGTCCGCTATAGCTCTATGATATTGTTAATGAAGTTGGAAACGAGTACTTATCCTCACTACTATTTCTACTTAATTTGTTAGATCATAGCCTTCTTATGTTTGGAAAGTATATAATTCTCGAAAGTACAGTGAGCAAGTTTCCTATGAAACTTCTACTTTCGAAAGAGCTGCTTGAACGGTCACCAGATTAACAACTAACCCACGTAGAACCAGGATGGAAAAACTCATCCACGTAATCAGGTAGCTGTAAAACTTCTCCGAGCTAGTTATGATCCGCGTGAAATCAGGATGAAAAAACTCATCCGCGTAAAAAGGACGCTGCCCCGAGTTCATCTAAAGTGATTGTTACTTATGTGGACTCGGTTAAAAACTCCAACACACAAGCAAATAGATTGCTTGATTGATTGGCATCCTGAGATTGAGCTTGGTGTGCCATCAAATATTGGGAAAAGGCCAAGAACAGAAACAAATGCAGAACTTTATGTCATTACAGCGGCAGAACAGAATCATATAAGGTCTAGAAAAGAACAGTGTAATTGAAAACATTGCACCCTTAAATGAGCAGTTTTACATTAAAAAGTATATGATAATAGCTTGTTATTTTGACAAGGCCATCCAAAAAGGGAAGACTGATGTGTAGACAAAAACTCGTACGTGTAAGACGGCAATCAGAATGGCTATATGAAGTGTCACAACACAACCACTCTGAGAACCCGCTAAAAAAAACTCGTAAGCGTAAGAAAAAACTCGTATCTGTAGCCTTTCTCTTATCTTTTACACTTGAACTCTATACGGGGGAGAAGTATCAATCTTTTGCTACAACATGTGAGTGGTATTTATATAAATAAATATAACTATCTCAATACATTTTGCGAATACGAGGCGTATATCTACGTCTATGACCATGTAAGCCTATTGTTAAAAAGAGGTTAAGGTGCTCTGTGTCCCATTTATTTGTTGTCGGCGCAAGTGGTCTCTCACTTGTCTAAGCCTTTCTTTGAGGGAGCCTTCCTCTAAAAAACAGCTAACCATATCTAAATGGAAGAGCTTTTCTCTGAGCGTTCACTCTTCTGTCGGGTGGACTGTGGCTTCTTGTTGCGATTCTATTGTTTCTTCTTCCTGGTCTTGAGCAGATTGGACTGCGGCAACAATGGTATCTTTTTGCAATACTGGGTGTACTGCTTTCCGTTCCTCTACAGGATCAAAATCTGCAGCATTGATATACCGTGCCCCTGGGATACCATATATTACTTCCAAATGGCCTATTATCTGGTCTGCAAGATCTCGTTCCTCTTCTTGTTGCTGTTGACCCTCGTCATTGTTTTGTAGCTGTACTACCAAAAAAGCCGGCACTTGCAACGCTTGTGAAAACAAATACGCACAGTCTCTGGTTTAACAGAGTTCCAGGCAGCCTTGGACCATCTCATAGCCTTGAGAATATCAACCTTGAAAATGTTTCCGCCTTGGGTGACCAACTGACGATTACCACGCCTCTGGGTTTCTATGTAAACTCGCTCATACTGCAATCGTCTGTAGCAAAAGTAATGTAAGAATAAATAAGTTGTTTGTTTACCATCAATTGATAATATTACAAGGTGGAGGCACGTTCAAAAAGAGAAAAACTCTTACTTAAAGTATCCTTTGAAACTTTTTATGATTCCGGCATCCGACGGCTGTGCTCTTGAGGTCGTGTTTGGTGGCAAGAAGAGGAGCTTCACATTGGTAGGCTCGTAATCACATTGATGACCAGAGAAATTGTCAAGAATCAGAAGAACGTTTCGATTTTGATATTTCATGGCTCTGTCAAAGCGACGAAGGTAAACCTTGAATATATTTTTCGTCATCCATGCATTGGAATTAGAGAAGTACAACGAGAAACCATAATGGGAGGCTAAAAAAGAGGTTTCCTTGTTATCAACAATACTTTCATTGTATGCCGGTAAATATGATAGATTATAATCACTGTATTTACTCACCATCCTTCTTTTTAAAACATGCTGGTTTTTCAGCATGACCAATGATTAATGGTTCTCTGAAGTCGGATCCGACCATATTGACTGTCAATGCGACGGTAATTCTTGACTTATCAGCTTTAATTCCAGGAATCGGTCGCGATGAGATAGTCGTCAAAGGTGGGTTCAAGTAAAATACGGCTGTTTCATCCATGTTGTAAACATCCTTGGCCTCGTATTGCTCGATTGTTTCTAATATATCCGGCATCTCAGATGCAAGGAGTTCGTCGTTGGCAGAGCCAGATTCACCGTGAATCCTCGACATCTTCAATCTATATCTTTTCCGGAAGCGATCTTGCCAGCCGTTACTACCATGGAATGCACCCGGACCCTCTTTTGGATAATTCAGCTTATCAGCAAAATCCTTAGCAGCTTCAACAATAACTGGCCAGTTTAGTGGGTAGTTGGCTTCTTCCCAGCTGATAATCCGCCTATATGTAACCTTTTTCAACATCCTAGCAGAACAAACAAAAAGTTTTCGAATTAAAACTGTTTTATTGTACCAACAACCAATTAACTATTCTAGATATGCTACATCCAGGAAATTTCGCAACTGCGTGTTTTTTCGTGTGTTTGAGTTTTCGAAAGTATCATCGTTCATTTCTCGTCTTCCTTTCAAAAACTTTGACATAGTCGTTTCAGAAACAGCTCTAGCTTGAATTCGTTTCTAGCCCATCTAGCAAGCTCGCCATTGGTCATACCCGTTGAGCGCATCTTAAGCTGGTACACTTGCTCTTGTCGACCTTCTGTAAGCTTTGCGTACTTCTTGTTCACCATTGCAGAAGAAAAAGGAAAGAAAGAAGAAGAAATATATAATAAAAAGGTTTTCTGCGCGTTGTGAAGCCATTCTCATACAGAGCCGTCAATTTCTTTATTCTCTGTACTAAGACTGATCTCAAGTAGTGAATGAAGTTGTTTCAAAAGCGGATTTGCTGGCTTCTCGCGGCTGTCATTCGTTTTTTCTTTATTTATCGGAACAAGGATCAGATTTCAAGAGAAAGTAGGGAAGTCATAAAATGTTTATCAAAATCTCAAACAAGCAGAGCTGTGTATCAGCAGTCAGGTAACAGTAGAGATTATGCATACACACCAGATTTCAAATAAAATAAATGGAAAAAAGCATGTGGCAGTATGGATTAGATACAGTGGTGAGAAAGTTTCAGCTAAATTTCCAGGCGATGAATGCTCAGAAATGGCAGCATTGGAAAAAATCGGGGGTCCGCTGTACAGGATGGAAACTTGTTCGACAACAACCGTTTAACTAGTACCCTCAGAGGCCAAGCAAAACAGTGCTGCCCAGTAATAGTTCTCCTAAACCATTCAGTATTTTACCCTTAAAGCAACAAGGTAATACTTTTATGAGTGCTTTTGTACACACAAGACTCAATTCTTGATCATAACTGCTGCAGCGAGTAGTTGAGTCATACCAACCGGAAACGTAAGCTCATTAAAGAAAGTTTGTGCCACACCCTGTGACAAGCGGCCAAATATGTCCGCATCTTTGTTAAATATACATTACCTAGAATGACCATTTTCAATCTCTCCTTCCTCCTTCGTTGCTATATAGGATGCTAGCACCGATTTTTGAGAAGGTCCAACAGCTTTTTCAAACGGTTGAAAAGCACCTTGGCGATCCCGTCGCGCTTCCGTTTAGTAATACCGATACTTCCCTCAAGAATATTTTGATTGGCGGAGGTGTCACCGGCTTAATCAGCTACGCTGTTTCGAAATATATTGTGTATAATCTGTATCTTCATCCTCTTTCTAAAATTCCGGGACCACCTGTCGACTGGATTCCATTCCTCGGAAATATTCGAGAGCTGATTAGAGAAGAGGTAGCGCACTGGAAAGATAGTAAGAGAATACGAAGAGCAGCTGTTACAGTTGTGAGTGCCTAAAGTGCATTTTTCTTATAAAAAGTCAGGCGTTCCATACAAGAAATGGGCAGAGCGGTATGGTGATATCAGTCGTCATCATGGTGCCTGGAACAGACCGGTTATTTTGGTTTCTGATCCTGATCTGTTGAAACAAGTATTGATGACTGAAGTATACGACTTTACCAAAGCGCCGGACGATGCGAAGTATATAACTCGTATTCTTGGCAGTGGTCTGCTTGTTTCGGAGGTAAAGTGCGCTGTTAGGTGTTACATCTGTATATACATAGTAGGAACTCTTACAATCTATCTCACAACTTATTGCATTGTATATATGACAGGGAGATATACATAAGCGACACCGCAAAATGCTCAATCCTGCCTTTTCTATACAGGCCGTTCGAGAACTGACCCCTATTCTATTTGTACCACCTGTTCAACTCTGTGAAAAATGGATGAGTGAAATCAAAGCCAAGCAAACAAATCCAAGTGAAGCCGTCGAGATTGTTGTTTCGCATGGTCTTTCGCTTGTAGCGCTTGATGAAATCGGTCTTGGTGGGTTTGGACAAGAGTTTAACGCGATTCGACATGCTGACAGTGTGGATAGCGATACTAGCAATAAGCAACAAGTCCACAAACTTAGTTGGGCATACCAAACACTTTTTGATCCCAGTCGACGAACTTTTTGGACGATCTTGGGTCTCTTTTTCCCTGCTGCGCTATATGTGCCAACAAAACAAAACCGCCAGCTCAACAAGGCCCTCCGAACACTCGCCGAAGAAAGTAGAAATATTGTACAGCATGGTATTGAACGCGCTCAAGTTACCAGCGGAAAATCAGTGGGGAACAACTTGCTGTCAATGATGATCCGGAATGCGGACGAGGATGAGTCTGATCAAGGATTTACAGTCGAAGAACTACGGAACCAGTGTCTCACCTTTTTGGCTGCTGGGTACGTAACGTGGAATACAAGAAATAATTCACATAATTGGGATCGTTAACAGAGACATTGTGTGCTGCTGACGGCGTTTTCTTTTTTACTTCAGACACGAAACAACAGCAGTATCATTAACATGGTGTCTTTTGCTGCTGGCACAGCACCAAGATGTCCAAGATGCGCTGCGAGCCGAAGTTACACCTGTCGTGGAAAGAATCAATATGGATGACTCGGTGTTTCACGACGAAGGTCCTTTTGGAATCGGCTTTGAAGGGGCCGACATGCCATCTTATGAAACAATGAACAGCTTGCACCTCTTAAACAATGTTATCCGTGAGACCGCACGCTTAATTCCTGTTGTCCCAGTGACAGCACGATATGCAACCAAAAACACAACCATGAAGCACCATTTTGTTCCAAAGGGAACCGACGTGGTCATACCCATTGTCGTAAATCACCATAGCAAGACGATCTGGGGTGATGATGCGGAAACATTTCGGCCCGGCCGTTGGGATGAGGAACCAGCATATTCCAAAGTAGGATCCTATGAGTATTTTCCGTTTTTGGCTGGGACAAGACAATGTATTGGATACAGGTTTGCTCTTATTGAGCTCAAAATTATCCTCGCTATTTTGATTACCAAATTTCAATTCTTCGAAAAACCTGGATTTGTTGTCAAAAGAAGGCAAGAACTTACCCTGCGGCCTGTCCCTAACATGACCCTGTTAGTTAAGCCCATCTCATCAACACCATCATCCCACTAAAAACATCCTTTTGGTACTTCCTTCCTTTGTTGTTCTCCCACTTTTCCCGTTTCATTTTCTGTATATTAATTAAAAACTTGTATATTCGGCACAAATTGCAACGGTTGTATGATCCTAAAAGTTCCTCGTAATCCCGGTGTTCGTAGTAAGTATGTATACAGTACACTACTCAATCGAAGCTTTGCATAAAATAGATTAACGCTACGGAGACCGCCATACAAAGAGAAGGCGGTGGGTAGACTTCCGTCATAACAATCATGAACCAAAAGGCACGACAATAACACTTAATCTGCTGTGGTTATCATACATATTGTATTTACAACATACAGCATGTGATACGAGCCTGTGATCGAGTCTGCGTTGCTATTTTCACATATCTAGAGTATGCTCTTTTTCTCTATCAATGATATTTAGCAATATTTATAGAGACGGTGTCGCAGGTAGCATAACGATCGCGGAAAAAGAGCCTTTTTGCAGCTTCAAGCACTTTCAGCGTTTGTTTTAAAAGACATATTGACCCAAGCTGTTGAATTTTTCAAAAGCGAGGCACTTTTTTGCGAGATGTGAAGCACTTTTGACGTTTCGGTACTTTTACTGAGTCGATGACATCCGCAGAAAAGTTTAGAAGGCCGAGAAGACATGATCTTTGCTGACCACCAACAACTTGCCTGACACTGAAAAAATTTAGTTACCGGGATTTGTTTTGCAGTCGCCGAACCAGCTCTCATACTACGGGTTTCTCGGCCGGCTACAGCAGCAGAATCATTAGGGAGCAAGCAATTACATGCATAGCACAGACAAAACAGCACATATAGCTACTAAGCTAAAATAGCAGTGTGCCACAGCTGTTGCCAAAGAATGCAGCACAGTCCGTGCTCACAGTTCGTGGCGATTGTATGTACTCAAGAAAAAAGCACGTGTGATCTTCATCAAGGCTGTTGTATATAAGACTGTTGTGGGACAAGCGGCGGACCAGCTTTGGATCGCGTCCGTGCTATTCCGAAAACGTCAAAGCACGAACTGATCCCATCGCGGGGGTTGGGGTGCGCGCGCGAGAGAGGAGCACTGAAAAATAGTTACAGAACCCGAGTCCTTTCTGGACGGGTTCTATATAGTAGGTTGTAATATAAAGCTTGTTGCTTTTGTCTCATTTAGAGACAGTAAAAGTAGAGATTTTCATATATTTTATGATGATGCATACACAGAACAGAACAAGAGGAATATATATAATTAGACAGATGCGGGTGGCAGAAATGAGTGAGTTGAGTGAGTGTGTTTTGTGAGGGGATGTGAGAGAAAGTGCGCGAAAAAGGAAAGGATGATGAATTACGGACAGCAACAGATGAGCCCTTCTATGGTATACAAGGTAGGTTTTTTCATTTTGTGTGAAGGGGCGAAAATGCGTGTGTGAAAGGGGTAATGAGCTAGATTGGTAAGATGGATATGGAAAAAGGAACGTTTGTCTCTTGCAGGAGCAAGAGAGGGAGAAATAGGATTTAATTATCGCCTTTGAGGAGTGTTCAGCGTGTCGATCACGGTTTGGATTTCTCCCACCCACATGTCAAGTGCTTCTTTCGAGTCAGCCTTAAAGTAGAACACCTGGATAGTAGACCCGCCTGCCGCCGCTAGCAGTGCATCGATGTCATCAGCGTATTTGTAGTTGGGATCACTCGAGTTGATGGATACTTCAAAGGAGTATGGATGGTTCAGCTTCTTTTTCGGTAGCTCCTTAATGGTAGCGTCTCGTAAATCGATCTTTCCTTTAAAGTAGAGTGCAGAAGGAGTCATGTCATCACGCGGCCGTGCAAAAATTATGCAGTCGCTTAACAAAAAGTACATCCGACGGTCGTCACGGTGGTTGTAGCTGCCTGTGCTGACGCCTGTCAGCTGGCCACGCATGATAAATTGTCGTGGCTCATCCAGGAGCACAGGACAGTTGCGAACCAGACAGATCATATCGACTAGTCTGCTCACGTTCTGGCAGTTGTGTAACCTAGTCATCACAAAGGCGTTTGGTATAAATGATCTCTCTCCTCTCTCCTGCTCTGTTTCTCATTCTCAAGTATACACGCCATGGCTGTAGGACTTACAAGTGCCGGATATTAGCTTCTAATCGTGTCATTCGTTTTGCGCACTGGCTCAATTGTTGCGCGTCAGGATGATGTGGATCGGTGTATCGCACGAGCTCGTTCATGAGCTGTGCGTAGCGTGGTATTGATTGTAACGGTAAACTTAAGAGGGAGAACAAGGATATTTGACCAGAGCCGGTCGAGTCAAGTATGGCCTATGATTATCGTCAAAGTTGCTAAGAGTGAGTGACGCGGAAAAAGTGTATCCGCTATACAACAACATACACGTTGTATTGTACGCCCATCAACCTTGGGGGAGAAAGGGGAAGGGACGATCGTTTTACATACCTCTACATGTTTCTTGGTGGCTGGGGTGCGTGCTAGTCGTTCCAGTACGCTCATAGCGATTCCGTAGTTTTCGTAATACGTATAGTACGATGATGCGTCAAGCACCTATATTGGCTTAATCAGTAACGGCCAGCATATATGCGATCGCTGTATATAAGACAATAAGAAGAAATGGTTACCAAGGTACGAAAGATATCGGATAGCAGTTGCGTGGGACCCCATATACGGAATCTAAGAACAAGTGGCGGGACAAGGGCACACATTCAGATTAATTTTACTTGTCAAACCATCCGAGGTCGTGTGTGTTTCCTTACCGTTCCTTGAGGCCATTGAAGAACCGACGGCTGATGCTGAGGATATCTTCAAGATTGCCAAAAACCAGCTCGACGTCGTTGCCACGGACCATGCCGGCGGATTTGTTTGAGGATAGAAAGTTGCGAGGTAATGAGGAAGACGACGTACCCGACGCGTTTGGATTTTGGCGAAAACTACCCATCATTGGCTTTTTGTAGTACTCAAGCGCTGCCTGAATCTTTGCAATGTAACGTCCTTCTGTGTCGAATAGCTCTCTTAGGATACGCTCTCGATTTTGAACATCAGCCTCCACCACCAGATCTATGTCACAGTCAGTATCGTTTTAACAAGATTCAAAGTTGTGTAATCGCAGCTTTAAGCGAGCACAAGTACTCGGCAGTTTGGGTAAGAGAAGGGTGGCCAGCGTATCGTTTATAAAGAAAAAAGGGATAGTTCGTCGTACCCATATTACGAGAGTCCAGCTCGTTTCCAAAGAACTCGTACAATTCGTCAATCACGTCGACGTCGTCGTAAAGTGTGGTTGGACACTGGGATGAGCTGGCGGATATGCGAAACGGAGATATGGTTGAATCTTCCATGCTGTATGTGCTCATCGCGGTGCTTGCGTCGCTCACTGATGATGCTCCTCCTGCTAGTCGGCTACTGCTGCAACTACTTGCAAACGACAGCTCGGAAGACGTGGTTGTCCGAATGGTGTTGGCTCGAGTAGAGGCTGTGCTTGCCGATCTGGTGTTTTTCAGCATGGAAGTTGTGGAAAGGATTACGGTGCGTATGTGATGGTATTAGGCGTCGTCGTTGTATTTAATTGTCGATGCACAAAGCGTTGTAGAGGGATATTATATATATACTGAAAAGATAATATGGAGGGCGGGGGTTGGATAATAGTAATAGTAAGGGAAAAGAGAAAGAAGAAGAGAAGGAAGGGATAGGATGGGCGAGAGACGACAACAAAAGGGCTTTACGGTTGGTGATGGAAAAGGGAAGAAAGAAGAAGCATTGTCTTGAAGAACACAGAAACGGTTTCAAGAGAAAAGTTTATTTGTGTGCCCGGTAGAGCGGGAATAGATGCGCTCTAGCTTGTGTGTGCCCGTGTGCCTGTGAGTTATGCCGTTTTTACTGCTTTCCTTAGGAGTGTTTGCAAGGGAGACACGAAAGGTTGTGGAAAATTATGAAAAACAGGTACACCCTCCAACGCACAGCGCACACAGCATGTACACAGCACACAGCGGCGGGTATTGAAATGTCCTGTACACGGTTGCCCCGTTCTACAATCGTTGCACTGTCTCCCCCCACCTTGTCCAGCTTCTTGAATGAGTGTGCGGCGAACGACAGAGCGAGAGGCCCTTCATTAATACCAGTTGAAACAGGCTATTTCGCGCTAGGGAAAATCACACCCATTGACACACACACGTAGCGCCGTCGTCCAACATCTCTGACCCGATCGCCTGGAAAAATCTTTCCTTTGTTGTTGCGCTCAATTTGTTGGGTTTGGGCCCTTGGGCGGAATGTGGAAAAACACATGGGATGATCTTCGCTTTTTTTGTTGCAAATCCCAGCCCGAATAAAGCCAGCGGACAGCAACAACGAAGCATCTACTCCTTAGCGAGGAAGAGGAGGATCTCTTGTCTATGCTTTTTGTGCATGTCATTTCCGAGCAATGACGTCTTGTTTGTAATAACGGCGGACTTGCACCAGTAGAATCGTTTGCTCCTTTTTGACTCGCAAGTGGACGTCAAGAAATTAGGAAACTGTTATTCACTTATTCTTTGCGTAGTGTTCAGCTGAAATTCAAGCTCCTCCGAGACGGAGACCCGTTGCACACGTTCCATTGTTGGGTCGCACGATTCTTGTTATTGCGCGCGCTCTCTCTCTCTCGTCGTGTAGAGTTCTGCCGCTGCTGCTCGATACAAATCGGTCCGAACCATACCTACAAGAGAAAATGGCCGGCGGGGAGTTGTTTGTCAACCGCTGTTCTCCTCCCCCCTATTTTGCGCTGGCGACTTCCTGTAACCCCCCATCATCCATTACAGCGACCAGATCTTTTGTAAATGCCGGGACCCCACAGTTTTCAGCTGTGAATGGGCCAATTCCACATCACATGATGTTTTTTATATCTCTGCTAATTGTTGTTCCTACATTATTATGACCAAAAGGATATTGATTGAGCTGGGGCGCGTAACTGAAATATGCTTATAACCAGCGTACATCACCGCATCATATTCGCAGATACCATAGTACCCACAGAACCTTTTAATCTAACTGTGCTATCACGACTTAAAAATTATGTTGTGTACCTGCGTAAGTGCGTACCGAACGTCTTCTTGCTAAAAGCACGAGTCGTTGTGCCACGTATCACGATGTTATATACCTTTCACCTTACTACATGCAGAGATTTTTTGTTGCCAACCTTAATAGTGCTGTGACGCCCGTTAAGAATAGGAACAGTGCTCTCTACTATATATAACCTAGATCCTTTTTTTCGTGTACAAAGTTTGCAGCTCCAACAGGGGAGTATGAGCCAGAGTGCATTGTTGTACATTTCATATATACAGTCGTACAGAAAATCAGCCATTTTCTGCTGGTAACTTAGATGTTGAGCGATCGTCATTTCGCTTTCTCTCTTAAGGCTTTCAGTTTGACATGTGTATCTTTGTGTACGGGTGGTTTCCCGTCTGTGATCCTGTATCATTAAGTATGTTTCTGTCTACACTACTCCTATCAGAGGCTATTATCTTGTGCGTGGAACTTCCAAGTCGTGTCAACTGTCTGTCGCACTTGTGTGTCCTAATGCGTCACCTTCTGAGAAAATACGTTGTGTGTGAAGCAACTAATTTTGCTTACCATATCCACATGAAATCATACAGAGCTATTCATAACTGCGTTTCTATCAATAAGCTTTATCATTGTTCCTGATCTGAAACATGCTTCTATTGCCTTTGTCAAGCCGCAATGTGGCGGGATGGTCGATCATCTTGAATTTCACGGCAATCATACACGTGTAAGGCTGAGGCTTATTAGCTCGCCGTTTAACAAATAACGTGTCTCGTCCTCTGATTGTAATCGTCCAACAATATCATACATAACAATGTCTAGTACTTTTAGTGATAGGCAGTCCTGTCGCAACAAGTATAATACGCCTTTCCGTAAATATATCTTTGTTCGGGAGATGCCGAGCTTGTACGTGTATGTAGGACAGAAGGAATTGTTCTGGAAAAGACCATATCATCTCGTGAGCAAGTCTCGGTCAGTTGTACGACAAGTAGCTCACTACACTACATATCAACTTCAGTTTAGAAGCTATTATGAGCCCACAACGAAGCTTCCATGCTGTTCAACACTATAACCGAGATCCAAACATCACGCTCATTTATTACATTCTTGAGAAACTGAAATATAGCTTGCTATATTTAAGTCTCGCACTATTATTGTTAGAACATTAAGCAAAACGACGCTAATACTACGAGATATCGCATGTTGGAAAGGCGGTGATTGATTGTTATTCTTTCACCGCATGCGCACCTGCAGAATAAGGGTCCATGCATGAACTTCTGTCGATCACACTCATGGATAACTGACATATCGTATGTAATTGTTTAGTTTCTGATGTGACCAGCACAATAGAAGCACACTATCATTTATTTACTGTTATAGCAGTAAAAAAGCGTTACTTGATATGAAAAAGATGGTCCCATCTGATGGTATTAAGTCTCGACTCATCAGTAAAAATATAATGACCAAGATAGCACGATATGATGCTTTCCCCGACGTCCTTCCCTACATATATTTGCTGCATATACAATCAACGCTGTTAATGTTGGTGCAAACAAACTGATTTCTGCTGCAAATCAGTTTCGCTAATTTAAAGAAGCCAGAAAAACCAATAACAAGAAATCGAACGCTCAAAATGTGATGATTTCGCTGGTTGCTGTCGTCGCTACCGCAGTGATTTCTAATCTGATTAGCATGGTCTCTATCAGATACACTCGAAGAGAAAATATAGGAGCAGTAATGGTATATTTGTTTAAAGCATGATGATGATGATAGGGGATAAAGTATTTTTTAAAAGATATATTACTGTGGGTTGGTAACTGTAGATTCTTCTTCACAGCGAGTGCATGCACATATAAAGTGATAATGCTCAAGCAATCGTTTTCTCCTTTCCTGCACAGAATCCTCAATACAGCCATAAGATATACATGCTTCTTCGCCTTGCTCAATATCATGCTTTGCGATGAATACCATATTTCGGCCATCACGGATCTTCTTTACGTTGGCCTTACAGGAATGATTAAAGTACACAGCAGACGGGTAAATACCCCAGCCCAACAGTTCCAAATCGTCCGTCACGTTTCCAATGTCATCACTGGCATCATCGACGTCATCGCTAAACGCAACATCACTGCTGTTCTTACTGTATTTCTCCTTTTGCTGTTGTTGTGACATCTCCCAAAGACCAAAGCTATTTGACATTTCACGAAAATAAATGGCACGGAACACGGCATGCGGACAATCGAAAAGGCTTGAGGTAGCAGAAACGAAAAACGAGTACATATTGATTATATGAAGCAGCTCGTCCGGTAATTCGCGTTGTTTTCGTTCTGTGGCTCTGTCAGTACTACTTTTGATGCCATCGCTGTTGATGCCGTCGAGGATGCGGCGAACGTAAGTGAGCTCGTTGCATTGCACGTTTAAGAGATCGTCAAACTTTGGAACTGCTGCTTGATGTTGCCTTTCGGAGAAGAGATACTCCGCTTCACTTTGTCTGCGAGCAAGACAGCAAGCCACCAGTCGCATCATCGTCCGTTCTGCGTTATCAGGTATCCATCGTTGCTGTGATTGTACAAAACATGAATAGCGAGTGATGCTGGTCCATATCCGGTTGATCCAATGGCTGAGCTGGTCATCATCGGTGATATCCACTTGTTCGCTGTCAAAAAGTTGTATGTCGTGCCCATCGTCTTTGTCATTGCATTCTTCCGGATATTCACGATGCTGCTTTTGCCGACTGTTGTACTCTTGTTCAAGTGCGTGATAGCTACGCAGCAAGAGATTGGATTCATCCTCGCTGTGTCCATGAAAATGAAACTGCTTGCGACATGATTCTGAGCAAAACATGACATCCTTTATCGTAGTAGTCATGAGCGCGTTTTGCTTTTTCTTTCTCTTGGTACTGTTGTTTGCTGGATCTGCCGTCGTCGGGAGGGTGATGTCGGCTTTAAACCGCATACGTTTTGGATAGGTGAAATGAAAGCACCATGCACAAGTCTCTGGGACCCATTCTTGAGACACAACGGCTGCTAATGGTTCCGCTGTATGCACCCGAGTACCGGCTGCCACCCGTTGCGTGGCGACAAATCCTCGGCCTTTACCTTGTAGCGAGCAAGCTTTGAGCCAATGATCTCCTTGCTGGTTACCATGGCGATGCTTTTCTTCGGGATGACCATGGACTGCAACAAAATCTTTCACTGCAACCGCTGCAACCATGTTTCTGCCGTTGTAGGGATCCTTGCTAGTCAAGAAAGAGAAAGAGCGATAAGAAACGGAGCGATAAACAACGTTGGCAAAAAAGAAAAATATCTCTCAAAGTGTGTCGGCGATATAAAAAAACCTCTTTAGCGGGAGCCCATATTTGATAGCATGTCAATTCAAGAGGTCCAAATGCACCAATAGCCTTCGGTTTCTTGAACCGTGCATCTATTTCTAAAATTGGTGCATGCTTATTACGAAAAGGGTATATTCTGAGGCGTTAAAGAACAAATGCTCCTCCTTTTTCTATGCTTTGGCACGGTTATGGGATTTTCAAACGACTGACAGACAGCCGCTGCTGAGACAAGATATGCGTTTCTGACGAATCACTTATAGAAATATAATTGAGCAGGTTTCGGATGGGACCAACTAGTTCCGGCCGAAGTAGCCGGTGAACGGTAGGACGTGATTTTAACAGACACTATATATAGCTTCAAGCTGTAATCAATAAGTCAATGTGCTGTACAGTTCACGTCTATGTAAGATTTCTTTGTCTGTCTAATAATTATATTTCAAGCGAAGCGCTATCGTTACTTTTGTATAACTAAAATAACAGGATAAAGGCTTATTGGTGACGTTATCAGTTGTTACCTCGCGACCGCGGATAGGTGGTTACGGCAATAACGAGACTGGTGCTCTGTTGTCCCGTATCAACTTGTATAGTAGCCGTATGCATAAGATCGTTAAAGCTTAGGTAGTCGATATATATCGACGATAATGTCTCGCCATAATGGTCGTGCTAACATGTTTTTGATGATCAGGTAAGTTACTTATTATGAAGTAGAGAGCTGTGTATATAAGCTGATCGGATCGACTAGCAAATTTTTGTCGTTACTGTACTCATCTCGGAATACTAGCGCCATATTGGTACCATCATCCACCCACTCGTCAGAAACCTGATATAAGTAAAAAGTGGTTTCTTAGCACTGTGTACACGGGATTCCCCTCTTTCTAGTCACATACATTGCTAGTATTATAAATAAAAAAAATAGCGTAAGCATCTGTCTTTTTGCATTGCCGTCAAGGGCAGTGAAAAACCTATGCCGGACACGTTTTTTAGCAGGGAAAAGCGAAATGACAATCACCAAAACGCTTTTGGACGCATGACCAGTATTTTCCAAAAAGGGAACAGCGGTGGTGGGGAGCGTTTGACCAGACAATGACAAGCAGTGACAGAAAGAGCAATGATAGCTATTAGCACCGCGTTTGGTACTTCCGAGATACCGTGATTAACCACGATTTCCATACTGATGGCCCGACTGATTTTCCTACCAAGAGAGAATGGCAACGGTTTTGGTCGACCACGATGGCCATACCGGTGCGCGATCTTTGGTTCCGTGCGCTTCACCAAAAACTTTCTTGCCGCGCGACCCTACATCGACTCTTACCAGATAAATTCATTCGGTCAAACGTCCCATATGTGTTTATGGCATTGATAGTCTTCAAAATATCGTGTTTGCTTGTCCCAAGAAAGACTTGTTTGGCGTCGCGTTTGGGGGGATTTATTGCTTCTTCCTGTTGACGACACACAAATCGCTGCTGCCATGATCCATATGCAATTCCCGCAAGACTAACCCAATCTACCCAGTACCCTCATCATCGAAGCAGTCATACATGAATCATGGCGTGGTCATTGTGCACTAACCTTTGACAAATAGCCTTTTACCACTACTTCTATTATGCACTCCATCCACAAAACTCTTCACCTAAAAGAGGTTACTCAATGGTGGACGAACTGCATACTCAACGTTCAAAATACCTTTAAAAGAAACAACGATACGACAGTGGGTAGCTTTTACCCGCGCTTGACCCCGCAGCATGTTTGGCAAGATTTATCATCTGGGATGAAGCATCCATGATCAGTAAAGATGTTATCGAGACTGTAAACCAGTAGTTCACGATCTCTTGAGACATGACGATCCCGCGCTTGCCGATGTTTCATTCGGTGGAAAAGCCATGGTCTTTGGTGGTGACTTTCGCCAGGTATTTAACACTGTATCCTCTCTTCTACTTTGCATTCTTTTACTATTGAACAGTGGTACTCACAGTAAAGTATCCGCATCAAATGTGACAATAGGTCCTTCCTGTGATTCCAAATGCGCCACGCTCGCAAATCGTACAGCAATGCTTTAATCGCTCATTTATTTGGCACAGTGTCACCATCCAACCTCTTGAAACCAACATGCGCGTCCAACAAGCTGCAAACACCACTGATGCAAACGAGCTTCGCGAGCTTGCACAATACTAACTTCGCATTGGTGATGGTGCTGAGCTGTTCGCGCCAGCTACTGATGACAGAGTCCGGCTTCCAGATCAAATGCTCATGCTGCATTACAACACATACGACCTCATAGAAGCCATTTACGGCAGCCTCAACGCACAACACGTCAATCGTGATTACCTTACTAGTCTATATAGCTTTGCTGCTGTAATTTACTTTTATAAACTTGATATTGATGAGTGACCCCAACGACCCCCGAAGTTTGTATTCGAGTGGCGATGAACGTACTGAAACCGGTTGGTTAAAACGTGTGCGACGATTTTATGCAGTTTTTCGAACCCACCCTTTTGATCCAGTTTGTCGTTCCTGTCGTTTCCGCCTAATCAGTCCCTTCCCAGATACTTCCCTCACCTCTTTCACCAGCTCATATCTGTGACATCGGAGAAGTATGTACCCCACTTCTAGCTTTCTATATAATGACCTTGTAACTGAATAAAAACACTATGGCTACAATACTCCAGATAAAATGATCGTCACGCTTATCAGTACGGACAATTTAGCAGCGATGACCCCGGATTCAGGTAGAAAAATCTACGGCGATGGTGCTCTTCCTTTTCTTTACTTTCTCACCCCTTCTACCTTCTCTCTACTGTCAACCTAAAAGCACCTTTTCGTAGTAAAGTCGGCAACTTTCAAGAAAAATAATTCTTTACCAACTTAATATGCAATGAATGGAAACTGGGTTCTGTTAAAAAAAAGGCAAAAGATATAGCCGAAGTCAAGCAACTTTTTAATGTTGGAAGCAGCACATCATTTGACGATTACAGTATCAGCTATTATACAACGGTAAGATGACAACGATAAAATTAACGACGACGATGCTGGTTTGGAGCTACTCGTTTCATATCTCGTTGTGAGGATACAATGGTTGGCGTATGACGTGTATCTACACTAGATGGTATATTCACTGCTTCACTGCAGCCACTGCCAAAGTTAATCAATGTGCGTAGTTTCTCAAGTCACCATCGATACAAACTACGGTGCTCTTTAAAAAAAGAAGCTCAGGTCACTACCAAGATAATGATGTTGTTCCGTTGCTACTAGCAATGCAATCAAGGTTGGGCACAGTAACGAAGAAGTGTGGTAGTATATATATTTATTATTGTAAAAAAAAGGTCAAATATGACAAAAAATCAAAGAGAGAAAGACAAAGAGAAGAGAAAAAGAGAGAGAAAGACAGAGAGAAGAGAACAAGAGAGAGCAAGAAAGAGGAAGAGAAAAAGAGAAGCTATGGCTAACAATAGAGAAGCTCAGAAACTATCTTATCAAATAGCTTCATCGCATTGTTGACATGGCCGTCGTCCTTGTCTGATAACCACCGAGCGAATGCTGGTTTAGTCGCCGAAAATGGATCTGTTCTTTGGTGCTGGTTGGCGCGATGGATAGCGTTGTATGCATCAACCAACCACTCTTGATCCTCGGTGTCCTCGCTCTGAAAAATAGCCCAACAGGCTGGCAACACAGCGTTCTTGATCACCGCATTGCACTCCTCACCGTTGCCGTGATAGAGGGGATGGTTGAATGGTAGGCCGCATTTGAAACACATTAACCGCCTGTGAAGCAAAGTAGAGAATAATCGAGCACAGGTTAGTAAAGGAAAAAAAAAAGAAAATACGAGAACTTGGTATTAAGGCTACATACTTATAGGTGAGGCACATGCCATATAAACCATGCTTGATGAAGCACCTTTTGCAGTAGTCGTGCTGCGAATGATCGTCGTAAGGTGTAACATTGCATTGCGGGAGACGGCGAAGCAAACAGACGACACAAGTTGACTTGAGCGCTTCACATTGATCAAGGAAACGCTCCTTCTCCTGTTGGATGCGGTCGTGCTCTTCTTGCGCCTGTACAAAGGCAGCAACAGGGCGGAGGGCAGGTGGTGATTGCTGTCGTCGTCGTTGCATTGGAGGCTGGTAAGTGTGACAAGTAAAATATATACACGATGAGTAAAAATTGAACCTCTAAACAATAAAGCTACAAAAACATATACTTGACTTACATGTGAAGGGGCCGGCAGATCAAATGGAACTTCCTGCCGCGTCTGTGTTTGCAGGGCATTGGCTGACCGAACAGACAACGACAAGGAAGATTCATGGTGTGGTTGTTGTTGTAAGTCGTGACAGATGCTACACTCTGCAGCTTCACTGTCGGTAAGACAGTTCAAGGATGGGCGACCATCGAGATATTGCTGTAACTTGAAACGAATGCATGTCTTGGACTATAACAGATTGTATATTAGCAAACGCAAATAGATTAACCTCCCAACTGTATCTCCTTCTTTAAATTTTAGGTTTTACCTTTGCAAACGCAAGCATCTCTTCTGCGTCGCTGATGCTGGATTCGACTTCCTGGTTTTGTTTGTTTCTGTCAATGGTGCTCTGTTCTCTGTCTTCGACATAATACACCCGACACACTGAAGTTTGCCCGTCACGACCTGCGCGACCCGTTTGTTGAGCGTAATCCAACAAACTGTAAGGCAACCTCCAGTGGAACACCTTCCGCACATCAGGAGCGTCAATGCCAATACCGAACGCCGAGGTCGCGACCATGATGCCGCCGTCGGACATCCAGCCCTCTTGAGCCTCGTCTTTGGCTGTCTCTGGGAGCTGGCCATGGTAAAGTCGTGGAGCCAAGTCTTGATATCCACCATTCAAAACATCAAAGAGCGTTTCGGCATCCTGTACTGTCTTGCAGAAAACAATACCGCGTTCGTTGGGAAAGACAACACGCAAAGATTCTGCCAATGTGTTGAATGCGATATTGTTGGTGATGTTGCTGGGCAAGGGATGGATTTGGTACGACAGGTTTACCCGCGATGTGGACTGTGCGCGAATTGTTGCAAAGTTACAGCCGTAAAAGATACGGGCTCGATCTTCCATGGACGGCGGCATGGTGGCTGTGAGAAGGAGAAGAGGGACAGGGATGGCGCGTAGAACAGTGAGCTTGGCCATGGCGAAGCGGAAGGATAGCCATGTCATGCCCAGGTGGCACTCATCGACGACAAAACGGGAGATTCGGCTTTCATGCTCCAAGCAGAACTGGACAAAAGGGGCAGAGGCAACAGCTTCAACTGGTACCAGCAGCACCTGTGCGTTGGGCATGGTAGGGGCGCCGGCTATATTAATTAATGTATAGATAATGAGTTTAAACTGATAAATGGCATACTAATACAAAGCAATACTCTTTTTTTTCCATAAAGAAAAACACTTACATTGCCACAATGTGGCCCGTAAACCTGCTCGCACCAAGCGACGCTCGTGGTCCTTGACCAGTGCTACCAAGGGGACGATGACGACCGAAAGCTTGCCGTTTTCCAGAAAAGGGGGAACCGAGAAAAGCACGCTTTTGCCCATGCCGGTTGGCATGACAACTAGCAGGTCCAATTTTCGCTCTACAATCCAAGGTAGAGCAAGGCCCTGTTCAAGGGAACGAAAGTAGGCAGAGTCATTGCCGAGGAACCGACGCAAGCCATTGACATGCTCGGGAAGGACGGCTATAAAAATGAGAGAAGATAAGTAAAAAGCAGAGAAAAGGGCATAGGAGGATAAGAAGAAAACATACGCTTGTGTTCAATGACCGGTGATATGTTCTTGGTTGTTTTTTCGTGTATGGCCACGACAAATCGTTCAGCTGCTTGGGCAAGCAAGCTGTTCACCATACCAGGCAACTGTGAGAGAGGAGGAGCAAGGGCAAGAGATTGTTGCTGTTGTTGAGCTGGTTGTTGATGCGGTCGGTGCGATGGTTGTTGTTGAGGATGAGAGGGTATGGGTGCGGCAATATGGTCATCAATGCCTATATATTTGTCATTTGCATAATTAATCACGTAATCTATTATTTCTTTATGTGAACAGCGACGTTGATACATACCCAACAAGGCCTGCCACTCACGAGAACAGAGGTCAAACTCATGTATGGATTCCGACGACAAATACCGAAAATCATTTGTGGTGCGAGCATAAAACATGCCAGCAACCGAACTGCTGTGTGCAGCCTGCAAGTCATAAAATTCGGGATTGACATGGCGAATGCCACGAGTGACAGATCGCGCTTGGTCCTGTTGTTGATCGTCAACGCCGTCATTGTCGCCAGTGTCAGGTTCACTGTCGACTTCCTCTGTGCTTTGTAAGAAAGCACAGCCGCGTTGGAGGTGGTGGCGCATGAAGAACGTGGCAACTTGGCGGTACGCTTGGAGGCCAAGGCCAACACCGGCATAGGTGCGCAGGTGCCTAATGGAAGAAGAGAAGTAAGTATTTGTTATATGTGTTGGGTATTACTTTTTAACATCTTTGGTTATCATATGAGCAACTTGAGATGACACATACTCATACAGTGATCGGCTCAAATCTCTGCTCGCGACAACGTTGCCGTTGGCGACGAAGAGAAAGTTCTGGTAGTTTGCGACGCCGGCATCAGCACTGTCACCACTGTGCGTTTCCGAAAACGCTACCCTAGATAAAATTCGAAACAACAGTTCAGCAAATCATCGACCAGCAATAGCCAAAAGTTATCAAAGTAATGCATACCGTTCAAATGGGCGCACCAAGACAAGATACTGCAGCAAAATATCACTCAATTCTCTTGTAAGAAAACGAGCAATGTACCGGTCGGCAGTTCTTCGAGAACGGCGCTTGTAGTAGTATTGGACGAGCATGATCTTGCCGCGGTACCAGTACATGCCACGCTTAGCTCCAAGGGCAGTACATCGGATGGTGGTGGCTGCGAGTTCCTCACCGCGTGCTGGCTGGCCACTGGTAATATGGACAAGGACCATAATCATCATGATTAACTTCCGCGCCTGGTTGAGCCACCGACAGAGGCTATCGAGCTTCCAAACTAGAGTACCGTTGGGTGCGACATGGGAGATGAACTCGTCCGAATACTGGGTGGCCAAGTGGAACATCAAGGCAGTGAGGTAGGCAGGATCAGCAGTAGATTTACCCGAGGCAGTGAAAAAATCAACAGATGGACCTTCACTAGCTTGTTGGTCGACGTTGTTGCAACTGGTGGAGGTAAAAGGGACAGGCAAACGATATCCTCGCAACACGTGCTCCTCCAATTGCACACGGCATTGAACGAGGAGATCCTGGGCGGCAATCTGGAGACTGGACAGACTGACAATAGCTCGTGTTGGACGATACTGCACGGACAAGTAGTTGTCATCTTCAATGAAGATGGTGGGTCCAGGTAGATGGTCCCCTGTTGCCAGTGTTGCGGTTCGTATTGTTATTTCTTGAAATATATTCATGGCAGTGGGAACACCATCACGAAGCCAGAACATGATGTCCGTGCTTGCTCACTGATAAAAAAGGAGAAAGTAAGTATTTCAACGAGAATAGATTTGGCATGAGAAAAAAAAGACAATGAAGAATAAGTGTCATGATAATTACCGGTCAATCGTACGCTGGGCGTCGCTGGATCCGTCAATTTTCATTGTCTGCATAAATCGGTTTCCATGGCATAATCAAAATTGGTGGTAGTATAGACAGTGTAGCTGTTCATATTGAACGCTGCGCAGGAGTAGACATGTGGGTTATTTTCGCACCTAAGTCACCCCAAATTTCCCGTTAGTATAGCGCTAAAAAAATTCAGGATTCCCCCTTCACTGATCGATCCTGAATGTATCCTAAATCAATCCTGTTCACTGACTTTCGCATACCTTTAGTTACGTTTTATTGTTTCCAATGACTGACATCTCCACTAAACCTCGCGACCAAATTGACCCTAACGCTACAACAACCGAATCACTAACACTGAATGAGATGGTTGAGGTACTGAGCTGAAGGAATCACTGAGATTGGTGACAAATGTTTGAGCATGTGCAACCGTCTCTTACCATAGTAAAAAATTTGCTACGAAATAGCAAACTTAATTCTAATCAAACGTTTATACTTGTAACGACATTTATCAAAGCAACATAACACCTCTGAGCGTTACAAGTTGCTCGACGCCGACATCAAGCAGTTTCTGCTGGATATGCAGGAGAAACATGGCGTTCCTCAGAGCGTCGTCATCGAGCGTTGCGGTGGCAAGATCGCCAGATACTGGAAGTCGAGCCACGCAAGAAATGCTTGGAACTTTGTCAGTAACAATAAAGGTAATATTTATGTCTGAAATTATTTGTAAGCGCTTAATTAATACTTTTGGTCTCTCAGTTGCTGCTGATAACGTGGCTGTTGATGGCGGTGATAGTAATTCCGCTTCTGGTCGCGGTCGTGGACGTGGTCGTGGACGTGGACGTGGACGTGGACGTGGTCGTGGACGTGGTCTTGGCAATAGCAGTAACAGTAGCAGTAGCAGTGCTGTTTTGTCTTCAATGGGTGACCAGGATGGTGAGGCCCCACCTAGGGATGTCACCTCCAGCGGTAAGACTTCTTTATGACTCTCAGCATATATAAGTACTCATAAACGAAATTAGTTACCACCAATCTTATAAAGATGGATCGGTTATAAAGATGGATCGGTTGAAGGAAATGTATGCCGGTTTAAGCGATGACGAAAAGGCGCAGTGGCAGAAAAAGGCAGAAGATCACAACAAGCAGAATCTCCTGGAAGGATTGATCGACGATGACGATCTTGAAATGAGACGCGAGAAATTGCTCAAAATTGCGCGTCGCCAGATTTCTTTGTACGGTTTGACCTCCCAGCGGTTGAACGTGCCCCATACAAGTGCAACATCTGCGACATGCCCTTTACAAGGGCATGGAGTATGCGCCAGCACCAGTCCAAGGAGCATAGTATAGCCTCTCCAGGCTTGAGACGTGGCCACAAGTCCCAGAAGACAGAAGAGGAAAAAGAGGAACGGCGTATGCGTGCAAGAGAGAGCTACTATGCCAATAAAGACGACAGAAAAGACAGGCAGAAGCATAAGCACTGGATTAAGAAGGCGAAGGAGTGGCGAAACGCCTTCAGAATGGATGGCAAGGCCGTTGAAGTGCAAGTCCGTAAAGCAACCAAGGTCATCCATCAAACGATTAGCCGCCAACCAGAACATGCGGTAAGATTGATGTTGGAAAAGGCAGCTACATGTCTCTGAACGATCTCAAACTTGAGCGTGCAGCTGTCAACGACTATGTGGCATTGCCAGCAACAGAGCAGGAAATCTTGTTCTACGATTGCAAATCAGCAATCAACAACGTCAACAAGCTCGCCCTAGGAACCAACGTTCCAATTTTCCGTGGTGCTAAGTGGTCTGGCCGGGTGAATTGGACTCGCCATGAGGATGACGCGGTGTCGTCGTGCTCGGAAGCACTTACAGACGATGAGGAGGAGGAGAAGAAGAGGATACCGACAGCCACACGGATGTCTCAGAACTGGAGAGCGATAGTAACAGCAGCAACGTTGACTACGACGACTACTAGTTCGAAATGAAAGTAATAAGAAAACAATATTCGATCTTGTACAAGTAAAATGGCAAGTATAACAGTTTCTATAATATGATTGTTTGTAAAGGGGTTTGTGGTATTAATTCTAACGGCGTTTACTGATATAACAATTATTGTGAGCGAATATTGAATTGATGTAAGCCAGAATATACTCAGGTAACTATCTAGTGTAGGAATACATAGGATTCTGATATTCGCCCTCTTTACAGTAAATTCAATTGCGATGATTAATTTAAAAGGGCTTTACTATGTCTATAAGAAAGTGTTGTAATGTATATGAACTTATTGTGAAATATCTTTGCCTTGAAAGTAGAAGACGAAGCAAAGTAGAAAAAGACCTGTTTGACTGAAATTTAAAGAAACTCTACTTTTTTCGTATGATGCAAGATACTACTTACTGAAAAATAGAATTTAGCTGGACCAGACTGCACAATGCACAAGAATCTACGTATATAAGATATACATATATATATATATATAGTGAAAGTGTTTGCATTCGAAAACGCAACCTCTTGGTCCAGCAAACTATATAAACTGGTATAGCTATAACAACTCTAGGCATGTCACATAGAATAATGCCATTCAGCAGTGCAATCCACCATGATTTCTGCTATTCTTTCATGCACTACTACTAAAGTACATCCGCAATCATGTTCTTTATTGATCAATCTCGGCTTTGTGATGATAAAATACTTGAAACCACTGGAGTAATTACAACCTGAATGGTCAAAATTAGTACATATTTGAGAAAGTAGTGCTTTCTTAAATGGTGATTTGATGTATAGCCACAAAATAAGTTTGAATACATGTAGAAGATCATCTTCATATTGATTGCACCGGTGTTAATTAGTGTAGAAGATCTTCTTCCTATAAAATACACCCGGTGCTAATTAGTGCAGAAGATCTTCTTCCTATTAATCGCTCCTGTTGTGCAAAATAATCCAGACACTTGTTTGCTATCTGGCAGCTATTAAAAAATCAGCAATATTATTGCACCATGCCTCGATGGATACATATTGTAATGGTTGGCACTCAATGCGCTCTTTACGTGATATGATCTTCAAAGACCAATCAATACATACAGTATATTTTTTGGTAATCATTAATAAGAAGCAGCCACCTACTGTATTCATATGATATCGCCAAATGTTAGTATATACAATACCACTATTACTTCGTTATAATGCTTTATTTAATTGATATAAAATACGCTGAAGTATATACAAAAGATATATAAGACAACATTTTAATTCCGAGAAGATGTTTTTTGTTCTCTCCACTACATCCACATGCTTTGTTATACACCATAGGCACTCAATATATATTTTTCATATAAAAATTTGGCCCAATTTCAGTAATTCATACTCTATCTTTATTCTTTACTCGCAGAAATTAGTAGGAATAAGATATTCTGCACTAATTAGCACCGGGTGCATTTTATAAGAAGAAGACCTTCTGCACTAATTAGCACCGGGTGCATTTTATAGGAAGAAGATCTTCTGCACTATTTAGCACGGGTGCAGTTTATAAGAAGAAGATCTTCACTGTAGGAAAAGGCTTTTGATACGGACACCCCACTCTGACCCTTACGGACACCCCCTTCTATTTTTAATCCTCATCAGGTTACACACATCCTATAAGTATATACTTGTGGGGGTGTCCGCAAGGATGTGTTCACTGGATTTGTTCACTTGTTATTGTTATTATACATCTTTCGATATATTAACAATAGAGAACCATAAAAGGTACATGAGAAACATTCCTTAATGCTTTTCAAACTCTCTAGGGTGTCTCTACGGATGTCTTTATGTGCAGTAGTTTAAATAAACTATATAAATGCTCCTCAATAAACAGTATATTTTGATATTACTGTATATCTTCAACTTTCTACCTACGTTTATCATACTACTATCCCAACACTATGGAGCAATTGATTGACACTACTTATACCGGATCAAATAAGCAAATTGTGAAAGCAATCAACGAGCAAGCCAGAGAATACAACTTTGCCGTTTCAACTAAACGAAGTGAGAAGAACGTAAAAATCGTGACCCAGTGCGTACATGGTGGAAGCTATCGCAATACACATGGAGTAACTGAAGAAACGCGGGGACGCCAAACAGCGACGAAAACGATCGACTGCCAATGGACCATGAACCTAAGGTGGTCCAGGAAGGATAAGCACTGGAAAGTAACGAAGGTCAGCAACGATAATGAGCACCACCACTTCCTCGACAAGCCTCCTCAGTATTACCACCAACACCGCACGCCAACTCCCCATGCCGAGCAGCAAATATTATCATTGACAGATAATTCTGTCAGGCCCCTGATGATACATTGAGAAGTCCAGAACCACGAAGACGGCGCAATTATGACCATGAGGGATCTATACAATTTTCGTGCGCAAATATTCCGTGAGGATAATCATGGCGGCTTCAGTAAGATATTCGAGCTCCTCATTGGTAACAACTATATCACTGGATATAAGCTAGACGGCACAGGTAAAAGTCTCGACGCCCTCTTTTTTACCCATGAAACGAGTATAGCAAAAGCACGACGATTCAACGAGATCATTGCTATCGATGCGACGTACAAAACGAGCAGAACCAAGAAACCTCTTGTCAATGTTGTTGGTGTCAGTCATCTCGGTGCATCAAAGCTCAAGAACGTGCTTATTGCCTCTGCTTTCTTGGTAAACGAGAAAGAAGAGTCGTGCACCTGGCTCCTTCGGACTATGCGACAAGTCATATGGCCAGAAGGAAACGTACACATATTCATTACGGACAACGAAAGAGCTTTAATCAACGCCATCGAGTCAACTTTCAAAGATGCAGAGCATATACTTTGCGGGTGGCATATGGAGCAGCATTTACGTAGCATCTTCAGTACTTGCTTTCCACCGAACAGCGAAGAGATAGGCGAAGCCAAAGCTATCATTAAGCAAATGGTTTATGTTGGTAAAAAAGACGAAGCGATTTTCCAGGCTGCCATTGACGCTTATAAGTGTCTGATCGAAAAAGGTGCTCTTGCGTATGCCAACGAAAACCATAAGCGATCCAACAAAAAGCACAAGAAAACAAAGTCCAAAGCGAAGCATCATGACGACAGCAGCAATAGCGAGAACGACAAAGATACTGAAGATGATGCAACGTCTGCAATATGTTTGCTGGCAAACAAAAAGAAAGAGAAAATGATGGACTATCTCAACGGGTACGTTAACTACCTTTATCCAATATTTGACTGGAGCTTTGCCGAGTTGTGCTCACCAGCTGTATTATAGTATATTATATAGCTGCCTAGAATATAAGGAGAAATGGGGTGCTTGTTATGCTGGAAGACTTTTAAACATGGAAATGAGGGCATCATCGCGTGTTGAAGGAACACACTGGCGCAACAAAGATACAATGCAAACCACCGGAAGCTTGTTTAAAACGGTCAAAGCAATTGATCGTGTCATGCGTAAATCGGTATGAACTACACCCTTTGTTTTCGGATTGAAAAGACAATGTGTTAACGGATATGCTAATCAAAATTCTGTACTAGTTGGCTGATGAAGAGACTCAGTCTTGCAAGAAAGAATAAAATGCCACTGTATGGAAAGCGTGAATCGGTTTGCGATGCAAGAGCTCTTTGGCACTATTTCGTTTTTTGCTTTGAATCGACTCCGAAGGGAGTTCAAACGAGCTTGGGATAACTGCGATGAATATCAACTTGACTCAAGCGACTGCTGGTGTGGTACTACGCTAAACTATGGACTGCCGTGTCAACATAATATCGCACGAGAAGGGTTCAGTATAAGCTTGTCGGATATCCCTGATCGATGGCGTTTGGAATATGACAGAGGTATAATTTTCTGCTATAGTAATACTGTGATTATACTATGCGCCTGTAATATACTTTATATCCTAATATGAGAGTTATTTATCCACAGATAGCTTCCAAAAGGTGTATACTCCTGAAGCAATTGTTAGAGCAACAGAACATGGTACTACAGAAGCTGCATGATGTACTCTACAATATGGGGTCGGATCAGCAAAAATCCGATCTACTTAGTAGTATCGATGGGACTATCGACGAATATACAATGGGTATTGACATTAGCGACATCGAATTACCAAGCAATGTGAAGACGAAAGGACGCCCTGCTAACACAAAAAATGCACGATTACTGTAACAGTGCCGGCCCAGATACTTACAATCGGGAACGTGAATGGGTAGACAGTGTGGATCAATAAATTAGGTGAGACTCGGATATATCAAAGGATAAAACGATGGGGATCCATATAACTCAGGATCCCGTCTTTATATATACGTCGAGTAATAGGGGGCTAGCTATCGTCTAAGTATTGATCTACATCATAACTTCTATCTAGAATATCCACGCCTATTACTCCATATTCAACCATGCGGTTGACCGCAAGTCATCCTACCGTCTGAACCATGCGTTGTCGATCGTCAACCATGCAGGTTGGATATCGTCGTAACGGTATGCACCGTTACATCCTCCCCCATCTACTTCAAGAGGTCAACTCGAAGTAAAACGTCAGGTGTAACAGTGTCGGCCCAGATACTTACAATCGGGAACGTGAATGGGTAGACAGTGTGGATCAGTGAATAAGGTGAGACTCGGATATATCAAAGGATAAAACGATCGGGATCCATATAACTCAGGATCCCGTCTTTATATATACGTCGAGTAATAGGGGGCTAGCTATCGTCTAAGTATTGATCTACATCATAACTTCTATCTAGAATATCCACGCCTATTACTCCATATTCAACCATGCGGTTGACCGCAAGTCATCCTACCGTCTGAACCATGCGTTGTCGATCGTCAACCATGCAGGTTGGATATCGTCGTAACGGTATGCACCGTTACATCCTCCCCCATCTACTTCAAGAGGTCAACTCGAAGTAAAACGTCAGGTGTAACAGTGTCGGCCCAGATACTTACAATCGGGAACGTGAATGGGTAGACAGTGTGGA